ACAGAAGCAGCGAGTGTTGGGGTGGTGAAGGACGTCTACGAGAGCTTCCTCAATCCTCCCGGAAACGTGGATATAATTTTGACGGCACGTGGAAGACATGCGGACACAACTCCAACATCGCAGTGGGATGCATCCTCGAGCTTTAAACTGGCCTGGTGCTAGACAACGTTGTCCTCTCAAGGTACTGCCGTGGCTGCCAGGGCGCACCTGACCCAGACGACGACAGCTATGGGGACTGGGTGATCAACCACAAGTGTATGAAGAACATTGACTGCAACGCAGGACGAATGGAAGCCGAGGCAGCCCTCATTCTGTTCAGGCGGTCCCTGGCGAAGAATGGACTGCGCTACACCACCATCCTTTCCGATGGTGACAGCCGCACCTTCCATGCCCTGACACAAGACAGCGTCTATGGATACCTCGACATTGAGAAAGAAGACTGCCTGAACCACGTACACAAGCGAATGGGAGCAGCTCTTCGTACCCTGGTGGAGAAGAAGAAGGCACAGGGAGTGTCGCTCGAAGGAAAGGGAAAGCTGACCCAGGACAAGATAAAAAAAATAACAAACTACTATGGGTACGCCTTGAGAAGCGACAAGCATGATGTGCCAGGGATGGAAAAGGCAGTGCAAGCAACTTTGTTGCACATGAACTCGACAGATGAAGCCCCGGATCACAGCCACTGTCCCGAGGAGGACAGTTCCTGGTGCTCCAACAACCAGGCACTGGCCAACCACGAGGAGCCACCACCACACAAGAACCCACAGCCAGGCTTCATTCGCACTGCGCTGGAGCCAGTCTTTGAGAAGCTGGGCGACCCGGCACCCCTGAAGCGCTGCAGTGATGGCATGACGCAAAATGCCATAGAGTGCCTACACTCTGTGATCTGGGGCCAGAACTCTAAGAACACACATGACCCTCTGCTGTCAGTGGAGAGGGCTGTCGCTGAAGCCGCGTCACACTTCAACCAGGGAATGGCAAAGACGAGCAAGGCTGTAGCAGCACAGCTTGGCTACAGCACAGGTAGCTGCCCGATTCGCAGGAGTCTTGAGAAAGACAGGCGGAGGCTTCGCAAGCCCAACAAGGCTCACTCTTAGGGGCGGTTCAAACAGACCCGGAATACGGAACCCGGGAGCCGGAACCCGTACTGACGTAATCACTTCCGGCTCCCGTATACGGGAGCTGAAGTCACGGTTTGATTTGAACGGCGCGCCCGGCGCGCGGCACGGGCCTTCGTATATACGGGAGCTGACGTCACAGCGGCTCCCCAGGCAACCAATCAGCGGCTGTCGTCAAGCCGGGTCGTCGCCCGGGGGCCCGGGCAGCCCGGGCGCAGCCGGCGCGGCGCGATGGCGTCATCTTTGCAGGATCCCGGCTACGAAGCTCGAATTGCCTCACTTATGAACCTTTGTGTAGTGAGGTGCGTCACAAATGCAAGAACTATCAACTGGCGTCGGCTGACTACTTTCGCGGCTGCGTGTGAGCAGTACCTACGGAGCGTGAAGAAAAGGAAGAAGCGAAAGACCGTCCGCGAGCTCCTGAAGCCTCGAAAAATGCTCTGCGAGTATGCCACAATCGTGAGACAGATGTTCGAAGACCCCGACGGCCGGGAATTCTTCGAGTGCTTTCGAATGTCACGAGCCAGGTAGGGTGTGCTGCTTTTTATTTTGGATTAGTTTCATGTTATATATCAAGTGGCGTTCCACATGGGCCCGCGCGTCGCTCGCAGGAATACTCAGCTGGAGCGTGCGCTCCCGCAGTGAAAGCACGTTTACATCATTTTTAATGCGGCAGGATCGCAAAAGCAGCTTTTGTGAGAGTCACACGCTTGTCAAATTTTACTGCGTCTGTGCTATAAAAAAAATAGCAATGGCATGCACATGTGCAGCTCGTACGACACACTCTTTCGGTCCACTAAATCTGGTCACGGTGTGTTGTGCTCCTTTGAGTGCATATATGACGGAAGCCCGTTGTGCTTCCTTGTCCTTTGTGCTAGCTAGGATGTGTGCTTACAAGCTTTCTGCACGAAAGCTTGCGCTGCAGAACCCAGGGATCTTGGGTTCAATCCCCACCCCTGCCCGTTTCGATCTGGATGAGCATTGTACCAGCAGACGTTCGTGTTTCACTACTGCGTGACGGGTGTTAAAGACCCTAGGTTAGCGGTCGTACAGTACTGCCTAAAAACTGGTTTACAGCGCGTACCAGTGTCGTTGACCTTTTTAACCTTTTAAGATGTAGCTCACACGCACAATGGTTGCAGCTAGGCACGTAGCCAGGATTTTGTTTCGGGGGGGAGGAGATTTTGTCGGTCGCAGAGTGCCCGAGGCTGGTAAAACATTGTGTATAAAAAAATGAACAAATGAGTTGCTTCATTACAATTGTAGTGAACAAGCATGCCCTCAAAGCTGGAAGCTTGGCACATTTGCTTATTAATAACATCCCACTGCCTTTCCGGTCTCTTTGCAGCACCAGCCACTGCCTGCCTCTACAAACGGCCTTTCTAAACGCCACTGATATCTGCATTAAAGATGCCGTTTCATCGGGTTGCAACCACCTCCCATGTCTCCGAAACCGTGTCAATAAATTATTAAAAGCAGTATCAAGTTCTTTCACTTGTCCCGGTCCTTGTGGTCGCTACGATACCTGTCGTAGATCCAGGGGTACCGCTGAACTAGCTAACTAGTCCATAGGCTTTCTCGGGTACGTCAAACGCAGCGGCACTCTTCTTTGCAGCCTGAGCTGCTTTCCTCGCGTCGGAGACGGGCGGGAAGTTCATCGCCGGAGCTTTTCTAGCAAGCAATAACGGAGCGACTGAGGCATTCGCACGGGGAACAATGTGAACGCCGGTGGCAAGGAGGGCGGAGGAGGGAAGCGCGCCGCACTGATTGGCCGCGGAGAAAATACGAAAACCTACGTCACGACCCGGGAAGGAGAAAGTTGAAAAAATTTCAACTCTTCAATCCGGGTGCCGGAAGCCGTATTTACGTCACCGCCCGTACGGAGAGAACGCTGACGTCACTACGGGTTCCGGCGCCCGGGTTTGCAGTCCGGGTCTGTTTGAACCGGGCTTTAGAGTGAAAAGGTCAAGAAGAGGATGGCCAAGAGACACAAGCCTGCCAGGGCCCAAGACTACAGCCCAGTACTGCTATGACCGTGTGCGCACATCGGAGACTACTGAACTGATTTCGTGGTTTCATGTTCTTGTTTTTCTTTTTTTGTCAGGTGCCATTTTTCTTAGGAGGTTCTGATCATGTTTCCATAAGTCGATTGCAATAAACTTGGTGTTGTTGTTTTCAGCAACAACTGAACTGCACCCTAAAGCTTTTCTTTTTTCTCTAGACTTCATATATAAGAGTGCCAACATCGGAGAAACTTTAAGTGCGATTTTCTCAGCTTTGTCTTTTTGGTCCGGAACAATTGCCTTATGGAAGTTTTCATAATGTTTGCAAGGGCGGATTTCAGTATGCTTGGTATCATTGTTTTCAGTAACAACTGAGGTGTATCCTAAAGCTTTTCTTTTTCATCTAGAGTCAATAGATAAAAAGTAATTAGCTGAAACGTGGATTATTTAGTGACAAGTTTTTGCTTTGAAATTCCATGATTTATTTCTGGTAGACAAAATGGCTTTGTAAACATTCAATTAGCTTTGGCATATATGGTGAACCCTTGGAAATCACTGCATATTGTTAAAATATAAATTTTTTGATGTGAAATTACCATAACGATCCGTAAGAAATTACCTTATTGGAATTTTATATTTTGCCATATCTTTTGTTCTAAAAGATATATCTGAAATTCAACTGCAGAGTTGAAATCACCATTCAATGATATATATGCATGCCAACTTTCAGCTAGGTATCTCAATAAATAAAAAAAAACATATTTAAGTACCCTAGTCCCACCGGGGACACTACCCCGGAAAAAACTTTTTTTTTTGCAAAAAAAGCTGATTTTGAAAAATGCCATATTTACATCCATCAACATCTAGAGAGTTTAATTTGTTTGCACAGCATAGCTATTTTTTTATAAATTATTTTCAGTCCACAGATGCTAAAGGAAAGGTAGAGGTTCGAGCACTTTGAGCACGTTTTTCTCCGCTGCACTTTTTGGCATAAATTTCACTTTAGGAAAACTATTGTTTCATAACGGGACAAAAGGAAAGGCTCACTCATTGTTTTTCTCAAGTGGAATTTGAAGGGCAATGCAGCTGTGGCATTTTCTTTTTTTAATTTGTGGATGTCTTTTATAAAAGATGTTAAGATTTTGTCGACAACATAAAAGGCAAGAAATGTATTTGATTTTTCAGTGTAAAATTAGCATAAAATAAATGACATTTTTGAAGTTGCACTCTTCAGGCAATCTGCTGCATACCTAGTGAAGAAAAATGTTGGGTATTACATTAGTTTTCTAATGATAGTTTTCCTAAACAATGTCAGTATGTTTGTGATAAAAACCACTATAATTGATTTCACAATTCATGTACACAGATGAAACTTTCCACTGTATTCTGCCTTGCAACTGCCAGTATAATATATACTCTATATTTCATTCATAATAAGCCTAGGGTTCAAAAGTTTACCCTTTTAGGTAGTGTCCTCCGTTAAAGGGATGCTGAAGCAAAACGGATGACCGTATTTTTCAAAAAAAAAAAAAAGGAGGCGCATCTGACAGGTATGTTCACATCTTGTTTCTCCGAGAAGGAGTGGGAACGGCCTCGCATCTTCTCCGCCTCGCCACCTTGAGGGGGCAAAGTGAAGAGAGGAAGAAACGAGATAGCTTGACGTCACGCGCCTCATCGGCCTTGTTCAATCTCAACCTTTTTTTTCCAAAAATTTGGCCGTTGCTTCGAGATATTGCCTTACGAGTAGTGTTGTGGGGATCGTAGCGTCCCACCTACAGCTCCTGCATTATTTCCTAATTCCAAATTTCAGTTCACCATCCCTTCAAGGCAAAAACCGGATGACGTGCATCTCCTCACACACAGGAACACGGTTACTTACCTCTGCCTCACAGATGCCACCAAATCACTTCCTGCGAGATTCAGTCCCATGAGGAAAGTGTCCGAGTCATGGCCATTGTTGGAAGACGTCTCATCACTCGAGCTCCCATTTTCTCCGCTTAGAAAACAGCTCCACCTGGGGTGAAATTCCCCTTATTAAGAGTTGCACAACCAGAGTCATTGGCAGCAAATATGTTGGTCAAGGCAACAGAGTACCCAGACAGATCACAGGTTCAATTCTTGTGGCTGGCACCACACGCAATAGTTGCCACAATAAAAATTGGAGCGTTTTAGTAGTGCCAAATGATTCAAGTTACCGTCATTCAAAAGGTTACAAGGTTGTAATATTATCTACTTTATATTTATGATCCTTTATACTGCTAATCCCGTTTGGGGTCCGAGAAAAACGCTTGCCGTCATTGTGACAGGGCCTGCACAATTTGAATAGGGAGCAGAGGTGGGCTCCGAGGCCCTCCACTACATCTCGTCGGCCTAGAAGGACAGCCCAATAGTGTGGACTTGTCTGCGACACATACCCTTGCCTGTCACCAGAAGACCAGAATCCACCAGATAAGCAGTCACTCTGACTAGACGGCAGTGCTGAGCAGAAGCCCCGCTGGTCAAAATGGGCCGAGCTGCTCCACACCAAATGGTCCATCTCAAAGGCACTAGGGAGAAAAACAAAGAGGCAATCATCAGCCATTACCTTCTAGCCAGAAAAAACCAACACGACAGTGGGTGATACTGCTATGTCAATCGTAGCCCCTTACTGGAGTGAAAGGTCAGGGGCCCACTCAGGCTGGCCAAGTCATGGTGTGAAAACGTGAAAACATGGTTTGTAGAGTGTAGTATCTATTTGTATCTTTTTGTGCAAGGTCGCACATGCACCAGATAAAAGCTTATGACCAAGTAACTTTCCTGGGATCTCAACTGCAGGGTATTAGTTGAAAACTGTTTCCTTGAAAACCGCTGAATTTTTCACTACGAAGTCGGGCATTATATTTGCCTTTCTACGAAGTAGATGGCCATTTGTTTCCAAAGCTCCAAATAAAGCAGAACCTCCTTGACATGTTTTTCAGGTGGCCGGGATAAAAGAACATATACGGGGAAACATAGCAACTGATAACAATCTTTGTGTGTGTGTGTATGTGAGGGGGGGGGGGTACAGAGGGCGCTATAGATGAGATAGGAAGCAACTTTCACACTACAATTTATCGACTTATAGCACAGAATTTTACAGCAATGGAGAACTATTATAGTTATTCAAATAGATGTTGGCACTTTTTATTGTTAGTTTTCTTTAAAATTAAGACTGGCAGGGCAACAAAATGTTAAGCCTTCCTCTGCACATTCCTATAAGAGCTTACGGGGCTGGTGTTCGTGAATGTAACAGCTGGAAAATTGTGCTAATTGGGAATGTATAAACAAAGTCCCACTGCACAATAGTAACTTACTTTATTGTATTTTAGGTTCACACAGCACAAGTTATTAAAGCAGGCAGACATGCCTGTATTGCTGTTTTTGCAGTACTTTTTTTAAAGCTTCTTTATATAAAATTGCATCGAGTTCAGGCATCCCTTTTGTGCAAATTCTCCACCTGAAGCAAGCACTTATAAATCTTGCGTCACCTAAGGTCCATGATGGAGTTCAGAATCATGCTATCAAATTGTGAAAATGCCACTTCCCTGAAGTTTGCACATTAACAAATCAAAAACTAAATTGTTTTTTTTTTTGTTTTTAGAGAACATTTATAAAATATACTGTTGCCTAAAAATTTAATTTTTAGGGAACATTTTATGGATGCAGTACTCCACTTATCACAAGGTTTCATCCCATTTTTTTTCTGCACCAGTGAGCATCCTTGCCCACCTCCCAATAACACAACTTAAGTTTAGTGGAGTGAGAGCAATAGATCAAATATTGCGTCTGTCATGCAAAGCTCCGCAGCTCCTCACTAAATTCGCTTGGTTCTCGGACTACAAAACTTCCAAGCTTCTACTGCCACTGTTGTCGTTGGCACATGCATCGAGCAGGCATCAACATGAAACTAGTGTGAGCAGTCTCTCAGAGGAATATCTCTGTATACTTGTGCATGTGGCAATATACATATCAGTGATGCAAGTGGCATCTGATTTTTTGTAGCAGGTTCTGTAGTAGGCAAAATATTGGTTTGGAGCAGCCGCTGACACTTTTAGAGCAGATGCCAACATATGTCAGCACATCATTTGAAAATGAAAAAAGTATTTGCATCAATCAATAAATTAGTTTATCTCTGTTGATGATTTAAGTTTACTTTTAAATATTACTTCTACATATTTTATAAAAAGAATATGTCGGACGCAGAAAGAACACACAACCTTTTTAGAAATAAGGGCCAGGTCAAAGTACCCACTTATACTCATTTACAATAAGTATTAAAAAATGGTAAAAACATTAGACATAGCTCCACACTTCAGTTCAGGTAAATCCCTCCTCTCCCTTCCCCTCTTACACTCAGTAGTTCATTTAGCCTGTAAGTATAATTTTTGCAAATTTCCAGCAAAAACCAGCATATCTGCTAAACTATGTCTATCAATAAAAATATGTACCCCCCCCACCCAACTTTTATGAACCTGCTAAGCTCAAGATTCAAATATCAAAAAATGCGAAAACAACCACCTGCAAATATAAAAACATACACTGGTGCTTTGAAAGTGACACTGTGCTTTACCGGCATCGAAACCAGAGCTGAGTAAAAGTCCACTCCACTAGACTGCTGCACGGGAAGTACCTCGACTAACGTATTTATTTAAATATAGACCCGCATTTTTCCCATTTCTCAACACAACCTTTTTAGAATTGGAGGTCAACCTACAGTCCAGATCAAAGAAGGTCATAATAGTACTCGGCATTATTTCCGAGCCATCACCACTAACCGAGACATTCCCCCCATGCCAGCCGCCACTCCAGTGCAAAGCGGTGAAACTCGACGTGTGCACGCTGATGTAAGGCACTGATGTTTGATGTTAGCGGCGCAAGTGCCAAGGTACAGCCTGACTGTAGCCATGGCACGGAGGCATATGGCAGGCACAATATTCGAGTGATCTCATCAGGAGTAAAATACCCCGGTTCTGTACTACCACGGTAACTGCCATCCCAATATTTTGCAAAATTTCTTTGCGACATTTAGCTTCTGACATCGCCGACATTGTTTGAAGAGTCAAACAATGGCGGGGCCAGCGCAGTTGACGAGCAATTTCTATACGGTGTACAATTGTGTCTGCTTGTGCGTGTGTATCTTCTAAATGTGCCCACATGCTCTAGTTTCCCCCAACCACAACCAATGACGATGTGCGCTTGGCTGCTTCGTCATGCACGTTCCCTGCGTTTTCTATGAGGCCGCTTGATTGGTGCGTCCCGTCCCTGCTTGCATTCTGATGTGCCAAAGACGAATTGCAGAGCACTTGCTCCCCATATGCTTGGTTTCACTTTAAGTCATGGAGCTGATGCTACAAGCCAAAGGACCAATTAAACAGCAATAAAGCGCGAAACACGTGCGCGTCAAAACTGTCCGATCTGACGTGCGAACTGTCGGAACGACGTTCGGGGGCGAGGGTTTTCGTAGCACCAGAGAGCGTCGAAAACCCTCGTTTCCGAAAGTTGTTCCGGCAGTTCACACGTCGGATCGGATAGTTTTGACGCACATGTGTTTCGCGCTCAAAAGTGTGACATCAAGGCATGTGTCATCATTCTGTATGCGTTCTAGCTTTCATCGGCTGGATCAATTAAGCACAGCGAATGCCCCGTGACTTTCGCTTTTGATATGCGTGTTCATAGTTGCATGCCTTGGAGCTTTCGACTGTGCTCCGACCTAAGATGAAAACAAAGATGTTGCAAACTAGACATTTTCACCATTTTTCTTTCTTTTTCTGAATATTAGGACTAAGCAATAATAAAATATTTGTATTATTATTGTTTAAGCCTCCCTCGGTACAGGTGTGGCACAATTCTTAACACAAATAATATCTTGACGCAAGATGTAGCAGACTTTTATGGTGCAATTTGGCACAATATAGAGCCACCTTGCAGAGCACGGTGGCTCTGCAAGGATGACGGCCACAAACCCGTTCCTGTTTTTCATGCAGGTGCTGACCACATTTTCGCTTGGTCATCTTACGGAGGACCATCGATATTCTGCCTTTCGTGACGAACGCTTTACTGTGATAGACGCCCCAACAGCGAAGCTGCTGCCGACGTCGTACCATGGACTGGATACTTCTGTGCAACTACGTTTCCTCGGCTATCTTCACAAATCGTCAACGGCATCGACGGATGCATCAACGGCACTGGATCGTATAAAGGCGATTCCCCGGGAACATACGCTTCGTGGGCACGGTGGCTCTGCAAGGATGACGGCCACAAACCCGTTCCTGTTTTTCATGCAGGTAAGAGGGGGTCACACATCTTCGATTAGAAGTGACGACGTTTGCTTAGTCCTGCTGCCGTGCCCACGGAGCCAACTTGCTGTTTTGTGCACTGTTTTCAAACTGTTGAAAAAGCTTCTTATGCTCTGCGGAGACGTTGAGAGCAACCCCGGCCCTATTACCCTTGAGGATGTAATGATTAAGCTGAACGCAATAGGTAGCGAGCTCAATGAAATCAAAACAAACCAACAAACCACGTCGATTAGGTTAGACAATATTGAAGCCAGCCTCAAAGAGCTAGGAATGATGCAAAAAAAACTTGATACTTGCGTCGCGAATGTACAGGCTCTGGAAACCAGTCTAAACGACCTCAAACTCAAGTATGACGACTTAGATAACCGTAGTCGTAGGAACAACTTAATAATTTATGGAATTGAAGAATCTGGACGCAATGACAGCAGCACTCTTGAAGCAAGGGTAATGAAAGAAATAATAGAAGATCGCTTGCAGCTACAACCTGTACCTATCGAAAGAATTCACCGCATCGGTAAATTCTCGCTTGAAAAGCCCCGCCCCGTCATCTTGAAACTTTTAGATTTTCGAGACAAAATGAAAATCCTACGAAACTGTCAGAAGCTTAAAGGATCCAAATTCTCGATAAACGAAGACTTTTCGAAAAACGTACAAGAAGTCAGAAAAAAGATGCTAGAGCGAACGAAACCAAACAAAACGTCCGGAGATAAGGTCACTCTACGCTTCGACAAAGTGAAAATAAATGACCAAATGTACGCATGGGATGGAAACAAAAACGACATCACTCCCCTGCCTGGAAGCAGTACCCACAAATGACGGCGTACGAGGGATGATACTAAAAAGTCTGCAATAAAAATACTAAACGTTAACGCAAGAAGCCTGTTGAACAAATTGGAAAAGCTTGAAGCCATAACCATGACTCACGATCCAGATGTTTTGATAGTGACGGAAACCTGGCTTTCGTCGCATATTCAAGATAACGAGCTTGATATACCCAACTACTTAGTAATAAGAAAAGATCGACAGTCACGCGGCGGTGGGATAGCTATCTTGTACAAAACGTGTTTTAAAGCCACGCCGATGCCGGACGTGACGGGCATTGAGTCATTGTGGTGTAGACTTTGGTTTAGTGATTTTACCCTGTACGTTGGTGCTGCTTACAGGCCCCCAAACGAAACTGCTGATTTTTTTGACATTCTGTATAAGTACATGCAATCGAACGTTCAGCCAAATGATAAAATAATACTGGCGGGCGATTTCAACCTGCCTGAAATTACTTGGCCCGAACCTCAAGACCCCTTAGCATGCCTTGACGGAACAAATCCTATGTGCGATATTTGCTTTAGTTATGAGTTGACCCAGATTGTGTCAGACTTTAAGCGTACACAGGCTTCCTCGCAGAGTGTCCTGGACCTGATATTCGTGAGCGGCTACTTTCTAAAAGAACTAGACGTGAACATCGTTGACGGAATATCTGACCATGACATTGTGGTAGCCTCGCTTAGACTAGATACGGTGCCAAAAAATACAAGCAAAGTTATTCAAGTTTTAGACTTAAATCGTGCTAATGATGTAGCCATCCTGGATTGTTTCGATTTTCACTTTGACCCTTTTTATGAACTTTCCCTACGATCAGATAGTTCCACAAATGACCTTTGGAATTCCTTCAAGTCAATAATTTCCCATTGTATGAATACCTATATTCCAACTAAAATCAAAAGAACCGCTAAGCGAAATCCTTGGATAACGCGTGAAATTATTCATACTAAGCGAAAAATTAACAGACTCCAAAAACAAACAAAGATTACGAAAAATGCATCGAAGAAAGAACAAATCACGAACTTAACTAAAGAACTCGGGAGCAAAATAAAGTGCGCTAAAAAAAAGTTTTACAACGAAACTCTTTATTCCTTCATCAGAACAGCCCCAGATAAATTTTGGAGGTATATAAATCCGCGCGCAAAAGGAAAAAACGATACAGAAATCGCCAATAGCCCGGACAAGGCAAACAACTTCAATGATTATTTCCTTTCAGTTTTTACACGCGACAACGGCGTTATGCCACCCTACATGAATATGCAATTACAAGATACCGTGGGCAACATAACAATATCTGAGGCCGGCATACTCTGTCTTCTTCTTAATCTTGACCCTAAAAAAAGTGCCGGGCCAGAAAATATTACAAACGCATTTCTGATAAGGTACGCAGAATGGGTGTCAAAATACTTATCACTAATATATAGGAAATCGCTGCAAGAATCAAAAATTCCACCCGACTGGAAGCAAGCTAAAGTTATCCCAATTCATAAATCGGGCAGTAGAGAGAGCATTTCAAATTATAGACCCATTTCACTTACATCAACATGTTGCAAATTATTGGAACATGTTATTCTAAAGCATATCACTGCTTTCGTCGAAGAAAACAACGTTTTAGGTGTATGCCAGCACGGTTTTCGATCCGGATTGTCAACCATCACCCAGTTAAGGGGGGACATGGGTCCTTGGAGCCAAAAATGTCCTAAAACTGTATTCTTTTGAAAATGGCGATGGCTGTTATTCTTCTGAATTCATCAGGCTTCTATTTCATGGATGAATATGTGGGCAATAAATCAACAAATAATGTCTATGCGGGCTGAATGTGAGTTGAAGTTGACTCTAAAACATTGCTTTCACAAGACACAATTTTCGGACTTGTGAAAAGTTTGCAGGAGAGATATCTCAGCAACCAGAGCAGATAGAATTATAACCTTTCCTGAAATGTGTAGCTAAATGTGTGAAGCATACAATGTTGAGAGCAGATTTTCTAATAAAAGTCGAGAAAATTTTTTATTTGATCTTTTGTTTTATTATTTGTTAGCCATGCATTGAGCACTGAACTTCAATATGTGTTAAAATCATTAATAGTGTGTTTATCTTAAAAGTACTTCCAACATTGTATGCTCTACACTTTCTAGTATCTAGCCATGTGTTACAAAGGATATTTTGTTGAGTAGTTTTTTTCGTATCGTTCCTCCAAACGAAGGCAGGCAAGTTTTAATTACCTTGAGGACAATTCTCCTGACTGAGAAAACAACCAGATATATGAAATCAGCACAAAAAGCTGAACAAGCTTATGCAGTTTCAATGGGTTTGGTCACAGATTAAGAAAAAAAGCTCCAAGACCAGTGTTCCCCCTTAATTGAAAGCGTGCACGACTTTTCCTCGGTTATAAATCGAAGAAGCCAAGTGGATGTCATTTTTCTAGACCTGTCAAAAGCGTTTGACAGAGTCTCCCACAACAAACTAATTTTCAAGTTAACGAAAATCCTAGGCGACGGACAAGTTGTAAATTGGATTATAGACTACCTCTCTGGACGATCTCAATTCGTGAAAATTAACGGAAATAGCTCAGCTAATAAGGCCGTGTGTTCAGGAGTACCTCAAGGTTCAGTACTCTCCCCCCTCCTCTTCCTGCTCTATATTAATGATATAACTGATAACATCGACATTAACGTTAGACTCTTTGCTGACGATTGCATAATATATTCTGAAATAACAAATTCTTCGGACCACTTAAGAATACAAAGCGCGCTAGACAAGATCTCAGACTGGTGTAAAGAATGGCAGATGCTTATTAATACAGACAAAACAGTAGCCATGTCCATAAGTAGGAAAAAAAACGTATTTAATCATTCTTATAAGATCAATGGAAACAATATACAAAACGTTCATGAGTTCAAGTACTTAGGTGTCCTGTTCACAAGTGATCTTGACTGGGGCATGCACATAGACGCAGTGACCAAAAAAGCGCTAACGAAATTATGGTGCATAAGAAGGCGATTAAAATACGCTTCCCGCGATACCAAACTGTTGGCCTACACGACACTTATTCGGCCTGTGCTTGAATATGCCAGCCCTGTTTGGTTCCCCTTCACAAAAACTAACATACAAAAATTAGACAAAGTGCAAAGGCTCGCTGTAAGGTTTATTACTAATAAGTTTGGCATGCGAGATTCACCATCTGAGCTGTGTAGAGTGCTCGGCGTGCAGCCCTTAGAAATAAGAGCTAAGCTCACGAGATTAAAATTAATTTACCAAATAGCCAATAACTTGACTAAAATAGAAAAGTCTAAATACCTTATTCCCCACGATGGAAGAGAAACCCGTTCAAACCATGGGAAATTATTCAGGGAGTTCCAACCTAAAAATAATTGCTTTAAATTTTCATTTTTTCCGCTAGCAGTCCAGGAATGGAACAGTTTGCCCCGACACGTTGTTCACGCTAGCTCGCTGAAACAGTTCATGGATGATGTCGAAGCGCTCATGATGTGAACATACTATGTCTCATCCACTCCGTTTGTTTCATATACTTTTTATCCTCTGTATAACTGTTTTTTCTGCACTATGGTTATGCATCTGTGTTTTTTGTACCACCCTACAAAAATCCTCCTATGAGGATTAGTAGTATCGATAAATAAATAAATAAATAAAATGGCGCAGCACTTCCATCATTGACATATATTCGAACGAGTTAAAAAGGCATAGAGAAAGTGGCAACAATGACGGTTAAAGCGATGTGCTTAAACCTAACAGGGATCCCAGTTAAGCAAGAAGGAATGAAATAGAAAACAAAAAGGGACACACATAACGCAATCCCTAACACAGCTCAATCTCTAGTGCAGAAATGATGCTTCGAGGTAACCTAACCAATACTAAGTGCCCCTTGCATCTAGGAGGGCAACGATGCAAGTATTAGACTACATACACTCGAGCCCCTCGAGTTTGGCGGTGTTGGATAGCATTACCGCAGCTCCATGCAACCAATGCGATTGGATGTGACCCACTGGCAGCATCCGGCGGCCCCAGCCCTCACCTGAGGCCTTGTGCGTTGCTGCTGGTGGGTCTGGGCCAGGTGCGCTTGCCACTGCTCCCCAGCGACTGGGGCCACATGCCAGGGGTCAGGGGAGCCAAGGGGGCCAGCACAGGCTCGTGCCCCAGAGGGGGCCCCGGCGCAGCCGACAGCAGGTTGATCACGTCTTCCAGCTCACCGGCACTGCCCAGCACGCCTAGGGCACACTCAGCTGCATGGTAGATGAGAAAAGAGGGGCTCGCGCCCAACACGACAAGCTCGCAAAAATTGTTGATTAGCTGTCACTGACCAAATTACAAACATCATTTATAATTTGAAAGACAAAAAAAAAAACACGTCCGGCAATGGTACCTACAGCTGTCCAAACTCTGACTGCCCATCCCGCCGCGCAAATCCTACAAACCCAGGACACGTAATTTTTTCCTGCATTGTTTTCGACCGCAAACAATTCAACAAACCCAGAGTGGTCTAGCTTTCCTCAGATCATAGTATGGGGATGCTGGACGGCTGACGCAGCAGCCTCGTGAGCAAACTTAAGGCTTCTTTAGCAACCTGTTTGGCAGACAATCTAGTCAGAGAGCCAACTCACCTCCTTCGGCAACGGCGGGAGCAGCGGCGGCGGTGGCAGGAGCGGCCTCGCTCGGTAACGGTGCGCTAACCATCGGCTTTTCTGGAGAGCGGGGCCACTCGAGGTTTTCACTGCTGGAAACTGTCACCGCAGGCTGATTGTCTGCCCTCGCCTCCGTGGCAGCACTCCCTGCTGGTGGAGGCGCCTGTGCCAGGTAGTCCACGTAGAGCTGGCCTTGCTGGCTGTCCGCAAAGCCAACACTGCTTGGATTGCCCTGCTCCAGAGAATGCATTGCACACCTGTTAAACTCGGTTCTAAGGCCGGTGAAAGTCCCAAGAATTTCTCTGGTTTATTTTCTTTGTACATCCGAGTCGGCAAGATATGGCAATGCATGCTTGGGCCTCCCAATAATCCAAACTCGAAGTATCGAATGAATGCCTATGTGGCTCTCTGCCCTGCTCGTGCATCAATCAGGATTATGGAGAGATTTCCATGTGCCTGCCCCTGCCTTTCCTTACGTGCGTGGGGAGGCGACACTTCAAAAATGTTTCTCAAAAGCAATTATTCTTATAATTGAAGTGGGTATGCCTATTGTAGGAGTAGCATATGTGCAATGTTGAAAAAATTAATATGGACATGATTGCCTTTTGCAATACCTCGTAAAACTTTAGAGGTTAAAGGGACTCTGAACCGAAATTTGGATTTCGTAAAATAAGGCCGCAGAAGCGTTGAACGGGACGCTAAAGACTCCAAAACATCACTCACACATTGATATCTCAAACGGATGGCCATATTTTTGGATAAGAAGGGCGAGATCAAGCGAGGAATGGGGTGTCATGACTCTCCTGGAATAGTCGAGAATGAGGGGAAGCGGCCTTGCTTCGGTTCACCTGCTCGAGGGGACAAAGCGAAGAGCAGAAGGAATGAGAATTTCAATGTCACGTCTCGTCGGTCATGTTCAATCGCGCACTTTCTTTTCCAAATATACGGCTATCTGTTAGGGACATCGCTGTATGAGTGATGTTTTGGGGTTTTGTAGCGTCTTCCTGCCTATCGCTCCAGCCTTTTGTGAGCTCCAAATTTCGGTTTAGCATCCCTTTAAGGGGTCATGCGCCACGGGAAAACTTTTTTTTTTCCTTTTTATTATTTATGATAACTGAATAAAACCTTCCCAATTTATAGCGCTTGATCTCCCTTTTATAAATCTAGGGTTACTTTTGATATAGCTTGTATTTTATGCTCTGGATGCTATGCACATGCAGAAAAAAACATGCTTTTAAGCACACGAGAGGCATGGCAACACAATTAAAAGAGCCTATCGTCTGTTGCAACTCAAGGTAAGGCTAGGGAAAGGAAGGCAGGGGAGGAGGAAGCAGACGGAATACTGGAGGAGAGGAGGAAACCTCCTCCTCTCTTTAGCGTTTTGTCTGCTTCCTCCTCCCCGGCCTTCCTTACCCTCGCCCTACCTTCTTGAGTTGCAACGGACTATAGTAAAATAAGATAATTCGCTCCATTTAAACCACAGAGTGCAATGAACAACAAATAGTGTGCGAGAGCCATTTTATTTTAAAATAACTGAAAAATCACAAAAACACCATTTCAAAGAACCAACAAAAGTTTCTGAAAATTTTCACAAATAGAAAAATTACACATTTGCGTGCGCAAACTGTGAAGACGACACAAAATTACATAAAGAAAACCAGATTCAAATGTTACCGTAGATGTGTAGCAACCATAGGCATAGACTACGGGGGGGGGGGGGGGGGGGGGGGACATCGGGGCTCGTGGAACCGTAAAAAAGATAAGATAATAATGTTCAGTTTCTGCATGGGCATATCTTTCTTGAAACATGGCACTTGTGCATATCTGTAACGTCAAAGCGGTAAAACATTTTAAAGTACAAATAAAAAGTAATGCAAAAGTGACATGCATTACTTTTTATTGGTAATGGTAAAGCATTCCTTTTATTTGTAAGTAATGAGTAACATATTTCGTTACTCTTCGGTAACGCCTAAAACACTGCTTGAACACACACCAAGTTTCACACTATTTAGAGTTTCATAAAGTACAGGAAACAATTTTCCTACATCAATCATTTGCATCTGGCAACCAGACAACCCTGACGGAATTCTGGCGTAACATGCACAGAGGGGTCACACCATCATATCTGTAAACCACATGACTGTACTACTCATATAGTTTAATGGTCTCTCATTCTAGGCTTACTGTAAATGACATCTTTTTCGCAGGCTCAATTTTTTTGCAAATTTTGTAAAGCTTAGATTTCGGAAATACTTTGCGAGCATAAAATATTTTATGATTTGGAGTCATGTGCTATGCATCCATTACCATGAGGTCATATATTTGCGCCATTAATTTTTCGCTATATTTTTCAAGTCGCAAAATTGGGTTTTTGCAAATATTAGACCCCCCACAAAAATGGGTCAAATTTGTTCGAAAGTTTGAGCAAAAGTAGAAAATATTGCAAAACACAGGTGCAGCACAAAACATGTCCACCCATATGTGCCCTGTTCAACCAGTGTGATTTATAACACCCCCCTTTCATGTGGGATCCTACATAGGACAAACAGGACAATGTGTTAATGACTGGTTAAGGGAACAAAATCTTTCTCTGAATTCCACGGTGGGGGGTCACCTACCCTGCATTGTCAAGCGTGTAAGTGTACACCATCTTTACAAGAAAACCTTGATAATTGGCAGATTCCACGAAAAACACACTTGGGAAATTTTTGAAGCTTTAAAGGAGCTGTGCAACAATTTTAACGTTGAAAGAATTGGTATTTTCTGCTTTTGATATTGTTCATTGTGTCACAAATGGCAGAAAACACACCTCCTTTCATCAAAATGTTGTGATTCCACCGCGTAATAGCGAGGCAAAACTTAGAATATTTCCCGACCTGCAGCCGCGAGCGGCGGCCATGAGAAACAAGCGGCGTGACATCAGTGGGGAATCTTGTAGAAAGATACCAAGTTGTGCGAATACCTGCTCGATAAAAGGTAACTTTTCTATAAATCTTGTCGTTCCAACGTATATATAAATGCGTCAAAACCCTGGTATCATCGACAAAACTTTTATTATACGGAGTTTTAGTGGCGCCATCTATCCTAGGTCCACAAAACTGCGAATAGCCGCCAGAAGCCGGAGGGGGACGGGGACAGCGCCGGACGGGTATGGCCGGACCCGGATGAGACTTTCCTCCTTTCACTGTATCTTTCGCGGGGCGCCCGCCAGCAAGTGGTCACGCGGTCGTGAGCGGATGAGTTCTCGCTGCTCGCTGATGGCTCTAAAGAGAGAACTTTTCCGGAACCCCGCGCCTACTCAAGTGACGTCACTGCGCATGTGACCCGGAAGAAGATGTACGAGTTGAGAGGTGGCAAAAACCTGGATCTTTTTCATTTTTTTTTAAATAAAAACTAGGGTATCCAGGCAAAATCTGTTTTCTGTAGTTCACTGCAGAAGTGTCAGGCATCAACTTCCACAATAATTTAAGCAAAGCCCTGAAATTGTTGCACAGCTCCTTTAATATACTCCGCCTAAGTGAGCGTTGTATTAGCAACCCTTCTGTGGCATTAACCGACAAGGAAATCGCCTTTCTGCAATCGTACGAGTGTGGATGATGATGTGTGCCCTCCGTGTGCTGGGGCGCCCCCGTGCCAGTGTGGCCTCGGCCCGAGCTGATTCCACGTTTGCACTTGTCTCTTCTCTCTCCTTTGTTCCTTTCTATTTGTGCGCAATTTTAACCATGTTCTAAAGGCCGAAGCAGCTCAAGCACAGAGAGAGCCAAGTGTGCGAGTGTATGCAAGAGCATGGTCGGAATTGTGCCGGCTGCGGCACTGTGGCACTAGGGCTGGTAGGGAACTGGCAGATATACGCATGCTACATGGAGAAGCGAGGCGGACTACTTCACCAATCTTTCCTACATGCCGGCCTTTCTGAGTGGGTGGATCCGAATGTCCCATGATTAAGTTGAATTTATCTACAAAACCAATGCATTGTTCACAAAACAAATTTAGCAGAAGTACAGTAACACCTAATGGGTTCTAGCTATTCAGATTTTGCTTTTTGCATGCCTTGATCCTTTTCAGGTGTTCTTCATCAACTGACGACACTTCTTGGTTGTGGGATACATAATAAAAAAGTCCTTGCCACTGTCGCCCCATGCCTAAATGGCAGTGGCTTCATTAGAAAACCATAAATGTACAACATTGCACATGCAGTGATGTGACTGGCCTGAGCCAATTTGGAGCACCTTTCGGAGCAGCCAAAACAGTGTTTTGGAGCAACAAAAGTGGCGTTTGGAGCAGCCACGACACTGTTTTGGAGCAGCAAAAGCGGCTTTTGAAGCAGCTATTCTTAGAAAAAGAAAAATATTTGTTTTAAGTGCTGCACAAACAACGGGCACTTTGTGTTGTGAAGGAACTTGCTGCTTGCGTTTTTTTTGCTGAGACATTCCACAAGTGTACAGTGCTGTAGGCACTGCCGAGCAATTCCGAAAAACCGCTTACCACCGTTTTACTGGTTCCCGACGCGCCAGATGTTCGTCAAAAGTAAGCAAAAGTAAAACATGGATTGCAAGCATGGCAGCTGCGTGGCGCCCTTGTCGTGCAATCATGTTCGCATGCATGTGGGGGGAAACTTAGGCAGGAATGCAGTTGCACATGCTTCATCGCGCGAGCGGAGACAACGGCTGCTCGATCTAAACCGAAACCATGCCACTCCGCTTCGTCGCCAACTGATTCCCAAAATTGTATGTAAAAAGTAACTGCCGAGCATACAAGAAAAAACAGTCCAGCGGCGCGTGCTTGCCAGGCCAGCAAAAAAGGTAGAAGCTAAACACACAAAAAAAGAACCTGAGCGCATTGCTGCAAGACATCGCGAGCCAGGGTCAAAAAGTTCTTGGAGCGCTTTGTGCAATGATTGAACTCCAGACAAACAAGCGCGCTGTGCAGGTTCAGCGTGCAGACATTGCCTTCTTTGCTTTAGCTCACTTCTCTTCACAACTTTCTTCCGCGGCAGATTTTTCATGTACCGGGGTACTTTTCGAAAGAAAGCCCACCGAGAGAAACCTAGGTAATCATTAATTCGACACAACAGTCTTTGAGTCAAAGAGGGATTTTTTTAGTAATGTATGATTAAAACAAGAAAAGGAATGTTGATGAACATGCGGCGGCACTTAGTTTCATTTCAGAAAGCGCCACATCTGCAGCAATCTGGGGACGGCAAGAGCCGACGTCGCGCGACCACCGTGACTGCAAGGCAGGGACCAAATATAGTTTTCCCACGGCCGTTACTTTCAGGAGCAAGTGCTTCAGCTCACAAAGTAACCCCTGCCGTGCAAAAACGTGGTTTCGTTTGACAGCATGACGGCATGGCTGGTACCCGGCATGCTAGCGTCAGAGCGTCCGCACACACACGCGTCTATGGTTAAAAAAAAGACGCGAGACGGGACCCACAACACGACGAGAACGCGAGACGGCGGGAAAACCATGCAAGACCGGATGGACAATTGATGCAGGGTACTTTGTGTTGGGCGGCTGCTTGCGCCAGATAACCCACCTATGCTCCATTACGGTACTCAATTTAGTTTCGGTTTTAAAAACGACTGAAATTGTTTTTTTGGCGCAGGTTTGGCGCAGATTACACATATTTTGGTAAAATGTAGCAGGATGTAGCAGAGTTAGCCCCTTGGCGCAGTTGGAGCAGCAATCACATCACTGCACATGCCCCAAGCTAGTATTACCTTGCTTACATTCGAGCTTAAGGACAGCTATTCCTAACTTTCATGGCTCAATGGGGGAAAACTGAAGCCTATCAAAATGGCAGGCACCAATCATTCACAAGCTACGGGATGCGTGTCCTCTATCCACAATATGTTGGCAGTATTGTATATACAAGACTCTTTTTTCAGGCAAAACCCAACTGTATCTCATCTCTGCACCTTAAAAACTCTTTCGTAAAACCTGGTTGAACCAGAATTCTACACTTAAATAAATATATAATGGAGTCTCCCCTTTTTCCACACATTATTTCCACTGGGCAACAAAACAACAAAACAAAAAAAAACACCAGTTTCTACACACTTTGATAAATATGACGGCAATTCGGAAATAGCGGACTTCCCTTATCGAACCAAGTTCTCCAGCACAGACACCGTAGTCTGTTTCAGATTAAGGAAAGCAGGACAAGCTCGCCCCACAAAGCCCTTCACTCTTCCTACCTTAGCAGAGCGAATGCTGAAGAGAGGACGAGAGAGAAGGTGAGTCCACTCTCCTCCTCTCCAGTGTTCACTCTGCTAAAGTGGAAAGAGCGGAGGGCTTTGTGGGAGGAGCTTGTCCCGCTTTTCTTACCTTGCAACAGGCTATGCGCAACTTCATTACCCTATAGATGGCGTGGCGGTAATAGACATATTGCTAAACTACCGAAGCGTCAAGGAGAATGGTGGGAATGTATGTACACGTGCTTGTCTTCTCTGTACAAAAGATTCAAAGTAAATAACCAAAATAAAGTGTTGACAAACGTGCGTGCAAGATGCCATTTGTTTTAGGCATTTGCTTTAGAATGCTGCAGACGCCAGCACGTGAAACTACACTCGCAGCATGCTCCTTGGTGCTTGGGTAATTTAGCTATAAATCTAATCTAAGATGGCGGGCGAGACGGGAATAGATTTTCCAGGAGTTTCCCTGCGCCTGCTTGCCGACGCCAGTCAGTGCACTTAAATTAATTTATTTGGCTACGAATGTGAAGCGGTCAGGGCAGGAGCATATCACAGGTGACGGAGAGGGTGATGTACGTTAGGAAAATTAGCAAGTTGATTTTTAAAAGTTCCGGCTACCTCGCAGAGCTCCCAAAGCTTTGAGGAGGGCAAGTTCGTTTTGGGTACACCACGCCACTGAGTGTAGCAAAAGATTTTGAGGGTGATAAAGATATTGCAGTGTTTGCGCCATGCCTGGCCACCGCACGGGGTGACCGTTAAGCTCCAAAAGAGCAGCGTTCAGACTACTGATGCTCCTGTGTCAGAGGCTCGCAACTCGCTGCACGCCGTCACGGCTTTAGTGCACTGCAACACACGACCAACATGTACCATAGTTATTAATAGGCAGTTTTGGCATAGCGTGAGCGCAGGTTACCATACGGTGTGGCATTGCAACTGGGAGCTCAAGCTGCACCTTTGAAGCATGATTTTCAGCGTGCCAGGTGCGTTGTCGTGCCCATGGTAACCTGTGGTAATGCTATGCTAAAACTGCACATTAATGCCATCGGCGTGATTGGGGGATTGGGCGCAAAGACTTTTCGTAAATCGCACACGAGAGCTTTGCACTATTAACGGGAGATTTTGCAGTCACGTTGAGCAGATTGAGCTGGCAACTGAATCACCTGGAATCCACAGCATACGCGACCTAGGAAAAGTCGCTGATGAAATAAGACATCCCCATCCTTTCGTGCAATGCTGTTGCGAAGCTGAATGCAACAATTCATAAAATATCATGATGCACGAATACGCCAATCAGAACCACGAGGTAATGGCAGCATCAAGGCCGACAGTTCCTGCCACCATTCCCGCTCCTCTGGTTCTTCGTTCGTCCGCAAGGGGGCGAGCAGAGGGCTGGAGTTGCGAATAGTCAACTGCAGAGGACACGCACCTGCTTGGTGCTGGCCCCAACCTTGTGTAACAGGCTTGCAAAATGCTTCTTGATTGTAGCAGTGAGCTCAGCAGACGACTTGGCAGCAGCTGACTTGCTGGCACTCCTCTCTTGAGGCAAGCTCTTGGAGATCTTGCTCAGTGCCTTCCAGGCCGAGTAAGAGAGCTGCACCTGTAGTTCCAGGTAGGACCCCAGGCACGAGCCAACGGCCTGTGGGCAGAACCCAGTCCAGCATCAACTTCTATGCATGCACAACCCAAGCCAAGCAATGTTACTAATCTTAATATGAACTCCCCTGTTCCTAGCTTTAATGTCACTACTCTGCCAGCTCACACGACGGAACTTGCAAGCATGCCACAAGTGCTAGTGTTCACAAATGTCCAAATCTTTCTTTATTTGTTCCTTTGGTTCACAGCAGGTTAGAAGAAAATCTGTTGCACCATACTACCAACTAGGTAAAGCCAGCAACGTGCCATCATACCAAATTCTTTGTTTCCACATGCTACAAGGACTCCAACGAATTACTTTCATAACTAGTGAGAATTACTTCCTCATCCAGCGAGTACTCATAGTTGGGAAAGGGAAAGAGTTGGGAAAGTTTGGAAAGATATGGCAGTGCTCAAAACTACGAGTGCATGCACTCAGCACTGAAGGCTTTTATTTAAAACAAGCATTCCAGCAAAGCAGAAATACACCAAAGCCATGCACATGTGCACCTACATGCACAAGTGCCGCTGCATGCCTCAAATGTTTCACACAGCTATCTTCAAATCTTCTGTAGCAGCTTGTATCCATTCTTGATCTGACCTCAGCAATACTTTGTGACCTCCTAATCTCAATCACCAGTTTCACTAAGAACTATATATATATATATATCTGTGAGGAACTTGCAATGGATGCTTTTAATTATTTGTAAGAGGTGCCAATAAAACAATATTCCACTTTCAGACTCGATTCTCTGCTTGGCTATTTTTTCACAGCTCTCTTTTCACAAAAAATTCCCACGTCTTACAATAGGCGCTTCAACAAATTACCCAAGTGCAAAGGAGTATGCAGAGAGAAGAGTTACATGCGCTGCATTTGTGGGCATGTCTTGTGGTAACTGTTCTAAACCAAAATCTTAACAAATGGCATTTTTAATGTGCATTCGTTAATGGGGCATTTACTTTGAATCTTTTATGTCAATGAGGACAGTGCATGTGGTGTGTGTACCTAGATTCCCAGCATTCTACTTGGTACTAGGTTAACTTGGCAAAAGGTCTAGAGTAATTTAGCAGGTTGATCGAGGGGCCACATACAAAAGTGCTACAAGTCCAAAAGTGGAACTTCCACGGAACTTCACTCAGCCTCTATTAATTCTTTGTCTGTGGGTCAAAGTGAACATTTTAATTCATATTTGCAAGAGTGCATCTCTGGAATATTATGTTGGCAAAAGCAAAGTGTATTATTTCCACCTGAGAGGACAATATGCCGAATATAACCGGTCTACTTCTACTGCCACTTTAAGCAACCCCCTCATCTGGAAAATAAGCACGCTACGCCAATCTTGCACCATAGTGTGCTCCAGTGGATGAGCTAACCGCCCGCACGAGTACCTGGATGCTCTCAGTCAGGGCTGCCGACTCATCGCCCGGGCCTTCTCCTTCCAGCTTGGTGAGCACATCCTGGAGTGTCATGAGTGTCTCCGTCTTGACTGCTGCACTGGCCGCAGCAGTGGCCCGCCCCAAGTCTTCCCAGGCCACCAGGAAAAGGGCTGCCACCTCACGGTACACTGGCACATTGTGGAACACCCGCACCAGGCTCTTTGCCAGCACACTGCTGGAGCTACAGAAGCAGTTCAGGGCCTGAAGGAACGGGGGGGGGGAATTCGGCCAGTTGGACATCAGGCAATTTCACTAAACACACATGCAGACGGTCCAGTGCACACTTGCAGTGCATTCATCTTTCTCTGCACAATCATGAAACATTTGCCACGGTCCTTGACAAACCAGCTTTTGTTAACATGATTAAGAAGCCTACAGCATGTCTGATGCCTTGTGACCGTTGTGTGGCAATGCACGAGATACCTATTTCTTGTGGGCAACCTTTTTTTTTCGTGTAAACACACTCGAAATCCAGACTAATGAGTACCAAACTCTAACCGGACATGCTGCTGATGGCTACTTGGAGGTATTTACGGTACGGTTCAAAGTTCTCCTACACTGGGCTACTGGTGTGTTTGGCATATGTACTGATCACCTACCAGGTGGCAAAATGTATAGACCTTTTCATCCTCCTCCGCATGGGCGCTGCCATCTTGGAATCACGTGACGCGGCAGCCATTAGGTTGCTTCAACTTGCTCCTCCGCTCTCCCCTCCGCACCTTGACGGATGCGTTGTATCCGTGTTTTTCGTTGCGTTTCACCGCGCTTTCTGGCCTTGCTTCGGAAACTGTAGTCCGATATGTCTACTCGACGACTAAAGCATCACGAGAATTTAAAGGTTCTTATGTTAACTGTGGTTTGTTTAGTAATAGTAACGGAAGATTCCCAGTAAGAAGCGCGTATATTTATACCGTGCATTTAGGATCGGTAGGCGTCAAGAATAGTCAGCGCAAGGAGACTATCGTTATTATCTGAAAGTATCGTTCTTTGTATTCATAATATATCGAAAACAGTTGCTTTTGATTATGTGACGAAACTCGCGGAGGAGATGGACAACGAATGTTTAACTTGTATTTTATCTGACGCTAGAAGTAATGGTACGTCAACATCCGGCGAATTGTTTGTTCATAATATCACACCTACATGTCGATGAGGTTCTCAATTTTTTTTTGCGACATGAATATTCGGTTGGTCGGTTTACTTATGAAGTTTAAGAAATTGTATACCGTGCTCGCTTCCATTTCGACAGTCATTTAAGTGATTTATTGATTATATTTAGATAACCCGTGTCATCCACTCAATTTATTTTAACACAAAAGTTGGGACTTCCCGCGTAAGAAACGGCCACAGACACTTAACGGTAGCGAGTTTTAGAATAGCGGGCACAAAGAAATAACGCCATTTCTATTTGCAAATCCAAAACGCGGTTTGGGTTCAGCGCATGCTCAATAACTACGAACGCTTTTTTTTTTTTTTTGCGTACGCGGTTTTAGTTTTTGTGCCTATCTAAAATACGCAATATTTTACGCAAAAAAAAAGAGCCGTTTGCATAACAATTTTTTTAGTCCAGGATTGTCGATGGTGCACAGAGGTTTACTTTTGGTGGCTGGCGACGCCTAAATTTAGAGAGCGAATCTGTTCAAAAAAATTAATATTTGTTCACATAGGTTCGTAAAGTGGTGCCTAGCGCTAGAATTCAGCCAAACTATCCGAGGCATTTCTCTTCCTGAGCCCTTTAATTTTATTTGGCCACTTTAACGGAAGACAAATGCCAGATTTAATTTGACGGGCCCGTTACTTATATCTTGAGTAAGCAAATGTTCATATAAAAATAATTTATTTTCTAGGGCCAATATCGCGAAATGCTGCTTATGAGTACTTTAGCAGGGTTGACAATTTAAGAAACTTCCTACTCAGCATGTCAAAGCATGCTCGAGTACTGAATTAAAAAAAAAATAGGCCGAGACGATACTACTCCTTTATACCATTTATCTGCGTCATTACACGAAAATTTTTATTCTGCGAAGTTCACTGAAGGTTGGGTGCCCACGAAACCGAACAGTGAGTAGTAAACTCGGGAGTTCATCTGTTCTGGCCGATTGAGCACATTGCTGATCAAGCTGTCGATATGCTTATTTACATTCACAAGTTAGTCTCTTCATTATATTGTTTTTCTGGAAACTGGTGTCATCGGGTACGGCTGTATACGATGGTAATTTCCCCTGTACACCAGTCAGGCGTTTCGCAACCGACCATAATCAGCTACATCAAAGGAGTGGGTAAACGAAAAGCCCACAATTTACGCTAAGATACATCTCGTAGTCCTCAAGGTGACTCAATACCATTGTTTCATTTGTTGTGTGCTACAAGGAAACTAATCGAATCACAAAATTAAGCAAAAACAACGTAAAACAGCAACACAGCCGCGTTCACGTTGAAACCGAAACCAACCAAAGTGAAGCAACCTGATGGCGCCGATTGTGTCAGCGCCCTCTATCCACCGGTGAGGCAACTAATAAAATGAAAAGGTCTATAAAACTTGTGATAGTGCCTTTGTACCACATGCCATAAGTGATGTAAACGGCGCGAGGCGAGATCAGAATGCATTGTTTTACTTCATAACAGTGTACTATTTTCGGCATTTCCAGTTTGAGGGCTTTTTGTACGAACATGGGCATCCATCGTACGTGCATGTGTGCATTAAATGCAGAATGGAAGCTTTTCTTTTTTTTTTTTTTTCCATGGTTATTCAGGTAGCGTGCACGAGCAACCAATACCCTCGGAAGGAGACTATATCATCCAGATTGCTTTTCACAGGCGTCTAGTATCACGTCTTGCATTAAGTGTACTATTTACTATTGTTGCTACGTGACACCATCCTAGGTAAGCGTAGTCGAGCAAAGCTTGGAACGGTCTGAAGTCCGCTTGGTAGTTTTTCTTACCTGTATATAGGCTGAGCAGTGATCGAGGAAGCTGCATACTTCGTTCATGAAGGCTGACCTGCTAAACGCATGGTCTGGAAAAGCGATACCCTCCGTGCTTGCTTGATGGCCATGTGACGAGCCCAAGTGATTGACGGACCCGGTCTTGTGCGATCCAAAATTGAAATGGCGCCTTATATTCGCCATGACTGCATTGGCAGCCCCTTGGCTCGACTAGTCTGTGATAACGTCGTTCGTCCGGGGTCTCTGCTGCATTGCTACGAAATCCAAACAAAAAGAAAGTCGTTCACTCGTCATCCACTTCACTGAGCGCTTTGAAGTCGACGTTTACTGCCAAACGTAGTCTCAAACTCGGTACCGTTAGTTGCGATCTTGTATCGATGTGTTTATAAGCGATCACTCGCACAACAAACAAAAATGATGAGATTCGCCAGAGAGACAAGCAAGTAAACTTACTTCCTATGACTCATCCACTAGCGCCGCCAAATGTTCATCGAAGCCGAATGGCCGATACCAGCCGATGCCGTTGCCGATAAACTTACGACCTTTCGATCGGAGCAGCTAAGTGACGTTGTGTCGCAGTTTATAACAAACTATAATTATTATTGCCTTTTCGCGGACGTAACTGCGAAACTATACTAAAGTTAATCGAAGCTACAAAATCATAAATCACCCTTAGGCTTAACGAAATGGCTATGCGCAGCGCCGAGAGAAAGGGAACTCATAGAAGTGGAGAGAGCAGCCCGTCAAGAGAGCCGAGGGAATCCAGAGTGAAAGCAACTCGCTGGATTTACCTGCACCTCCTGCACTAGTGCAGAAAAGTGTAGGGCAGAGTACTTCCGGCATGTGTATCGTGATACGACTGGAAGTACACTGCCCTGCATTTTTCTACACCAGTGACGGTAAATCGAACGCGCCTATTAACAATTCGCGTAACGCAAAACAATAAACTTACGAAGACAACCAATATACTGTGAGAATATTATGTTTATTTACACGTGATATAAAAAATGGAACCTTGAACTGGGATGAAAACTCACAAATTCCATCGAATCTTATAAACAGCCATAAGCATACCTTCAAAACTGTCAAATACAGCCATTCAGTTGCTTTCCTGAAATCATCCATTCTTTAAAGTAGCAACAAGCAAACATGCGCACAAAATCGCTAGTACAAAATCTGGTTCGGATGGTTGCACTCGACCAGTACACATACACGCACATACACACACCCACGAAACACTGCAAGACGTTACAATACCATATCACAAACTTCCCTCACACATCCAGGAGGGAAATGTTTTTTTTTTTTCTTTGTTTAACACAACTCAGTCACCTGAACTGATGAAATAATGTTAATAAATTTTAATAGTTTGGAGTTCCTTGTGCAGCTATGGCACATCGTGACCAACATACCAGCACTCGACTGAACCGCACCCTGCTAACACGGGACCCCGTAAAGCGTGCAGCGGTGCAAACTGTCAATTTCTTCCACAGGAAACTGCACACCCGGAGGCACATGCTACACCTTGGAGTCCCCTTGGCTGAGACAGTCTGCTGCTCGTAGCGCACCTTCATGCCCGTGTTGTGATTTATCAGCCGTGCCAATGTCTGCCGATCAGCATCCAGTGCACTGCACCAGCACAAGTCCTAGTTTTGTGGCCCTGCCTATGCACGTTCATCCAGGGGACGTGCTGACTGAGCTTTGTGTCATGCTGGCAGCACATCGAACTCGTCGCTCACATGCACGCTTGGCACACAGATGTCGTCGATGATGGGGGTTGCCTTGACGTCGCAAAGGCCGAGTTCTTTGAGCTTCCACTCCCAATCCAACTTCTGGACGGCATGCAGGCTTTCTGCCTCATTGTGTTGCCGCAAGAGCATTTTCTCCTGCATCGTTCCAAACCAAAAACAGGAGTTAACCAACCATTCCACATCCTGGAAAAGCTAGAATGCCATTTGTTTTTCGCTTCCAAGATCAACTGTATATTTACGTCAATTGAAGAGGCCTACGTATGGTGCTGCATCGTCAGTGAGGCTTGCCAATAACCCCATATCTGGTTTCTCTACCGCCATCGCTCTAACTACTTTCAATCTATCCGAGTCAAAAGCAGTCCAACTGTATGTAATGTAGAAGTAGCACAACACTAGCAAACCGCAAACTGTCTTTCGATTTAACACGTGTTCCATTTCTCTTTTTGGGGAAGTGCTCATGTGACCAAGAGGGAGGCGGGAAAGTGGGAGGAGGGGGGAGCCGCGAGCCGCACTTTAACACGCGAAGAGCCGCATGCGGCTCGTGAGCCGCATGCAGCTCCACCCCTGAGGTAAAATATGCCTACCTATTGGCGACTCCAGCGAAATCGATGCTGTATAGCGGCAGCACCGAGCAGCTCAAGAGGGAAGGTAAGTAAGATAAAGATTTTAATGGCGCAGCGGCAACGGAGGCCATAATGCGTCATCAAGAGATGAGGTCGTTTTGACCGTGTTGTCTGCTATTGCTGCTTGGTTCTCGTAGGCAGCATAGAAACAAACATAGTATCCAGTAATTATTTTTATGCTCCCGCCGTGCTATTCCTACGCACTGACTAGAAGGTTTTTACCATAAAAAAATTGCTTTGCTTTCATAAGTAACACAGATTCTACGCTGCAGTGCAAGAAATTTATGGTGGTCCGCGAGGTGAACGACAAAAACGACCTACAATTTTTTCTGACCCACCCTATAATTCGCTGGAGTCGCGAATAGTCATTCAGGATAAAGGCAGGGAGAGTCTTTGCAGGCCCTGCCCCTAGCAGGAGAGTTGGCTTACATCCTTTTTAATAACTCTGCTCAAGGCACTAACATAATGTGAAACTCATAAATGCCATAAAAATAAATTATTAAAAATATAAGAACACTGTATTTATACAAATGTCAAATACAATTGCTGTAGCGCATCGCTACAGCTTGCTCATCAGAAACTCCCGCATGCAACATTGAACGAACCTAACAAACTGCTACTGTTATTTACTGATAAGCTGCATGAGAAGAAAAATGTTGTGACAAATGTTTTCCCTTCCACAATGTTCATATTTTATAATAGCAAACACAAACTATCCATGCATCTGTTCACTGTATGCTTCTTCCCTAATAATTCAGCAGTTTAGATTTCCTACATTGTACTTTTATACTACTTCGAGCAACAACATGTCGCCAATTCTAACAGCAGAGGGCTCATGCCACTGAAACAGGGTGTGGTCAAGCATGTTCCAGTGGCAGTTTTCTTTTTACAGATTTTTCTAGACTACATGCTTCCATTGGTTGCAAAGTGAGACAATCTAGCTCGTTGGACAGTGGTGGTGTGCCTATTAGTGTGCGCCCTGCATTTTTATTCTGAAGGCAGCTATAAGATCTTTTTGACGTGCAACAAAAATCTCAGTTGCATGGCCCCTTCTTGAAATAAGCTTTCATCAAACTGCAGACATCGCGGCCAGGATTCAAACCAGCCAATTGAGATCCGTAAGCCAGCACCTTGCCTCCGAGCCACCGAGGCAGCTGTCTCCACTATCAGAATTTAAAGTACCAAATACAGTAAAGGCGCCGGTACAACTGCATCTCCTGCCAGTGATTTATACTGTTATTGTAAAATTGTCCAGTACAGAGCAGTCTCGCAATGATATACAGTAGTCTAATCAAATCTTAGAGCACACGACTGATGAAGCACAAGAGAGTTGTGAAGTGAGGGCCCAAAACATGTGCACGTAAAACCGAATACAACATTAATTACCCACGGAAGTATTTTGCCAAGTTCCAAGCTCATGCATGCTGATGCCCAAGTGTGATCTACAATAGGAATAGGAGAATCGTTTTCTGTCCTTTGCAGAGCGCGAAAAACAGAAAATGATTCCGTTTTTTTTTTTTTTAGTTTTTTTTTTTTATTTAGCAGCTGACTTAATGTGTAATTAGGAGTAGCATTGCATCTCCATGTATTTTTTTTTTTTTTCAGCAAAGCACTGTGCGTTGGATTTTTTTATTAGAATTACATGAATTATTTCTCTCTTCCTCCACATTTTGTGTATTTGCCCCCAGACCTATAATGTGAGCACAGTCCTTTTTGGCATACCCAGCGACCTGGTGTTTTACACAGCCAAACAGCGAACATTGAAGCACGTTTGTGCAGGGGGGCTATGCAAGACGGCAAGACTTAGGGACATCACCTCCTGCTGCGATGGGTCAGCGCTGACCGATCACAGCAGGAGGCTTTTGTCCCGATCCCTTCGTCCCACCTCGCACCACTGTCTTGCATAACCCCAGACTGGCTCAACAGGTGGCATATTTTCGAGTATCATCCTCCCGTGACAATCTCAAACGGGGATGTGAACTTCGTGCAGTCAAAATTACCGATAATGATCTGCAAATCCTTTCTGGAAATTTTATCCTCAATATGTATGAGTGATTTAGGAGACTAGGAGCTGATTTAAACAAATATGTTTCTATGGGACATAAAAGACTTCTCAAACATATATAAATCCGTTAAAGCCTCTTTTATGTGATGTACAGCAATTTGGTGTGTCTGTGTTCCAGACAAAAACAAAATACACAGGGGAGCATGGAGGAACTATAATGATCATGCACTCAGACCATCAGAAATTCACCAATTAACTGGCTGCCATGTCAAGTAGAGCATCAAATACTTTTGTTCTATAAAACAACAAAAATTAGTATGAGTGTTGCATATTTACCGACATCTTTTCAAGAACAAACTTTAAAAGACAGGATATGCCAGTTTATCCCTGTATGAAAAAATTTCCATGAAAACGAGTAAAGATTTGAGTGAACAATTTTGATCACTCCTTTCTGCACAATTCTTTGCCTATATCACGGTGCTGGTGTAAACAATGTTGATTAGGAAATTAAGGCATTGTGATTACCGTAGAGTGTTTCTAAAAGGCTTGTCCTATATATTCCCAAAATTTGGAAAATATTGGTTTCGCTAGCGTCGTCAACATATATATGGTGAAGCATAGCTCGTAAAATATATTTCACGATATATATATATGTAGGGGTCCTTCCTATTCGGGTTTTATATTTTTCAAAAATCAAGGGGAGGGGGGGGGGGGGGGGGGTGCAAATCGGGCACTTCATTCCAATTTGGTAATCGGGGAGAAATCTGGTTTTTCTATCAATTGCTTTGTAATTAGAGTTTTCCTGTTTATATTTAGAAGTAAATATGTATAATTAATGTCAGAGTATTGATCAGTTGTATTATGAATATTCTTTTTCCAACCAAGTCATTCAAGTACACAATACAGCCTTCTAACATGCATAATATTCATATGAGAGCTCACCTGGTCTTTTTGATTTTTTTTTTAAACCTTTTTGCTTACAAAATCATCTGCATGCGTGGTGGCATCCCTGTCTCCATCCCAGACCTGTCCAGTTTGCAGACACCATGATGGGAAATACGCCAAGAAAAAAAAAAAAAAAAAAAAAACAAGGACAGAGAAGTGAAGCACACTGGACAGGGCATAACTTGCAACTTAATTTTAATAGAACACACACATAAAAAGATTAAAACCGCACATGTGCACAAAACTTACATTTAGATTAAAAATTTTTAAATGTTTTTTTTTTTTTTAATCTAAATGTATCCTCTGTGCACATGTGCAGTTTTTATTTTTTTATGTGTGTGTTCTATTAAAATTCAGTTGCAGGTCCTGTGTGCTTCTCTTCTCTGTCCTTGTTTCTTTGGCATATTTCCCATTATGTATCCAAACCAACCAGCCCAACTCGCAGTCTTAATATAGATTTTGGACATACAGTATTTGAATTGAGAAAACATTCTTTTAACATCACAGCTTTTGCAATGCACAACAATGCCACTGGAATCTGTTGCTCTTGCCAAATCAAAGTTGCTCATTATTTTTGTTGGTTTTGCACTATTTGAAATGGACAGGGAAGAAGGGCTAAAGATAATTCGTAATGGACATAAAAACAAAACTTTAGCACTTGATCTGTCACTGCAGTTCCGTGAATTCAACAGAATCTAGCAACTTTTCCGAGCTCTGGAGATAGCATATGTGTTCCTTCCAACTTTTTGTTTCCTAAGGAATATTTTTTGGAGGAACTTAATTTGAAAAACGGTAAAATGCATTTTCTAAATTTGGGTAAAAACCAGATTTCACTAGATTTAAAAAAAAAAGTGTTAGGGTGTAAATATGGGGAAGATAGGGCTTGACCCAAAAACGGAGGACCCTATGTATGGTGAAAAGATGCATATTCCTTGGTTTTATGCACTGTAAATACCTTGTATAAATCGCGCAACTACAATTTCTTTCAAGACTGTGATGTTGAGCTTTAGCAGACATGGGCACTTTAGGTGACCTACCTCACTTTGCGACGTCCTTTCAATTTAGATAGAACTAATGTGACTAAGATAAATTAAAGTTGAGTTATTGCATTTTCACTGCTAATCTAATTTTTGTTTTTTTCTGTTGCATCGAAATAATTTAACGCAATTTCTTGTTTTTGTTAAGTGAAAACACACATTCACTGTATGAACGATGGTCTTGTTTCAAGGGAGGATATTGTGCACATTTGAAGGCAAAGCAAAAAAACACAAATATCGGAAGGCAACGCAAGAAAACACAGATATAAAACTAAGCTAGAGGCTGCATGACCTTCTATACCCTACGATAGCGCATGACCGCTGTACAGCCTCTGTCGGTTGTAAAAAATGTCCCCACTTCCTGAAGCCAACGTCGTGTGGTAGAGTCCCTATACATATTTTCAAATACGGCCTCCAGGCGCTGCCATCTTGATTGCTTGGGTGCGCTTGGGCGCAACCATAATCCGATTATGATGTCTTGCTAAGGTGCCGTAATCGGATTATGGCCACCCCAAGCGAGCAAGATGGCCGGCGCCCTGAGGCTGTACTTGCGAACGCGTGTAACGAAGACAAGCTAGCTCGATTAGAGTGAAGGGTTGTAAACGGTTAAGGAGAGTTCAAATAAAATAAAAATTTGACTTTTAAAAACATTGACATACTATTTTGCCACATTTAGAAAAATGAGCTCCATTTGTGCATTAATAACAAACCTACAATAATGGCTAAACATATTTTTCTTATATATTCGTAAAATGCATTTAAACATGATCATTTTGACATAATTTGCACCGTTTGATAAGTAGTAGGTCATTAGTAAAAAATTTGTGAATGTGTCTCCAAAACGTGTCTGATGTGTTTTGTACATTCTTTTGCATGGGAATTTTTTATAGTAATTTTTAATATTCTGTGTACATATCGTAAGCCTTTCGTGAAATAAAAAAAACAATTACTATGTGCATGCTTCGGTGTGGAATTGACGGCCGTGCAAGGTGCCACAGCGAAACCTTGGCAATCTCCACACCTTGAAATTTTATATTTTTGGAAGAAAATTAGCTACTGCATTTGCATACTGCTGAATGATCTTCCCAAGAACATGACTGTAACATACATTTTTTACATAAATATAAAAAATATGACTTGAACCCCACCACTGCACGATCCGACGTAAGAACACCCCTTTTATCGCTTTATCTATACAATATACATGCTTGGGTTCCAAACCATGGTTTTCTTTCTAGGTGTCCGAATAGTGGTTTGAATCAAATAGCACAGCGTCATTCCCAGCATAGATACGGCAAAGAAAACCGGCAGGTCTTGGTTTCCCCTAGCGCTGTGAAGGCTATAAATGATGCAGTGCTATTCGATTCAAACTACTATTCGAACACCCCTAGTTTTTTCACTACGCTAAAAAGTTTAATTCTTTCAAATTGTTTTATTCCAGAGACTTCCCTACCAGGAACTATATAGATAGCAAGTAATGTGTGTTCTGTACACAAGAATCAGCCTGTTCGACCTTACTAATTACAATTCGCAGATTAGAAATATCGAGCTAAACAAGAGTACAACTTTTTAGGCAAGAATCTAGTAGACACAAGGAGAGAGCACTGAAAAGCTGTATAAATTAGACACAACAATGCAAAATTCATGCACATAAATTCGGCCCATTCATGAAAACAAAAAAAGGCAAGAATATCCCAAACCCTCGTAGCGACGCAACTCCGAACAAAATCATTATAAACAAGTGAAGGTGAAAGGGTAGAGAAAATCACACAAACCTTAGTCTTCTCCCACTTGTCTTCTACATCCTGCAGCCACGACAAGAAGAGACGTCCGTTATACCTAGAGCGCACGTTCTTGTCCTTATCATCCTAAAGCACAAGAATAAAATGATGTCCAAGTGCACCAAAGAGCAGAACAACAGAGACCACCTGACATAGGAGGTGAACAAACAGTACAAGCTTAGTTTGGACTTGCCTTTTTCTCGGGAAGAGACTCTGGGCTTTTGATGCATATCTGTGAAAGAGCAAAAGAGGGAAATAAAAACCAGCAGAATGGCGGGGGCAGCGCCTAGAGTTCAGATTGAGAGCTACTGCACACGAGTGCAGCTTGAAAGCTGTTTTCTCATTTCTCCTTACCATAAAGAAAGGAACAGACACTACTTCAATCTGCAAGTGCCTCCACTGAAAGTTTTCACACTTGATCCATAATTTAAAGCAAAAGCTGCAACCACAAGCTCGCATCAGAGTTTTAGAACGTCCAAGGGCTGCAGAAACTTCCCCCGAGCCGACGAGCTTGTGCCCAAAGCCACGGCTTCTACTTGAGTAAAGAGTGGTCGGGGCCGCTCGGGCTGAAACCTGCCCAGGAGTACTCTTCAGAAGCAGACAAACAGTGAGCCCAGTTGGACCCACCTACCTGCTCTGGTTTGAGAACGTTGTAGATCTCCTCGTCCCTGAGTATGCTACAGGCAGAAAGAGGCACTGCCTGGTTCTGGATTGCACGTGCTGCCCGTCCATGCACTCGCAGGATCTCCTGTTCAGCCGAGAGCACCAGTTTCTCCTGGGAGAAAACGAGGCTGTGAGCACACTGGGCTGCCCGCGATGGCACCTGCACGACCGACACTTGCCCGCTCAATCAAGTGTTGCAGTCGCAACTTGTAACGCTCCTGTTCTTGTTCACCAAACAGCTCCTTCATGGGTGAGCCGCTCAGCGACTGTGGCAACGAGATCTGAAAAGCAGGAAGCCTTTGCACATGGCCACTTTCACGTGCCTAACAAAGCTAGAGATTGAATCGAAAAATTTACTCAACCCGGCTTTTAGTTTGCGAAACTTACGACAAGCCCGCAGTCTGGGGACTGTGGGCTTGTCGTAAGGAACTTACGAGCCTCGTGTAGGTATTTCAAAAATACACCCACAAGCATCTGCTCACTGCATGTTCAATGACTGATTTTTGTGCAGCAAAAATAATGCTTCAGAATGACAACTAATTAAACTCCAAAAAATAAAACTTTATGAAATAAAAAAAACGGTCCTCGGTGCCCCAGCCTGTAATAGACCTCTTTCAAAATCAAAACGATCCAAGCGGCGTAATGTCGGTCAACCTCAATTCACGACATCAAGTCAAAACCAAGTACTGTAGTAGATGCATTTTCAAATATGTGACTTTCCTTACATTTATAATACTGTAGGTGTAGCCTACAAATACGGATGGAATACAAAGAAGTACACTGATCCGGCCATCCTGTTCCGTTAGCTCCTCAAAGCACGAGGCTTCATAAATTATCCGTGACACGAGAGGGTCATGTTGCACTCTGGAGTACAGCCAGGCCGCCAACGCTGCCGGCTGTACTCCTATTCTTCACCAAGTCTAAGCAGGTCCTTACAGCCATTGGAGGTCCGTGTTTCAACGGGGGGCTTTCAGGGCGATCAAAACCGAAACTGTGCCACTCCTCTCTATGGGCAATCAGGTACCATAATGCAACGTACGCAGTGTTGCATGTGGGGAGTTTCGAAAGCCCTCTATTCTAAGCTATTCAATGATGGCGGCTAGAGACCACCAGTGGTCCGGCGATGCTCACAGCAGCCAAGACAACTCACCACAGGCACGGAGAGACGCGACGATGGATTTCCTTCGAGCACGTACGAGCCTCGATTGAGAAGATAGTCCTTAAAACCCTGGGGTGGTTTGGGGTGTACTATGGCCATGGCCTGCCGCCTCTTCTCGACCTGCCGGCGGATGTCCAGAAACATTTGAAAGCCGTTGGCCACCGGCTGCAGGCCGTCCTCGCCCAAGGGAGCCGGCTGCGGTGGTTGCGGAGGCAGCCCGCTAGGGGCCGGCAAACTCCCGGGGTGGTGCTCCTCCCGCGCCCGTAGCTTGCGCTTCCGCGGGTGCACTTCCGTCGAGGCCCCTTCCTCCGTGGCGTCGTCGTCGTGCGTCAGCGCCGCCCGATGGCTGCTACGGGTCACGCGCTGGCAGCGCTCTTCCTCCCGCCGTCGCTCCCCGGCCTCGCCGCCACCTTGCTCGGGCGATCCTTCTCCCACAGGCTCCGTTGAATTCACCACATAGGGCAGGGCCGGCTTGGTGGAGGATACCTTGCGCTCCTTCGAGCAGGCCCCGCTGACCGGCTCACCAGCCTCCAGCCCACCCACACTGCTGGGCGGGAGAACAATCTTGAGAGGGGGCACTTTGGGAGAGCTCCCGTGCCCGTTTCCCGACGAGGAGCCGCACGACGCTTCCTGGGTCGCCAACGCCTGGTCCGTGTCCATCTCTTGTTCGCTGGGTCCACTCTCCGTGTCCGAGCTGGAGTTGCCTCCTCGCTTTCGAGGCCCGCCAAAGTTGGACTCCGCCTCGGGCCCCCGCGAGTGGGCCTTCTCGCCTCGAGACGGACGCGCTTTCCCTGTCGAGATGCCGTTGTTGCTGTCATTGCTGCTGCGCCTCCGCTTGCGTAGCGGTTCGTCCGAAGCGGCCTCGTCGCAGTGTGGCTCTGCCAAGGAGCCGTTGAGCGTCTCCCCCGTCAACACCGGGGTCTGCTCCTCGCCGGAGAGTGCCGGGCTGCTTGACGAGACGACGTCTACTAGAGCGGAGCCCCCGGCGGCAGTGGTCGAAGGCTCCTCCTTCTTGCCATTCAGGTCGTACGCGTCCCGACCCTGGGCCTCCATGCTGACGCAATACAGCGGGTATTTGGGTGCAGCAGTGGGAGCAGACACGGGGCTGTGGCTCCTGGATGGCCCCTTGTCATCCCTCGACCGGACCGACTGGAAGCGCAGCGTCAGGCGAGATGAATCGGGGCTGCTGACAGCTGCAGGCGAGAACAAAGAAGAGAGTGGTCTTACGACGGTCTGCTGGGCTCCCGACACTAGCCAAGCGCTTCCCTCTTTTCTCCCATCACATTAACAGTCTCGCCGTCAACCAGTCCTGCTATCCACTACCTCTAGGGTCTACAGTTATTCGTTGGAGTTGAGCCAGGCAATGTGAGAGAGGTTTTTCACCCTTTCAATGGGTTGTGTATTAGTGCATAAACCGAGGAAACTAACATTTATAAGGCAATGAGACCGAGAGATGCAGACCTAAGAAGTTTAGCAACACGATACAAATTTTGCAAGAAATCCAGCGCTATAGATGTGGACGTCAATTTCACGCACAAACCTTCTTCCACCTACGATTTGTAATAGTGAATTGCCATTAAAAGAGTGCCGTTCAAGTGGCGGAAGCGTTTGTCTCTACTTAACTTTATGTGCATTGATTGGATTTGTCGAACGAAGTAGCAAGCTTGCACAGCCAATAAAAGACGTTTGCCAACGTTCCGATGTCTAACTGAACTGGTGAGTCGTACAAGCTGGAAGAACAGTTTCATGTAACCGCATGTTGTCTAGATACGAATTTAGCAAATCAAAAGGATCTTGACATCAAGGATAGACCCCAATATCATCTAGATATGAATTTAGCAAATCAAAAGGCTCTTGACATTAAGGATAGACTCCAATATCAGACTTTTCAGCATTGAGATGCACACCGTAATCATCAACCGATAAGACAGTACCGGAACTTTTTGTCAATTTGGTAAAGGTTGAGTACATCTCCCAGAGCTGGATGTTATGCCATAAATGATAGAGAAATCGTAGTTTCATAGTTTCTGCTAGCATCCCGAGTAAGAGTTACGACAGTGCATAAAGTCTTTTAGAGACCACACAAGACACAAAAATTGTAAAACATTGACTCAGAGCATTAACACTTTATCAAAAAGTCACTATGAAGATGTACTTGTTGAGAGAAATGTCATGCATCGTTGGGCAATCTTCTGTCATGCATAAAAGCCTAAGAGCCACTGGTCTACCATAATCTCAGAACTAAAGCTATGAATGAGGCAGGACAGAAGTAAGAAGAGACTAAAGTAGATGCTGTAGAGTAGAGAAATGCTGACAGGTACTTGGGTCCTGCTACTAGCCCCACCAACAAGGTGACAACAAACACAAGAGGGCATTCCAAAAGGAGCTTTCTTGCCAGTGGTAGCCATGAGAAAATGTAAATGCATTGAAGTGAGAAGGAGACAGAGGAGAAAGTACAAGCCAAAGAGAATCCACTCAAAAAGGAAGGGAAAAAGAGGCCTGCAAGTCAGGTGTCTGAAAGAGGTTATTCTAACTCCAGGCAGCGCAAGTACAACTACCCTTCCGACAGCCTTAGAGCCCCCCACAAATAATCGAGCAATGCTGGCTCTTCCAATCCCCTCAACCGGCTCCCAAGAGCACCTCGTAGCTCGAAGGCCTTTGTGCATGCACTAGTCGGCCTGCAAGGTGCCAAGAGCTGAAGAGGAACGCCAGAGATAAACGCCTCCAGTTCAGGCCGGCCCCTCGTCCCCAAAGAAGGAAAGCTGGGAACAGAGTCAAGAAGAGGGCAGGATGGGGCCACCTTTCTGCATCTGACTTTGAGCTGGGTTGTTTTTCATGGCAGAAGGAAGCGATGGCGTCGCCTCCTCCTGCTGTGCCGCCTTCGCAGCGGGCCCCACTTGTCCAGCGGCGTCCCTTCCAGCTGCCGATACAGGCCTGCGCGCAAACGCATGTGCCCGCCAGCCGTCAACCTCCCAGCCCTGCGCAACCCCGCCAAAGCCTCCAAGCCACTGCTGGGCCGCCACGCAGACTGCCACACACTAGAGCGCACAAGAGGGCAAAGCTGGCACACAACTCGCGGCATTTCCGATGCCACGGAGGATTAATGCGCATCAGCCAAGCTTCCGGGGCTACCGGAACACTAAGGAAGGAACACTCGGTAGCGGGTTGCGTCTCCCACAAGCAGTAAGTGAGGGCCAAGCATCTAGCATACCAGTGCACGTGTAGGTCTTGAATGTGACATTCAGTGCCTCAATGACATCGGGGTCCCGTGCAAAGTCCACCGGAGTGCCGCCACATGCGTTTTTTGCGTTGCGGTTAGCACCATGCTGCAGGAGTAGGGTCACAATCTAGAATCAAAAGACAAAACAGATAACTCAGACATCTTGACAAGAAAGCACAATGTAAAACAAAAAGTAAATGCATGTTACTAGTTTTCCCCAGCTATTAAAAATATATTTGGCAGATATAACCTTTTCCGATTAATAAACCGCTCGACACCAAGGAGGACCTAGGTCAATTTATTGGTACTGACAGCTGTCAGAACCAATATTCTAAATGCCTCCTATCAGACCTATATTTCAGGACAAGATGTCCTTATGCAAAGCAATTGAAGAGTTCTAGTCACTGTCATAAGATTAAGAGAAGTATTCAAATCCCATTGCCTGAAAAAGTATTTATATGCACAATTAATTTGTTCACAATTTATATAAGGTGATGATGTCATAATTTCAAATGCTCAGCATTACTTGTTGGATGTTAGTTCTGTAGTTTTACTACAAAACATATGCAAACATGCCAAAAGAGGCGCACGCACTGGGACAATGACACACTATTCCAACTAGTAGGCTGACACGACAGTACCATTAATGATTGGGTGCAAGGAGAATGCAAGTTTCTGCACTACAATAAAAAAATACCTGCTCATCAATCTTTTTTTAAAATGGACTTGTATTTAAAGTAGAAAGCAGTTTTTATTTAGAAAACTTATTTCTCAATGTATTGATCACAAAAAAAGAAAAAGAAAAAAAAGATGGACTATTAAGCAAAAGACAACAAAAGCAATAATAATGTGCAAAATCGTAATAACAGTGAACTCCAGTGTCTCAATGGCTGGTCTCCCCAACCCTCAAAGTTAGCAAACCTACTGACATAGGCACTTCCATGAGCTTGAAACTTTGTGAAGTGTTAGTCCAACAAGGGAAAAGATTATGGATACGGTATTAATCACATCTAACCTTAGCACACGCTAATCCTGCGGTTGGAGCGCTTCAACCTCTTTCCAAGTTGCATGTCTCTTTTAGGAACACTGAACTCGATTAACTGTTGTTCTGTCCGTTTTTTTTTTTTTGTTTTTTTTTATTGTCCTACGTTTCAGGGTTACTATGGATGCCATGCAACAAATTGCCCTAAACCCACCTGCTAGCCTTCTCGATGACCGAAACTACACATACAATCCCTAGCACACCGGTTATGACTGATTAGTGATAAGACTGCATGAGGTCAGACAAAAGCAAGCTGAACGCGAGTCTCAGCTTTAACCACAGCAGATGCAGAAAATAGCGGAGAAGCTCTTCTTAGAAACTGGTTCAGTGCAAGGTACTAACTTAAATTATCTAGATTGCTGTTGCTGCTACTATACTGAGCAGACAGCAAGACTGCGCATGATATGAGTGCCCCCACCCTCCCAAGCATTTCATTGCATGCAATTTATGAGCCAAGATTTACATTGAGGCAAGCCCACTTCATAGCATTAAATATTATGGGGCAGCACCTGTTGCAAGAAGCACTAAGCTATTCACTATTCTTTGCTTACCCTAAAGGAGGTACTGTAGCCTTTGCTCCAGTACCTCCTTTAGAGCCCAACTTTGGAACGTTTGCTGGCTGCCAGATTTAAATGTTCCTGCTATTGGCAATATGCGTGACAAAAAACGCCGCTGTGGTCAGCTTTCCACGACTGGCCAAACAATCACTACAACGTCTTTTGCAGGACTTCAGAGTCACTAGAAAGCTATGCTCCGATAACAAAGACTTTTCCCTTATTATCCGACATCGCCATGATGGTCATTCGTTCGTTGCAGTCGCACAATGTGTTTACATGCCAGTGGCTCGTGGGCAGCTCCATTTTGGTGCTTACGAAAACAGTTAAGAGCAGTTGTGGTTCTCAAATGAAAATCTTTGCATGGCAGATATGGTCAATAAATCACTGCGGTATCGTCATACTTTGCAGTGAACTGTTTTAGTAGTTTTTGCAAGACAGAAAGCACCTTTTGCATCTTCTATCAGGCAGATCGGCAAAAGCTGACGACAACTGGCAACATTGATTCTACACACCAATATGGCCGAGATGTCGTTACATAGCTTATGTAGTTACTCTACAGTCAGTGACAGGCTGAATTCAGCAGAGCCATGTTGGGAGAGTTTGACCAGTTTATGATCTCGCCGCTGTAACGTCCCCTTCCTGAATGAGCCAATCGGCCCGCGGCACAGAGTGAGAGGCGTGATCGCATGCGCATGAACTCCCAGCTGCTCCCACCTTAGCGGGGAGGGCCGCCATACTTTCATTCATTCGCCCAGTGAAACGCATGGGATCAACATCCAGATTTCGCTTCTTTAATTTCTCAGGCTCTGGCAAAAAAATTATATAGTGTTATTCCAATGTGCGTGAAGAAGCTAACGAATTAAGCTTTCTCGACGTTAGAACGCAAACTTTTACTCGGGCGAAAAAGAAGTCGGCTCGTAGCAGACGACGCATAGCCTCAATAGTGCTCTGCGCCGAAAGCGTGTTGCGTCAAAATGGCAGTAGTTTCCTCTTTGCCCCCTCCTTCGGCGCCTTCCTCCCTTTCCTTCATTTTTCTCCTCTTCATTGCCTTCGTCACCACACCTACTGGCAGAACTCTCCCAATACACAGCTCTGGAGTTCAGGGGGAAGCTCCTGCCACTTCTTTCCACGTTGGCAGAGCGAACGTTGGAGAGGAGGTGACCTCCTCTCCAGCCTTGCTCAGCTAAATTGGAAAGAGGTGGGAGGAGCTTCCACTTCACTCTTAACCAGTCACCGACTCTAGTAGGATTTGTTCCGCTTTCATCGTCGGAAATAAGGGCAATGTCAAACTGTCAACTTTGGCGGTGTTGATTTAAGAAAGCAAAGATCCCAAGCTTTCAATATGCTTTTTACTTATGCACATCACCGAATTGGTCGTTCACGATTGATAAGTAGCAGCCAAAATCACAATTTGTGATGCCACGGCGAGGCAAACCCTGGTCGCGACGTCACGGATCGGAACCGCTAGAGGGTGCCATCAAAACATCTCGGCACTACAGTGCAATGCACTAATAACGACACCAGCTATAACGATTTACTGCTTATAAAGATCAGTGTCTTGAGCTTCTAGACTAGAAACGCTCAGTTTCTAGTCCAGATCTAGAGCTTCTAGACTAGAAACGCTCAGTTTCTAGTCCAGATACAATGATAACCGGTAATAACAATTGCATTTTTGGGTTTTCTCTCTACCGTTATAAGTGGATAGCACTGTAATACTATAATTGCAAGCCTCTAACTTCTTTTCAACTGAAACATTAAGGCAAAAAGAAAGCACATTTCTTTGGCATTCTGGTATCCAACAGCAGCTAGGGAGCAAAGCAACATAAATAGTAGGGCCAGAGGCTGACCTCAGACTTCCCACAGATGACCGCGTTGTGCAGTGGGGTTTGTCCATTGAGGGACGGTGCACAAACATCTGCCCCCGACTCAATCAGCATTTTAGCCACCTTAAACCATCCAAAGTTGCATGCCTCATGCAGCGGTGTCAAGCCTGAGTGGGAGGCAAGCACAGCATTCGGAAGCAGAAGCACCAACACCATCAGCCAGCACCAGGAGTCACATGCAAAAAGCTCGCCAAGCTTGTTATGACATGAGGCACAAAACAAACAGGTACACAAGGACAGACTTCAAGGATATCTTTAGACAACCCACCCTCGAAGAGCACATGCACAGAGATAAACAGACAGAATCCAGCATGCAACAATCAACTGAGATTGGAGTTTTGCTATCATTCGGTGAGGTGGGGAGAAAATAAAAAATTCACTATTTTCAGGGGGAAATTCAAAGGGCGTCAAAAGCCCTAACAGCTGGACAGCCATTCTTAAAATATTTACTACTAATTTGAAGACTCTCCTTATGGTATAAAACAGTTACAGATTGCTACCAGTTTCTATGAGCAAAGAAAGTGGCCATTCAGATGTTGCAACCACAACAAGTTTGATTCAAATGGGGAAATAAAATGTTCAGTTTTCCTTTCGAGTACTCAGCAGGAATGTGCACTTTCAATGACAAATGGCTCGCATTATAACACTAATACTGCCATGCACTGAATAACATAAGAATGTGCCAAGTATTGCAGCTATGAATAGTGTCTGACATGCCTACCCCAGAGAGTGAGAAACTTTGCACCCGACAGGGTATAAAACAGGTACCCAATCGAAAGAATGCTTATAGCATCCTCGATCATGCGCACCGGTGCGCACCGGGGCACTGAGGTGCGCCCCTCCATCTTCGATCAAGTGCACCGGTGCGCACCGTACGTCCTCGATCAACGAAGCGCACCCTCCCGGTGCGGCTTTTCGTTGCCCCAACGCGCACCAAGAAAATCGGCGGTGCGCCGGGGGGCAGTCCCATCAGGCATTGCGGCCAGGAGCGGGAATCGAGAAGATGGCGGGAGTAGCAGACGCGCAGACTATCGAGATGGCGATCTTGCAAAAACGAACACGCCTCGCAGCTGCACTTCGGGTCTTCTGACGGCGAGACGACGAGCTTCTCACCATCGCCGCGATTACTGGCGATTGCTGCGGTGGCAAGGAGCGCCTGAAAAGCACGAACTTCGTGGAAAGCGGCGCGAGGCGTTTCGATGACAGCGAGGTACGGCTATTATCTGGTGTTTCATTTTCTTGAACTAATAATGATGGCCAACATATACATGTGGAATTGTCACCCCCTTCGTGACCCCATCGACAATCACGTCCACGATGTTTATTTCTGTGGGACCGTCAAATCCGCGAGTTAAAAAATAGAAGAAATTGACAGTAGACGGGCACCGTGCGCTGACCTACGCAAAATAAACGAACAAAACGCAAAGTGACGCAAGGTGGAGCTCGCCGCGGTGCACCGGCGCGGCGCAGTTTGTCCTCGATGTTGCACCGACATCGCGCTGCACGACCGAGGAGCGCTGTGCACTGTGCTGGTTTCAGGGCGATTCCGGTGCGAGTTGATCGAAGATGCTATTAGATGCCCCAGTTGTATTGTAATTTCACCACTGAAAATAGTGCCCCCACATTACGATAGTCACAGAGCTTGCAACACAAAATAGCTTGTCCCCTGAATAAACCCAAAAATAAATTTTTGACATTTATGTGACAAATAAACAACGTTCATCTGGCATGCTCCAGTGAAGGGGTTAAGATCAATTTAGACTACCAATGGTCATTAAACATGCAACCAAAATCTTGGTTACATGGCACCTTCACCACACTGAGTCTCCATCTAACTGAGGGCGCCTCGGTCGGGATTTAAACCCACAAACCGTGGATCATAGGACAGCACTTCGGCCTTGTAGCCACCGAGGCAGCTTAGTGAATTTGAAAATGATCCACAGCTTTGTAGCATTTTAAACAATCAGAATTGTTCTGCTTCATCATTAACACACTGAAAGCAGTGCAGCACATAAAAAAAGTTTGTAAAAAAAGAAGAAAAAAAAACATTACAGTTATATACCTTTTGAGCGTATAAAGTGTACATTAAGGAATAAAAACAGTGGGTCCTTTCCAGAAACTCTCAGCCCTCCAAAGCTATCAAGACGATAAAGTAGTAGGGGTGTGCAAACACAAAACAAATTGGAAAAGAGAAAAAAACAAAAAAAACTTACTATCTCGAATAAAATATGTAGTGTCACAAGCAATTAGAAATGACAAAAGCATCCTGCCAAACTCAAGATTACATACAACTAAAGGGGAGACATGCAATGGACAAACAGTGACGAAATATGCTAGTAGGAAGACACAAAAAGCAATTCCAATTTTGATTAATCATGTGCTCCAAACAAGCTCAGTTGCTCAGGCTATCCACTAGTCACTGTAATATTTGGTAACTGCTCACAAATGTTAAACCAGTGCAGCATATTAAAAAGCATGTAAAAAATTCTAGCTATAAATTCAATAAAGAAAACTTCTACGCCCCTACAGCACAGATGCACCATCACCCATGCAACAGGAAGTGACACACATGTACAGTAAACACACAACTATAAGCTGCAGTGTACTTGCATGCAAGAGGTAGTCTGTTCCTTTGCCAGTGAGGTAAGAGATATTAACATTGTTAATTGGCTTTGCGTGGTGCTTTAATTGCTTGAAAGCTGTGTGAGCAGCTGTCAGCCGTGGCCAATATATAAGGGCTGACCCTTTAATTTTCTAATGTGAGAAATGTGAAGGCAGTGTAACATACACCCTCAACAAAGGGCACAATGCTATTGTCGCACAAGGGCACCACCGTCGGCAGATCTTGCCAGTGCACCATACTGCTTTACAAAGCAGACGACAAAGAGGTTGGCATGCACTGCTAAGCTATTCGCCACCACTGCCTGGTATTACAGGAGGACACAGAGATACCCAAGCTGAGAAAACAAGGTGAGAAAAGGTTACCAGACCCGCAGTGTCACGCGAGTTGGGATCGGCTCCTTTCTTGAGGTACCGCCGCACGCTGGCAGTCTGGCCACTGGCTATGGCAAGATGGAGGCGCCGGAGGCACCGCTCCTTCTTGCTGTGCTCAATCAACTTGGCCAGTGCTCGCAACTTTGTCTTCGCTGGAGCAGCAATTTTTTGCGCCAGGGTAGCATCTGGACAGTGAAACAAAGCACATACTTAGCGCACATGTGAACACAAAGACCACTACAACTGCAGGCTACCAGCAGGGTGCCTACAAGCTGCAAGTAAAAGACTAAAGGACGTGACGGAGATTAAAAATTTACCAAGAAGACCACCTGCATGTCTAGCAAAGGTATTCTGGGAAATGACTCTAGCACATGAAATACCTGCCTCTCCTGTCTAGTGAATGCATGATTTTGTGCTCTTTTGTCACAACACAAAATCTATATTCTGAAGGATATTTCCAAGCATGACACGAAGGAATGCATCCAAACAAGTCTAAAAAGCAGTCATAAAGTACACAATAGGCATGCTTCACAGCAGTGGCATCACTAAGGTCAGCGGCACCTAGGGCAGTGATCCGCAACTACATTCCCCCCCTCCCTCCTCCTCCCCTTTTTCATGGCCCGCTGCGATACTCCATGGAGCGCCGCACCCGGGGACGTCCGCACCCCCCCTCCCCCCTTGCGATGCCACTGTCTCAAAGAATAGAAGCGATTTCAAACTTTTTGCCAATTCAAGGCACACACATGCTTCACTTTTTGTCTCCCTCAGTACCTACAAGGATGGCCGTAACTACCAATTTTCTCACTTTGTTAACTGCAATGCAACAGACGCTTACTCTTCACAAGCTTACCTCTACTGAACAATACTACAATCGTGTTAATAATTAGCCTTTTGCATCCCGGGAATCAAGTTAATAAAATGATGTGCAATAGATGCTTTTAGGCAACAGTGCGTGGATGCCACCCTAACTGACCATTCTTAGTTTCTTATAGCTCAGGCCACTTCATGTCATCAGTATGGTCAAAAGAGATGCAGAAACGAATTGTCTAAGAGATAAACATCTGCACATACCCCAGAGTCTGCACCTGTGCCTCAACAAGATGTCAGGAACACAAGCCGACATATAATCTTTCATGCGAGGCCCGACTCCCAAAAACAATTCCTGATAAAAAAAAGAAAAAAAAAAAAAGAATTCACGCCTCGAGATTAATTGTTGAATTCACCAACCTTACTAAAGGTGAAGCACCCCACCACTTTCCCAAGGAAGGTGCGAGGGCCAGCGCTGACCAATCGCGACGACAAATAAGCAGCTTAAGCCACCTATCCATCATCGCAATTGGCCAGCACCGGCCCTCATGCCTTCCTTGAGGAACTGGAGGGGCGCCTCAATTGAAATGAGGTTTGTGAATTCGGCAGTCAGTCCACTACTTACTAGTGTGAACACAAAAATTACTACTTCCTTCCGGCCTTGTGGACAAGGAATATTAATTAAATAAAAAAAAATGATACAATCATTACCAGCACCAGTAGGAACGTAAATAGAAGAAATGGTACATATCAACTTGAACCACCTATTAAATGCCCCCTTTCAATTGAGCTCCAGTCACCTGCTGAACTGAGCAATGTGGCTTCAAAACTGGCTTGGTATCCATTTAACCCGATGGGTGGATTTCAATTGCACGTGCTTGCCCACACAAGCAGGATCATTGTGGTGGCAAAATGCACTGCCTACAATTGTGTGTCTGCACGTCCTCACCTAGCGGAAAAGACCCGAGGGACATCAGCAGAGGCTATCACCTATTCAGCTGTGCAGCAAAATCTGACACTGCCCGGTGGCCAAGATGTGCAACAGACGGAAAAGGATTAAATGCACAAGATTGACACAGCCCGGTCGCCAAGTAGTGTAACAGACGAAAGAGGATTAAATGCACAAGATTGAAGTTGCAAAGAGCTGTGGTTTTTCAGACACGTTAGTGAGCGAGTATAAATTGCCACGTACCCAGCTTTTATCCATTTTGTTTTTGTGCCACTGGAATTATCCATCATTTGTGCATGGGCAGTGTGCTCTCAACATAGAAGTGAAACTAAGGGAACACAGCTTGGCGCGATATGATGTCTACGACTCCTCTCATCCCTGCAACTGTTCAATGATGAAGCGAAACTGTTATAAGAGGAATTAGGTTGAGAATGGTTTCATATGTTTGCATCGTAGGACGACGTCAAATCACCTAATCTGTTGTATACATGCTTTGCACGCCACCACCGGAGACGAGGGGAAGGAGGAACTCCTCTCTCACCGGGATTCTCTCTTGCGTGTCCCAGATGTAGCCAAATGTCGCTATTCTCTCTCTAGAAGATTAACCAGTCACTCAAAATTCATACAAAAACAGCTTCCCCCTCATTCTCTTCCGTGGTGGTGCGTAATGGAATGATATGACGTCAGTGCAACACATGCATGGACGTTTGGACAGCGAAAGTTAGCCTATCCCAAGGGACATCCAATGATTCTGCTGTAGTCAAAGGACACAGTCGGTGCAGTACGACTGCTAGCCTGGCGTCTTTAACGTGCAACATGCAGCAGCGATACATGAATATACACCAGTATCCAGATTGAAACAGACAAGGGCAGATGTCCTGGGTTCTACAGTAAGAGCTTTCACTCCACATGCTTAGAGCCACAAGGGGTACTATTTTAGCGAACCAAGGTACTATTCATTTCTTATTATTGATCGCACCTGCAGTTCAAACGAAATAGAAAAGTCCCTCTTTGAAGGTACACTCCCGATTCCCCCCCCCATGATCAGACTTTTCTTCATTCACCAAGCGCATTACACCAAAGCCCCCAATACAAAATATCAGCGCGTGATCAGGACCACCACCATTTCAGCAAGCTATGTACGCACAAATATAAGCATTCCGGGAACTTTCCAGACCACCACAGCCTTCTCTAAACAGATGTAAAATAAAGGATACGAATCGGAACGACATATAGAGCCCTCTAAATTCACTCGTACAATAAAAAAGTAAATACAAAAACAAAAAAAAACGTCAGTTGCATAATGCCTGTCCAAAATGTCTCGAAGGACAGTTGCATATGGCACGGCAGATATTACGCAGTTCAAAGTAAGCTCGATACGCTACACGCTGCTCATCGAACCAAAAATCACTGTCTAAAGGCCAAACCCACCTGCTCCAGAGCTTTAAAGAGAGCAACCTGTGATCAGCCGTCTTCGATAAAGACACGCGAAACGACGGATTCCTCGACGCATCATGGCTTCACGGAATGAAAGGCTCAACGCCGACCGCGTGCATGCCATAGAAAAGCGACAGCTCCGATAAATTCACATCATCTGTCGAACGCAGGATAAAAGGGCCGACCCGGAACACAAAATGAACAGCTCAAGTGCGCGCGGATTAAGCTATTTGTAATCCTCGCGTTCGCCGCGAGATCCCAGAGAGGAGCACGTCGGCACGCGCAGTCAGTTCGGATCACTCAACAATGGCTGCTGTAAAGTAAAAGAAAAGAAAAATAATACTATATGGTACAGGGTGATAGGATGGTTCGATCCAATAGAAAGGCTTCTAGGTACTTTTCAGGTACGAAATACAGCCAGATTAACCGATCAAAGACCGAGCACGCACGACATTCAACGCTCCAGCACAAACTAAGCCTAAACTCGTTCTCGTCAACTATTTGTGCCATTGAAAACCAGCTTCAGTACTCAGTCCGCCGTGCAAGCACTGGCAGAGGAATAGTTTCGAATGCAAATTAACGTTTACCTCGAACGTTCTGTCTGTTTATCCCGGTGTTTCACAAGTGCTCTTTAAACGCGTGCTCACAAAGAAAGCAACCGAAAAAAAATTCTTCTCAGCCAGGTAGTACAATGTTGTTAACTGTCCACTTGCTGCTGCTGAACCCGCTGCAAGCCTGCTGCAAGCCCGCTGGGGCCACCATTGCGCTCAGAGCCATATATACGGCCTGTGCGCCGCCGCGCCGCGCCGCCGCCGCCGCCGCCCTGCGCCGCCGCCGGGATCCCCAAAGCAAAGCCGCCTGTATAGTATACAGGCGGCTTTGCCCAAAGCCAGCACGCCGCCGCCGCACAATAAATCCGGCGCGCCGCCGGCGCCGCTATTTTTTTTTTTTTTTTTTTTTTTGGGGGGGGGGGGGGGGGTATTGCTGTTTTTTTTTTTTGCTTCTGTATGAGTTTTACCTACTATATTATGCATAAAAAATTAATAGATTTTTTGCCTTTCATTTTTACTCCTGTAAATATATCAATAAATGTATAAGTTCCATAAAAAACGGAGACACGGAGGGATGAAAAAAAAACAGACAAAACAACAAGTCTCGAACACCGTTTGTAGATTATTTGAAGAATGAGCGTTGTTACATATACCGCAAGACCCTCACCACCAAAGAAGAAACACCTCCTCTTCACTAGGTCACCGAGAGCCGGACACTCAGACAGAACCCTTATGATTCATGATTCAGACATATCTAAATGATTTACACCAACCAGCCACCCTGATGACCTCGCTTGAGGGCTGACCAGCCACATGCGATAACAGGCAACACCAGCTCCTGCACAGCCCTTACAATTCTTAGAAAACAGACACAAAAAAAACGCTTCATATCACTGTCCAATGCCAAGGACGGTGTGCTTACTCAATTACCAGAGGTCAAAATACGCATGGTCTCCCTCAGAACTCTCCTACCATTGCTGATTGTTGGGCGAGTTGGTATTGTGCGTGAGAAAACATGCTTGCGCTTTAAGACATAGACAGAGGAAGAACACCACAGAGCGCTTACTGTCAACTGATTTAATCCAAGAGCCTCAGCGTAGATACACACTGCGTCACCGCACCACATCTCAACCAATCCGTGGCCCCGCCGCGGACCGCAAATACACTAACTCTTTTTCTGCAAAGTCAATTGAAACCACGCAAGATTGCAGGTGCAAACCATTATTTGCTTCTTCCACTGTTCATCGCTAGGCACAATTAAGACTGTTAGAGAGATAATTGAGGCGGACGCCATTAATAGTTCCGGCACGTGTTGTGCACGTGTTTTTTCCTGACACCCCTGAGGAACACCCGAAAAGGAGGTTAACCTTTCTAATTTGTGGTGAGCTTTGAAAACTACATTTACACCTAATTTCTTTGCCACTGATATAAAGTCATGAGAGATTCCAACGTAGTAAGGCACACACACAACATTCTTTACAACCGGTTTTTTCCACAGGAGCCGGATTAAACGTACGTTCCTTACTCCTTGAGCACAACGGTAACAATCCCATCCTGGTGTAATTGTTAAAATGGTTGTGAACGAAAATTGAGCTTGGAAGAAGGTGTTGTCGGTTTTTATCTAGAAATGCTTGACGGGAGTGGAGCAACAGTCAATTGCCACTCAAAAACTCTGAGCAACTGATTGAAATATTGAATCCGTATCATGGGAGAAGGTGCGATGTGACAGCTGCAGGCATCAAGGACTTATGTTACTCTATGGATAAGTCGGAACTGTTAATAAGGGTCAGGAGGTGGTGTGATGATAATCTAGTAAAGTTGAAGCCTGCCACTGGGATTGATTTAGATAGTTTTATCAGCATTCTGGAGTTTCATTTAGAGTTCACTGCCGTAGACTTTGATGGTTCTCTTTTTATTCAAAACAGGGTGTGTGTATAGGGTCGTGAATTGCTTCAGTGTTGTCCGAGATTTCTTTTTTAAACGAGACTTATGTACACGTTGACACGGTTGTGCGGTCCTTGTCGATTGGACCGCACAACCCTGCCATCGCAACAGTCGAATTAAGTACTTATAGACATACTGTTGCACACGGAAAAGGGCCTGTGCTGGAGGTACGGCAAGGAATCAGTCAAGCCTCTGTTGGCAGCTGGCAGCTGTCACTTGAAAATAGTTAAGAGTGGTGTAATTGCGTCTGCGATGGATAACGCCTGTAAAGAATCTCGTATGTTTTGGGTTGGTGAGGCAGTTGAGTTGCAAAAGATGCGTCGTTTGGAAGCGGGCCATCACTACGATGTAATTGTTAGAGTTGTTCTCAAGGTGCTGAAGGTTGAATCCGGCTCATGTGGAAAAACCGGTTGTGAAGAATGTGTGTGTGCCTTACTACCATGGAATCTCTCATAAATATATCAGTGGCAAAGAGGTTCCGTATAAATTTAGTTTTCAAAGCTCAGCACAAATTAGAAAAGTCAACCCCCTTTCTGGTGGTCTTCAGGGGCGCCAGAAAAAAGCATAAGAACCCAGATGTAACTTTTCAGGTAGGAGTGGTGTAGGGGACCCTCTCATTTCGTCGAAACTCGTTTCGTGGAATTACGTATCGCAGACAACTTTTCATGGGCACACGTTTAACGGACACACGTTTTGTCGACACGATCGTTTAATCGACACTCGTTAAGCAAATTGCACACTGTAGGGACATCTCGTCACGCGTGTATCATATTAGTAAGGGTTCTGATGGAGTTGCCTGTAATCGCATGTGGCTGGTCAGTCATCAAGCGGGGTCGTCTGGGTGGCAGGTTGGTGTGACCACGAATCATTTGGATCTGTCTGAATGTCCGGCTTTCAGTGACCTACACTCTAAAAAAAGGGTGTATTCTTACACCCTTTGTCCCATATAAGACACCCCAAAACGTCAGACGTCGATCTGACAGCTTTCACGATAGGCCGTGAGGTACACGTTATTAAAATAGTTAATGTACGTTTTACTGACTACAAAAAAAAAAAAAAAATAATAATAATAATAATCGGGGTTTTTTTGGCCCTGCTGCGAAACCTCAGTGTTTTCTTTCTGTGGTCTTTGATACATACTTTAGCTATTTAATCAGTTATATCGCTCCGTTAATCAAGCCCCTTCTAAAATGTATGGCCGTCTGTGCGCTGTGCGTCAAACTAAAGTTTTGGGGTGCGTTATATGGGACAAAAGGGTGTATGGTGATACTCTTTTTTTAAAGAGTTCTTTTTTGGTGGTGAGGGTCTTGACGTACATATAAGAGCGTTCCTTGTTCAAATAAACTATTCCCGTTTAAAAAAAAAAAAAAAGTTTTGAGCATTTATTTATTTATTTATTCATTAAAGTACCCTCAGGGCCCGAAGGCATTACAGAGGGGGAGAGCACATACATGAAACAAAGATGTTCATATACGCGACGCAAAGTCTTACAAGATTTGGTTGTCGGAGAAAAAAGCGATGATTTTGGCGCTGGAACGTGTACGTCTTGATAACATATATAGTAGAATCTAGTTCTCCACATAAAGGTGGAAATTAGTAATGGTTCGCAAGGAGTCGGACTCTTTTTACTAGAGTTCTTGACGTGAAAACGGGTATAAAAGCTGTGCTTGAGACTTGTTGTCTTGTGCGTTATTTTTATCGTTTCGTGTCTCCCGTTACTATGGAAGTTCTTCACCAGCTCGCCTGTGTTTTTAAAGTGTTATAACGGAATGAACGGTTTTGTAGACCGTAAAACGATTTAATGAAAACTGTGAAATAGTTTGATACAAGAGGGCTATATTCGCGTCAGTTCTTTCAAACGTATTTTATTTTGATCCACACGCCTGGCTTGTTCCTGTCACATCGTGTTTCTAGGGGTCCTTCTTTCTCGTTTCCACGCCGAAATCCAGCATCGGGGGTCGAAGTCCAGCCCGCATCCGGTCGAGTCGGGGAGGCTCTCCTTACCGGTCTTTACCGCCAGAGTATTTACTTACACACCCGAGCTCAAAATCCTTGCGCCCTCGCACATTTTGTTACCTCTGTTATGCGTCTAGCCATCGTGGAGGGCGGCGTCGGCGTGATGCGCTTGTAATAGGAGGATCTGCCGCGGTGCAAGGCGAGTTGGATGAAATCGACGCCAATCGCTGCAAGTTGTTCGTAAAAAAAAAAAAAAAAAAAAAAAAGGCTATCGTGCGGCAGTTTGTCGGCAATGCGGTGTGCCTTGCGGGGTAAACCCAGAAATGGTGTAGGTTTGATTGTTCACGCAGGCCAAGTTTCGAGGTAGGAAGGCCGTTCGTGTACCATACCCTGTCCCTGACGTTTTGCATCGTAGGAACGCTTCATGCCGTGAAGGTAAGCGAGGTTCGCGTTTGCCGCGTCGCAGTTCGCGCGGACGTCGCCGACCTCGTCGACAAGCGGGGAAAATTCCATTGGTCGACGTGGGCCAAAGTTGAACAGGGGTGCTATGTTGCGCTTTTTGCACTCCCAAGAGACTTGGAAGAGGGAAGTGACGTCAACGACTAGAGCAAATGAAGATTGGATGTTGACAGAAGAAAACAAAATCGACATCCAATCTGCATTTGCTGCGTTGTTGACGTCACTTCCCTCTCCCTAGTCTCCTGGGAGTGCAAAAAGCGCAACATAGCCCCCCAGGAGTTCGAACGGTGATGTCTGGAGTCCGGCGTACGGCTGCTGGTTCACTTGAAAGCTGGTTGCCTGGAGATAATCGCTCAATGCTCGATGTCGCCGCTGACGTTCTTTCGCGCAGACATGGAAGGATTTTTCCGTTGGCGCGTTCGACCAAAGCCGTTAGCTTCGGGAGCATAAAGTAGAGATGCTCTGAATGTGCCTGTCGGCGAAGTACCGCGAAGCCGAACGAGAGGTTAGGGACCCTGCCGTTGTCGCGATGATGACGGCTTGCGGCGTACCGAATGAGTACAGAGTTCTATAAAATCGAAGGACGTGCTCGGTCGACTTGTTAGGCATGGGGCGTGCGACAAACGCGTGGTGAGGTGGAACGCAGTGATAAAATACCTGTTGTCGTAGGTCCTCGTCTTGCGGAGGATCTTGCGCCGCGGCTGCCAGCCGGCGACATGTTCTCTTACAAGCGAGAATACACAAGACGCCGAAGCGGCCGAAGTACCTGATTCTTTAACGCACGCACTCTTCAGCACCCGCACCCCGCACCCCCCCCCCCCCCCCCCCCCCCCCCCCCCCCAGCGAAGGCACCTCTCCAGAAAAAAATAAAATAAAAAAGTGTGTTCCTTTTTATGGTATTTGCATCGTGATTTCCAAATTCATACGACTCCCTTTCTCTCTCCCCCCTCTCTTTCTAATTTACATCCCCCCTCCCCTGGATAGGTGGATGGATGAATACGGCTGAGCCCTTTGGATCGGGCGGTAGCTTACGCCACCTAGCCATTTGTTTTTACCATTTAAGCTTAGAATATTTAAATGTGAAATCTATATTCACTCCGCAGTGCAAAAGACAGTGAGGCTATGAAACCCCTTTGCCATCAGTGAATAAGAAAATACCTAGTTTTCTCTCGATTTCTGCCACCATTCACTTAATCTTTGCTTGGTAATCTCTACAGTCTTGAAATCCACTCTCCCTTCGCTGTCTCTAAAACCCAATGACTTTATTAAATCTATGTTGTCTTCGGTCCTCCCTCTTCTGCGCCACGCCGCCGCCGATCCGTTGATCCCCGCGCCGTCAACACGCCGCCGCCAGAGGTACAAACACCGGCGCGCCCGCCGCCGGCCATTTCTGACCGGCGCACAGGTCTTGTTGCGCTAGTTGCGCTGGGGCTAGGGGCTAGGGGTCTGGAAAAAGCCAGTGGAAAAGCCGGAAAAGTCGCCAACAAAAACTCATAGAGATCATACATACTAACCAGATACTAACTGGTTGTGAGGACTGTGAAGTTTACTATGAAAGCGTGCCATTGGTAGCTTGCGTCACCTAGCCACTGAGAAAAGTAAAAAAAAAAAAGCTCACACAAAAATTAAAATAAAAAAAAATATTTACAAGGTTAATTAAGTAATAAATTATATAAAAAGCATTGGAATCTTAATAATAAAATCCACATTTTGTTTGTCACAAAGCAGCGCATCCACAAACTCTATACTTGAAGTGCCGTTAAATTTAACACTATATATTTTATTTTTTATATAAAAAAATTTTAAAATAACTTATTTATTTTCAAAAATATTGAGGGCTAACTTAAAAGTATAATCTCCTTAAAAAAAATATTAACAAAAACATTATCTACTAGCGCCTAGCGCGCCGCCACGAAGCAACGGTAGCAATATGGCAGTATATTAAGCCCCACGTGACAGCCGTGTTTACGTTCGCTCGTGAACGTTGTAACGTTGAATTTGCGAATATATTTGCTGTTTGGTTCTAAATTCGATGATTAAATTATGCCACTTAATGTCCAAACGACCTAGGGATTGTTATCGCAATGAATATTCATAGAAATTTGTGTTCCCTTGTTTTGCAAGCTCGAAATTATAAGCTCCTCTCACGCTTTCATGCGCGTTTATTTCGAAGTTTGCAGGCATTACCGCCGGCTCGTCCAGTGTGCAAGTACCAAGCTGCGAAAATATCTAGGAAGGTGCGTGCTGTGTTTTCAAAAATGATATTTACGACGAAAAAAGGAAAATATTGCCTCGCGCTTCTCTGAATGTTTATTGACGGTGAGATGCACATATTTGCCCTTGCAGCTAGTGGGTCAGTTTCGCTCTGAACTACGAGCAGTCCAAAGCCTCTTGAGGAATTCTGGACTGTTGAACAAGAAGGATGGGACGTTCCCGTTTATGTTTGGTAAGACAGGAAGGAAACGAATTTTCGGGTCTCTCTACATGCTTTGCACCTGACATCATCCTATCAGCTCTCCGGCCACCACCAGAGAAGAGACCGGGACTCTCTTTTGTGTGTACTAACGTCGCTATTCTCCCTCTAGAATATTATAGACGATTAATCCGTCACTCAAAATTCGTACAAAAGCAGCTTCTCCCTCTCTTCCGTGGTGGTGCGAAATGGATGATGTGACGTCAGTGCAAAGCATGTGTATATATTTCCAAGGGTATTCCGCGATATGACGCAAACGGGTCGTGCATTGCAGGGAACGCTCGGGCCCTCCACACGAGTTCTACCCTCAGACAAGAACAGAACGGCAGGAATAACAAGGACAAAGATAAAGAAGACGGTAAGCTCAAGAGTGTTTGGGAGTGATTGCCTTGACCGGTCTGGCAGGACTTGAGGAAATCCTTAGGAGGCATCCCAACGTCTTTGCAGAAGAGTCCAAAGTGTCCCTGCTGGCCAAGGCAGCGATATGGATGATGACAGCTTATATTGTGATCACCCTGATGTCGCTCCTGTTCCCCACGAGCAACCAGCCGGATGTCTTGCGTTATGTATCTTGGAATGAGTTTTATCACCACATGCTGGCAAAGGGGGAGGTGAGAATGCCCGCGCTGCCTTTCTTAACGTTTGGTTGGAACGGATGCTCATTGTTGAAACTGGTCGTCCAGACAAAATGTAGCATACACTGAGTGTCTGCGAGAAAACCAAACTCTGTTTTTCACACCGTAAAAATAAATTAGACATCACCGAGAGCTCAAACTCCGTCAGAATGTGGCCCCAGCCGTTCGAGCAAGATGCCGAAGTTTCAGCACCAACCGTTATTCAAAAGTTATAAGCAATTTTTTGAAAATTTCAATGGAAAAATGGCGGCCGACAAAGCTCTGTGGCACCAGAAACCGAAAACGGGCAAAAATGGGCCCCATATTCCCATTGAAAAAATTTCAAAAAATCATTTATAACTTTTGATTAAGATAACGGTTTGTGTTGAAACTTTGGCGTCTTGCTCGAATGGCTGGGGCTACGTTCTGATGTAGTTCGAGCTCTCCGCAATGTCTAGTTTATTTTTGTGATGCGAAAAAAAGAGTTTGGTTTTCTCGCGTACGTCCGGTATTTACCGTTTTCATGTATTGTGGTGCAAGTGCGAGTAACCGAGCCACTCTTCTCATGTTGGCAAGGGTTGACTGCAGGACAGAACATGCCTAGCCATTGAGTTTTAAATTATGCAAAATAAGATGGATTATGTTAGGAGCATGTCGCTGAGGTTAGGTTAATAGACATTGTGTCTTTTTTGCGAGGAACTTCGGTTGCAGCAGATCATGCATCCATCTGAGGGGTGTATGGTGTAAGCAAGCTTGTCGGACCTGTATGCAAAAAATATTTAAGATCAATGGAAGCTTCTGGGCAGCACCTTACATGACCAGGTATGTCATGACAAATTGTGGAAGACAGAGGAGGTTGGCCAAGTGGAACAAAAGAGTAGCATGAGAGAGTTGGAAACAGGATGGCTCTCTTTCCTTTTTTTATGCCCACTTGGTTTCCTGTATACTCTGGGATATATCAAAATGAATACGAGATCATTATAATTGGGGTGTGTCACTGACCCTTGGATTCATTTATGGTCACCATTGCCACTGAAGCAACACCATACATCTGATCATTGCATGCCCAATGGTTGGAGAGTTGAGATGCAGTCAATGGCACATAACTTGATCTGGTTCACAAATGACCTGGTAAATAAGTTTAGGAAGTTCTTGTATAGTTCTGGTCTCATAGTATAAGTGGTCTGCACACTTCCTTTTCTAACTAGGTTGAAGAAGTAATTGTGCGACCGGAACTGGACCTGGTAACCATCTACTTGCATGACAATGCAATTATCAAAGGAAGAAAGGCAAGTACTGGTTTGATACACTGGTACATATCTTCAAACTGTCGGCACTGATGCAGGTAATTTATTTTCCAAAACACGACACATTTATAGTGGTGGAAGTTGATTGGGTATTATTTCATTCTTTGATGGAGGAAACATGTGCATCAGTTCCGTTTTTAATTTATTTAGCTCAAGGACATCCTTGCAGATGTATTTTGTGAGTGAGATTTTCTACAAAGTTAAGTAAAAGCATGAAAAGAGATAGTGAGGTAACAAAACATAGAAGCAAAAGCCAATTTTCAAATTAAAACAAGTCTTCACATTTTTTCTCAAACAGTTGCACATCTTGTTTCTCGTTGCCAAAGGGTCTGGGTGTGCATTCCAGTTGCAGATACACAAAGCAAGCTGAGATCAGGAAGATAGATTAGTATGGGACATGAAATGCTCCACTTTCTTTTTATCAATAAGTTGGAGGCCTACAGTATGCCAATTTGAAAGTTGAATGACTGCAATAGATGTGATGAAAGAAATGTAAGCGAGCAATCTTGTGTTGTGCCTGTCAAGGGAAGAAACCCATATTTTCTTTTAAACTCATGACACTGACTTGATATAGTAGTTACCACAGATGAAGTAAGCGGCACTATTTTACAATACTTCAAAACTGTTAAGATAATTTTGGTATAAGTTCCAGATTATGTTTACATCTTCCAGTTTTGGAAGGATAATAGTTTTATAGGCAAGCAGACACATAACTTGGAGTGCGTAACTGTGCACATTTAACCAAAAAGTTTTCTTGTATTTCAGCATGTTTATTCCAAGTTAAATTGTGCGTAAAATAGATGCCTAAATACTTGGAAAATGTTTTAACTTCCAGTTGAAGCAAGGGGTTCCCATATTGAGTCAGTAACACATTTTTTTTTTAGTAACTCATTTGCCTGCATTTGCTAATATTAATGTTTAGTTGTAATCACCATCTACTGGTTTTGTCCCTATCAATTTGTAAAGTGTGACTGTCATCCACATTGGCTTTTTTACGATGTATTGCACAGACGTCTGCAAACAGCCCGATTGTGGTTGTTATATTGGATAGAAGATCAATAATGTATACGAGAAATAGAGGGGGACGAGTTGCACTACCTTGTGGAACACCTGATGTGACCGGGAGTTGACGAATACATCATTCCTGGATCTATTCATCTCCTCTATTTTATCGACTTTCACCCCAAAAATGTGCAAACTAAGTTATTGTAATAAACTTTGGCTACACTGTTCAAGCTTATCAATTTAATGAAAATATTTATCTACTATATAATAGCATTTGGAGGTCTTGTGCCATTGACCCTTAAAGGGGTAGGGAAACGAAATTTCAGCGCTCATTTTCTGGCTTTAATGTGTTGCATGTTGCACCCTAACCTCAAAAACACCAGTCTTCCGTTGAAAAGCACAAGAAAACTAATTTTAAAGCTAAATAAACGATCTTCAATGTGCACCTGGTGGATGCATGCGGAGCCTATTTGGGAGGTAGTCTAGCAACATTGTGGAATCTGCTACGTAGTCGTGACGTAGCAGATTTCTTCGGAGCAGCGCCGCTCTTTGGCATTTCAACATTTTCCTTCTTAGCTTTCCTCCTCAACTCACAAGTCGCGCATTGTGCCAAACGGTCCAAGAAGACAGAAAGGCAGGACTCCCCTCTTTTTCGGACCCTCGTTCGTGCAACCGGACACAGCCATTCTCCCCCTAGAAGATTAGCCCGTCGCTCAAAACTCGAACAAAAGTTGCTTTCCCCACCTCGTTCAGCCCTAAGCTGACAGTGTGGTGGAAGCTACGTGTTCCTTGGGCCAGCCACACGCTCGTCACACTACGGGCACTTCGAGCGGCTCGGTTGTAACGCGCTGACGCTATTGACACCATCACAACGCTGACAACGCCACCAAGGGCAAAGCTCATAACTACGCCTGCCTTGCTACTTCACGAACGCGGGAAATCTTTTCTTTCTGTTTTTGTTTGCGCCGGATATCCCATGACGCATCGCGCTCTCCGTTCGCTTCTCTTCGAGCGCTTGCTCGAGTGCACCGTTTGGAACGAAAAATATGGCCAATCGTTCAAAATACAAATGCGCGATTATCATTTACGGTTATTATCCGTCATGCTTGACTCATTTCCAAACGAAATCTGAATATTTCAATTTTTGTTTATGTACCCCTTTAAATTTTTTATGTGAGGGGGTGGCAGTCTTGGCATCACGGGTGTGATTACATCCTATTGGCAAGGAGATTGAACTTTAGGGAGCGCTTTGGTTAGCTTGTTTTCTTTACAACTCTGTATTTACCCAGCATAAGGCCTGTGCACTGGTTTCTTTACATAGTTTACCTTGATCTAGCACGGGGCACAGATTAGACATGAGTGCTGCATTGTCGTTCAGCTGGGTCTTGTGTTCAATCGGTGCTGTACCGATTGAACACGAGTACGAGCCGAATGCTGCATCAGAAACAATCAAGTAATTTATCTTGTCCCCACTGCTGAAGTGAACCGCTAGGGATGTGACTGTTGGATCTCCTGCCGAGTAGGGCTATAATAGCAGTGGTGTAGCCAGGGGACGGGCTTATTGGGCTTCAGTCTCCCCCTCCAGCCACCCACCCCACACCTCAAGTTTTGGACATTCTAGCCACCTCAACCCCCCCCGCCCCCTCCTCCTCCTCCCCACGAGAAATATTCCTGGCTATGCTACTGGGCTAGTCAAAACAAACCAAATATTAGCACATAAAGGGTAACTTTGATGGAAGGCTGAAAGTTTTTTTTTGAGACTGACATAATAGTTATACTGTTTCTTCAGTGTTTGAACAATAAAGCATTAAAGTTGTTTCTATAAGTAAACTTTTTATGATCTTTCAGAATTCCTTTTAACGCTCTGAGTGCCGGGTTTCTTTCCCTTCATGCCGAACACAAATTTCGGTTTCACTAACACTGTGATGTGCTCTGTGAAGAATATTTATTTATAAAAGACACTATTTTATGGGCAAAAGGTTAGTTGATGTCTGCATTCCTCCAACCTACGACATATTTGTCGTATTGCACTTTTCAAGACACGGTACGCGGCCTTACTCTGACTTTGTTTACTTGGAACCGTAACTTCCTTATTTTCATAGTCGTTGTATGCCGAGTTCATTAGTAAGTTCTAGTTCTCGGTGTTTGCCATGAAGCACGGGGTTGAACAACATGTGATGTGACAGTACTAGTGATGTCGCCATTTGTCTTTTTGTAACAGGACAGACTTTTACCGTAATTCAAGCTGCTGCTGTTTTCTATCGAAGTTTTACGCCAACTTGACTGAATTCATACAAACTTCTACAATATTTTAAAAAACTGGCACAGGTTCTTTTTGGCAGAAGTGCCTTCTTATGTAGTCTTTTAGAATACAAAGAAAACACACTTTTTCTAGTGTCTTTTGCGAAGCCTACCCCTCTTACTTGCCCATGCAGGCAGAGCACAAGACATTTCACATGAACATTGTGGACGTGGAGCACTTTGAGGAGAAGCTGCGAATGGCGGAGAAGAGCCTGGGCATTCAGGCGGACGCCGGCGTTCCACTGGTCTACGAGCGAAACCAGGAGAGCACCTGGCTCTTGCTCGCGTCACTTATTGCAGTGGCCCTCATGATTCTGCTCATGTTCCGAAGCGGTACCATCAAGACACCGCAGGCGATGGATTTTTTTGTACGTGCCGGCATGCCGAGGCACACTAAGGACGTTTCCCGATGTCCCTGTTATCTGCAGTATCTGCCTTGCCTTCTTCATTACTCTCAAACCTTGTCGTTTGTCGTGCCTACATTTTTGTTTTCCTTTTTTTTTGCTGTTTTATTTGGAGCATTAGAATCAAGACCTCCACCTTAACATTCCTATTGTACACTCCCGTTTGATTTTCCCAAATTTAGAATTTGATTGTGTAGATGAGGTGCGGATAAATTTGAGTGGAAGAAGTTCCCATCTTTTAACTTTTTTGGAATTGTTTCCACAATTCTGGGTGGGTGCTTGCTATGTGTTTTACGACAATTAGAAACAGCATGCTGAACTGACGGGCAAGGTAGTGGCACTTTGTGATACAAGTTAATTTGAGAGAATATTGGTTCTCTCTTGCCCGTCTTGTGTTACTTTTTCTGTAGTTAAGTGGTTTGTGGCTAGAAAGGTCTACTGCAGCTTATGCCCCTGGAATAAATGAACAGCAAGTTCCGAATAGAATGTGTTGTAACCATCCCGGTTAGGTATGGCACTTCCTAATGCCTTAGCCTATTTCTAGGTGCTTTTTCTTGGATGTGCTGTAGCAAGGACCATGAAATTTGGGACTCTTCAAAACCTTGCTTACACACATTACATAAAACAGTTCTTCGACTCCCATGACATAGCCCACCATTTTTTGGGGGTCTACAATGAGGGCCCCTCTGGTTTTGAACTATTATTAACTGTGATGGAAACAGTACTTGGCTACTCGCTAGTTGACTAGTACCAGCCTCTTGTTAGTGGTAAAGCATTCTCTTGTCAGTGGCTGGTTTTCATAATGATGGTGCTTGCAGAGTTGTTTCTGCACATGCAGTGTGAGCAGATGAAATCTTGCCAGTCATATTTTATTGAGTGCCGTTAATTGCAATTATATTCTGAAGGTCTACATAGAGCTTGTTGTGCAATGCTTTGTTTTATACTTCCCTTCCTTTTTCGTCCTGACTTTTACAGTCTCAAATGAGCAGGGCCCGTTTCACGATCGTCGACCCTTTGACGGGGTCTGGAAAAGGCGTTCGATTCAAAGATGTCGCAGGATTGCAAGAGGCAAAGCAGGAAATTGTGGAGTTCATAGACTACCTGAAAAGGCCTGAACGCTACACTGTAAGTTCTTATTGAGTGCAGACGTAAAGGAACCTTAATTAATGTTGTTCTGTCAAGCTCTATTCATGGAATTGCTTTATTTCTAGATTTATCCCCTACACCTAACTGAAACAGAATATTTCAGTAAAATTAGATCCTTGTCCTTAGAACTGAGCATGAAGCCTAAGAATCGCAATCTGACATAAAGTAGTGACATATATTGCTTGGCTAGTTGGTGCTTGTTTAGGTACCTAATAAAATAGCACAAAAAGACAAGGAAGAGAGTAGAAGGGCGGGCACTAGTTCTGTCTACTCTCTTGTCCTTGTCTCTTTTGCACTATTTTATTTTGAGATAAAATAGAAGCCAGGCAAGTGCCATGAGGCCACCAGGGGTTTGCATGGGTAGGCAAGTCCCCAAAACATTGGAACTTGAATAGCGCTAAATCAAAGTAAAATGTTCTAAAGTTACTTCAGTCTACAAAAAATAGGAGTATCCCAAGGCTTTGCACTAGATCGGTGGAAGCGAAGTCTGTACATATATAGTGTGTCCGTACGATGTAAGCATGTTTGCAACTACAAATGTTGATGTCTGACGTATTCCTCCACCTCCCACACATATTCATGCACACACTTAATATACAAAATCCTACCCTGCCTTGTGTTTAGCCTTTTAATTCATTTATTGATCCAGTTCTTGTGTGCGGAAGTGCAGCCCAAAAAGAGCATCCTCTTTGTATGCAGCGCCTAGGTGCCAAGGTTCCAAAGGGTGTACTGCTTTTGGGTCCTCCGGGCTGTGGCAAAACAATGTTGGCCAAGGCAGTTGCCACTGAAGCCAGCGTTCCATTTTTGGCAATGGCTGGATCGGAATTTATCGAAATGATTGGAGGCATGTATCTTTTGATTCCTTTTTATTTGCACAAAGATGACGAATGCATAACAAAACCTTTTTTGTCTAGGCCTTGGGGCAGCACGAGTACGTGATCTCTTCAAGGAGGCAAGAAAACGTTCACCTTGCATCGTTTACATTGATGAAATCGATGCCATTGGGAGAAGGCGGAGTAATCTGTTAGTACCTAAACTTCATCACATGCTTCTATATAGTATTGAGTTCACTGACCAAACGTGCTTACCAGTGAACCCCCCCTGGCTATGCCACTGGTGCTGACTAATTTGTTCTTGCTTTCCTTAGTGGAGCTGAAGGATCAACAGGGGAAGAGGAGCAGACCCTCAATCAACTTTTGGTTGAAATGGATGGTAATATTAATTCTCTTTATTCACAAAATTATTTGAGACTTATGATAGAACCCTAAAAACTGGCATTGGTGCAAACTAACCATTGATGGTCATGAGTGCAGCATGATAGTTGAATGCTTCATGCTTAATCTTTACCATTTGTCCCCCCCCCCCCCCCCCCCCCAGGAATGGCAACCACAGCAGGTGTTATTCTTTTGGCATCCACAAACCGATCTGAGGTTTTAGACAAGGTGAGCAACACAACTGCGGAATATTTGTTTGAAGTGCCTATTGTTTTCCCAATCAACTGATTCAACTCGGTGGCTTAGACGAAACCAAAAACTCAAATAATTTTTTTTTTTTTATCATAATATTTTGGGAGTTGGCCTACCTAAAATTGGGTGGAAATGGAGTGGGCTAATGTTCGGCACATAACCAAAATAAAAGTTGGAAAAAAAAAAAAAATCTTGTAACAAAAGAATGTGAAGGTGTGTTTACGCTTTGTTCAGTCACCCCTCAAAACCTTTACACTAGCAGTCGCTATCACTGTCAAACAAAATGTCGATCACTTTGTCACATAGGTCCTGTGATCTTTCAAACTTGTTATCGCAGCCGGGGGGCGGCGGCGGCGGTGAGGCGGGGGCTATTAACTAAAGAAGACTGTTCTGCCCAGTCAGCATTTATTGTCTGCCTAAGTGTCCTCGTTTCCGCTGAGGTAACCATTGGCCTGGGCAGTGCAATTACTACAAGTGGGCAGTCTTTCTGTGTTTTAAAAAAAATACAGAATTGTGTCAAAAGTAGGGGAGGGCTAGCTTTCGGGGGTGGTACATCTCCGGATATTACGGTATGCTCATTTAGAATAATGCTAGCGGGCCTCTCGCGGATCCCAGAGGACTTGTGGGTCCCCATACTACAGCCACAGCTGCAGATAATTCAAATAAAAAGTGATGGAGGGACTCATTTTGGGGGAGATGTTGGATTCATTCAATTTTGAAAATAACATTTCTGGGGCTTAGACATTGAGGGAAATTGGGTTTTAGCCTTTTAGCCCCAAACGAGGAACCATAAATGTATTAGATAATATTGGTAAGTTGAACCTGCCCACTCTTTCACATATTTAGGCATTGCTAAGACCTGGCCGCTTCGACCGTCATATTCTGATTGATCTGCCAACTCTGGCGGAACGTAAGGAGATCTTTGAGCAGCACCTGAAGGCTATCAATTTGGACAACCCTCCGTCGCATTACTCCAAGCGCCTGGCTCAGCTCACCCCAGGCTTCAGCGGTGAGATCACATCCCGTTCGTGGGTACCTTTGACAGTTAGTTTCTTAAACATGCAGTCCATGCATTTTCTCGTTCAGGAGCTGACATTGCGAACGTGTGCAACGAGGCAGCCCTGCATGCTGCTCGCAATAAAGAAAAGGCGGTGTCCGCAGGCAACTTGGAGTACGCTGTCGAGAGGGTGGTGGGAGGTGAGTGGACCGGGGGAATGAAGCCTAATGCCCATGTCCCACTAGAGCGACAGACAGAAACAAACGACAGCGACAAGCCTCAAACCAGAGTCTTTCGCGATTTGAGAGGCTTTGTAGAATAAAGGAGGCTATGCTCAAACACGAGCATCATGCACGCGAGGGTATCTTTGGCAGGCTTACAATCGCTCGTGCTTACTTCACGAGCACCGAACGACTAAACGCCTGCCAAAGGTATCACCGCGAGCATGCTGCATGGGTTCGAGGCTTGTCGCTGTCTTTTGTTTCTGCCTGTCGCTCTAGTGGGACACGGGCATAACTGTAGAGCTGCAGACGACGAAAAGCGCGTCCAGGAAGGCACCACAATTTTAAAGAGTAAAAGAGGCCTGTTGGACCTTATCCAAAATTTTTTCGAGTGGTCTCGGCGAATGAGCATTTCCTCGCTTCTCGTCTACAGGAACGGAGAAGAGGAGTCAAGTGATGTCCTTGACCGAGAAAGAAGTGGTGGCTTTTCATGAGTGTGGTCATGCTCTTGTTGGATGGCTGCTGGAGCATACCGACGCTCTCTTGAAGGTGTTTCTCACTGGACCACGCACTTCATCAGCTTTTGCTGTCATCAGTGCTTCTCATAAACTATTTTTGCAGGTATCCATTGTGCCAAGAACATCAAATGCCTTGGGGTTTTCCCAGTACTTACCTACTGATCAGAAACTCTATTCCTACGACCAGGTATGACTATGAGTTAGTCCGGCTGTTCTTAATTTGAATTTTCATATTTCGTGGCCCAAGCTTAGCCAAACGATTCGCATGGAGCACTGACGGTATTATAACCAGATTGGTTAGCATCAGAATGAAAAGGTTTCCTTAACATTTTTGGGTAACTTGCATAGCTTCCGAGCGTCTCATTCCAATGGTTGCTTGCATTATTGCAGCTGTTTCAGAAAATGTGCATGGCACTAGGAGGACGGGTGGCCGAATCACTCACTTTCAACCGAGTCAGCACAGGTGAGTCACACGTGACAGTATTCGCGACTCCAGCGAAATCAAGAGCGCATAGCGGCTGCACCGAGAAGTCACATGCATTTTTTTTTTAATAAACATACAGTAGAATTTTATTAATTCACTCTCCAGGAAGCCACAAATTTTGTCTGAATTATCAGAAATTTATATAGATATGATGCAAGACAAAATTATGATTTGCTATATGAATGGCTGCACATGCAAAGCATATATTTGATGATTTCCTCTGCACAGGCCAACTAATCATAAGCAGGTATATTGCACACATGAAACATTGGTGAAGTGTGTGAAGTTTATTCACATTTCATCTCTCAAATATGCTGTCTATTGTGGTCTGTTTGGACAGCACATGACACTTCAAAACAAGATTAAGTTTGTTCATCCAACAAATAAGTTGTCTATTGTGGACTATTAGCCCCGTTGAGCGCACTTCTTGCCGAGCACCGGTGCACTACGAAAAAGCAACAAACGCGGAAGCGAGCTCCGTGGGTGTTGCTTCTCTGCAGTGCACCAGTGGCACTCAACGGGACTCGAGAACAAAAAGTATGAATTGCACGAAAAACGCCATAGAATTAAAGGGGCTCTGACACATCAAAATCATTTTTTTTTTTTATTATCCGAAACAATTGAAAACAATGCCGGGACATTACCCTCAAACTCTGAAATTTGGGCATTCAGTATTTGTGAAGTAAAAAAAAAACAATTTCCAAAAGCCGATTTCGAAGTTCCTGCGCGATCCACGCCGGTGCGTTGACGTCAAATATTGCGGACTACTGAGAGTCCACTTTCCTTCACGACTCCCTGCTGTTGCCATGGCGACCCAAGGCAAGGAGGAAAGTAGCGAGCGCCGGCGTTGGCAGCGTACCGGTTTTGAGCGGTGTTGCCTGTTTTCCGTGGGGGGATACAAATCCAGGAGACGGCACAACAACAAACTCCTGATTTTTGGTATTTCAAAAAGAAGGGCCGTAGGGCGTTCGCAATTGCATTAAAAAACATGTTTTAGGATTGCCGTTATTAAATGTTATAGAGATGTTACCTACAAAGCTTCTAAATTTCCCGATTTTTGACGTCACTGATCAAAAGAAGTGAGGAGGCAAGAGGCGGGAAAATCAAACGCCAAAAATAAAAAGGCGCGCGCGCGTGCGGGAAAATTTTTTTTGCGATGCGTTTTTTTTTGCGTGTCTATGACTGCAACTTGCATCGTTTTAGACAATAAAAAGAATACGACCTTTGGGGTGTCAGTGCCCCTTTAAGCAGCTTATAAGTACATTGCAAATATAGCAGGACAACCAAAACTTAAAAATTTGTTTGAATTAACCCAAAGTATGAAATATCAGAGTTTGAATTATTGTGAGCCTTCTGTATTTCCTTTTTTTTTTTTTTTGAAAGGAGGTCCTTTTGCCATTGCTGGAGACTAGAACCATGCAGCGAAAGCTGCTTGGTTCTCGTCTTTACGTGCTTGTTTATAGATGTCATCTAAATGATCATGGTTCAGTGGTTCTGCAACATGATAAGGGATGATCAAGGATGGCAAAACAGTTTAATGGTGTGCCATTTTCTTTATCTGCAGAAGGAAAAACAATGCCAACTCACTACATACGTTCACGTTTGAAGCTAGAATTGAAAACCACTGACAGTAGATATACAAAACTAAGGTCGACACAAGAGAGAAACATAAATAAATCCTGAGAAACTATTCATTCTTCATTTGTTAATAAAAAATATCAGAACTTCAGGCATTAAAAACATTAGCCAGTTCGGATGCAATCTCATACATTCTGAAATGTGATCAACGATGGAGTGATGATGGGCCATCATGATCTCATGTTGCGCTGTGCCATTCATTGGCGAAGTTGGGCTGTTAGAGAATTCTCTGCATTGAAACTAAGAAGAAATAAAGCACCGAAAGCTGAGCACCCCTAGTGCGATGCACCTTTTCGATGACTACATACATGGTTCTTCGATTATGCACCGCTGTCACATTGGCTTGCAATGACCTGTGCCCACTACGAAGGGTAGCGTCCCTTTTAGGTGGGACTTGCATCGCTGTCTTAGTCTCGGTATCTGTCTTCTTGATAGAAGAGCGTGTTGGTTTAAGTCATGGATGACGAAAGAATAAACAATTAAAACAGGGACAACACAACCACATCTGTCTCCTCACAGCCTAAATTTGCTCGGACGTAGCATGGACCATAATTTAGTTGTCTAAATTGTAACAACAGCTGTGGCATATTTGAACGATGGGCAACATATCTGCAATTGCAATGTGCCAGCTAAGGCAAATATTTAGGAAGTTAATTAGTGGATTTTAGGTACAACCACTTTGCTAATTATCACTTTACACACATACCCCGACGTCCGCCACGGTCAGTAACGGACAAGAAACAAAAACAATCTTTGTTGCCTTGACGAGGTTCAGGCCCCTAGTGCGTGGCAGATGGTGACAGAGATGCAGGGAAAAAAAAAATCAGAGCAACTCATATACAGAAAATACATTAGCTAAAAGGTTCACATAAGTGAATACATATTATACAAAAAGTAGTTACAGTGATTTACGATCTATAAATGTCAAAATTATGCAATATTTATCACCCCGATCGAACTATTTCTTTATTTCGAGTGCCCTCGGTTTAAAAATAATTTTTAGTCTTCAAGTGAAACATCTTGTATATCATCCCATAAAATGGTAGAAACTGCAATTTCAAAGAAGAAAAAAAAAAGTATATTTTTTAAAAGGGAATGTTTATATGTTAAATGCAATATGTGGGATCACTATATATTCCCACTACTAGCAACAGAAGAAAAAAAAATGGATGGCAACTGTGGAAAATGTTGTGCCATAAAGAGAATACTGGTGGAAATTGTCTAGGGAGAACCAAACGACATACAACTAACACAGCTTGGGGACATGTGGGACAGAGGAAAATTGGGGCTCCCTCCCGCGTGGCTTTGGCCCCAAGTTTCAACCCTGTCCCCCACTGGGCCCGGTGCTGGGATAACATAGACTAGGTTTGAGCAGAGGAAAATTGGCGACTCCCTCATGGGGAGGGAGTGGCAGAGGGTGATGTTTTTAGTTGTTTTGCCCGAAACCCCCAAAGGTCATCCTGGTGATATTCCACACCGCCTGGTGATAGTTAAGAAATTACAGAGGGGAGCAAATTAGCTTAGAAGGGCAAAGGGAGAAGTCATGCTTTTGGTTTTTAATTCCTAGTCTAGGCGGTGCAAGCTGCCACCCGTTATAAAGTGTACAGCCATTAGCATCCATCCATCCATCGTCTCCTCTCTTCAGGTGCAGAGGACGATCTGAAAAAAGTGAGGAAGATGGCCTATGCCATGATCAGGCAGTATGGCATGAACCTGGTACTTGGGCCTCTTTCCTTCCCTGACGAAGAAAACAGCAGCAAAGGAGTAGTAGGCCGCAAGCCCTACAGCAAGAGGCTTGCAAACACCATTGATGAGGTGAGGGCAACGGTGGTACTACCAGCAATTACTGGCATCGTGAGGGCAAAGTGCAGTTCTTTTTAATCTTTTACTTGGTCTTTGAGTGTTTTATGTGCCATAAGTCAAATGCACGTTTATTTTAATAGCAAACAAGGATCCTCGTGGCAAGTGCCTACAAGACAACAGAAAAAGTCCTCACGGAGAACAAACAAAAACTTGCGTTGGTGAGTGCTCGATTGTCATAGAAAGGTGCAAGAAAACACCATAGCGTTACACTACCTTGTAAGCTAGTGCCACGCTACCAGCAGCATAGAGTTATAATTGCTACTCATACATGCTCGTACCAATATTTTCTACTTATTTCAGCTTGCCCAGGAGCTGCTGAAGAGGGAGGTTCTGAACTACGACGACATTGAGAAGCTCATTGGGCCACCCCCCCACGGCAAAAAACAGCTGATTGAAGTTCTAGACTTAGGTCCCACCCCATCAGATAAAAAGAACAAGAGCTCCGAGACCGAAGGTCCAGGAAAAGCACAAAATATGTTGAAAGCTCCGAGCTCGCAGATATAGACGATTTGTGTGTTCTTTCTAGAAGCCTGTGGCAGCAAGTTGCCAAGCCTTTTGCAGAATGGTAGTTGTAATAAAGTTGTTTTATTTCAATGCCCTGCATTGTTTATTTATTGTGCATGTTAGTTAGTGCTGTTATGAAGCAGCTCACATGTAGCAGTAAGAAGAGCAGAAAGGAATGTAACGATGAACTGAAATGACACTCGGATTTTTGGTTGATAGTGAAACCGAGCGTCGGCGCTAAGTAAAGAAACACTAAGGACATGTGGGACAATCACCCTTCTAGTTCCACTGCGAGTACATTTATTTGATCCGTTCAATCTCAACAAACCGGTCTCTCAAAGTAAAATCGGAATGAACTGCGTGCAACCTGAGCAGCTGGTTGTACTCTGGAGTTCTTAATATATTGCGGATGAGGGGTGGATGAGAGAGTCCCACTTCCAGAAATAGATGCCCCCCAACTCTGAGGTTTGTCCTTGAGTAGCGCAAGATGTTCTGCACCATGTCCAAGCCCCGGGGGCCTGCAAAGAGGGCTCCATGATCTTCGTACCTGCAATTATGTAGGGGATGTTAGCACTTTATTTTCCATTATAAAATATGGGTAATCGGGTCTCTACTTTTTACTGACGACTGGATTGATGGAATTTTTATTTCCTTGCGCTACTTGCGGAGATTAAGCCCAGTCTAGATCTGTTTGAAGATGCAGGCGTACACCGCTCGTCGCAGCATGCACGTGACAATGGCGCCCTTCCGACACCAAGTTTTGTGGCCTAAGTAGAGATTGCACATAATCTCATTCTCTTACACTAGTAATTTCACAGATGTCCTTTTAGCTGAGAAAAAATAGGACAAATGGGCGATCGTGTGTTTATGCTGTGTTGCACTCTCCAGTCGTCCGCAACATGAGGGTGAACATGTGAGGGACAGCCGATAGTGTTATTGGTTTATAATGAAACTCAACAGATTGTCACAGCCTTCCTTCAGTTCCATCTATTTTTAGGCTATCAACAAATGGTCTCTGTGTATTAATGTGTTCAATTTATGCTTGCTTCTGCAATGTAAAATCAAACAAGAGAATACACATTTTTCATGTGTATGCCATTTATGTAGCAATCCAGTTTGTATTTTTACACACTAAAGCAATACCTTAATACTTCTGGTTCGAGATCCTTTGCCTCTTCCGTACTGATGTATGGTGGATTGCTGACAATGACGTCATAGACTTGGTTCAGCAAGGGTGAGTAAGCAGTATCTATCCCATGGGAGCTAATCTCGGCTTCGTGAAATGTCGCACAATGGGCTAGGTTCAAGTTCGTTGCATTTTCCTTTGAGAGTTTCACAGCTTTTGGATTCTTGTCCACCCCAGTGCAATGTATCTGTAAAAGAAAAAAGTAAGGGCATCCCGTTTTTTTTTTGTTTGTGTAAAGACAAATCTACTGCATTTTCTATGTGCCTTCTTGCCGCCATAGTCTCCTCACCCAGCCATCTTTATGCCTCGCCTTAACCACTCGTGCAAAGGTGAACCTGCCATACCCCATTTCTAGTATATTATTTTTTTCCCCAAAAGTCATCTGGTGGAATTGCCTCCCTAATCTCGTCACTGAATCTAATCCCAAACGTTTTCGGGCTCTTATTTGTCGTCATTTAGGGACTGATTTATGTTCAATCAGTTTTTGTTTGTGATTTTGGATGTTCTAAGGGATGCGATTGATTATTGATTTGTGTTTTTACTTTGACTGATTGTTTTGTTATTGCTTTGGCAATTCTACTGTCTGTTGTCATTTTTTTCCCCCCCTTCGAAATGTGTTTTTTCCCTTTTATGCATAATGTCCTCGAAGACACCTTTAAAGTATTTCAATAAATAAATAAATAATGTCTACATGCATTTACTTAAGGTTTTATCAAAAGATAGGAACTCTAGCTTCCAGCCCCACTCATTTCAATGCTGACAAATAATAAAATTGCAACCTTGCTCACACACCTGAGCAGCATTTCCAAGCGCTAAGCAGATAGCACCAGTCCCGCATCCAATGTCTAGTACCGTAGAGGACTTCGGGGTTCGTTTGAGATGTGACAGCACAATGTCAACCAAGTTCTCCGTTTCTGGCCTCGGGATAAAGATCGGAGGTTGCATCTTCAGAGTAATGTTGTGGAAGTCCCATTCTCCAAGAATGTACTGAACCGGCAACCTATAATGAACAGAGCAAATAGTGGCTAACGAGTTGTACCCCCCCATGCAAGCGTTCCGCAAGCTGACATGTAACTAGCGCTAAGAAACTGTAGAGCTAACCTGGATGCTCTTTTTTCGCAATATTCATCTATTTGTTTCACCTGGAGTGCGGAGAAAGGCGATCTCTCTGCTTGGTTTGAGTACATCTTGACAAGAAAGAAAAACAGGAAAACTGTCAACGTTTGAATGAAGCTAACGGCACGGTACTACGGACCTCTAAGGTACTCCTTCTGCCCATCACGCTTGTGAGGATACAATTCAGCGAGGCCCTTGCTTCGTCCGTGCCGATACCGGCGTCGTGGAAGGCCCTCAGCCAGTACTGGAGTCGTCGCGGTGAGTACACTACAGTTTTCCTCATTTTCGTTGTCCAAACACGCACATGCGGATTTATGCGAGCACGCGGCACCCGATCAACGCCTATGAATGAATGACCATGACTATGTCCACGGCAACATCAACGCCCCGCACGGAAACACTAGCGGCACCGCAACAGCCGCGACACCTGAAGCTCAAGAATAGCTGCAGGGGGCGCTTCAGGTTTCTAACCGGCGCACACTTTCATCCAATTTTTTATTTGTAATTACTGTGATATTTAATGTAATATATCTAGCGAACGTTCAAAATGTATGTGCGTGTTTTTATTAAGGCAAAACAACTAGAGAAACGTTCTGTATTTAAAACAATTGACGTCTGTATAGCAGCGCACGCAGCGGTGAACAGTGAACTAAGAGAACGACAATAATTTTGACAGCTTGATAGCACCTCACGGTGATGCGTGGGACTTGGCTTAAGGGAGACGGGAGACTGCGGTGACGGCGACGGTTCCAGACGGTTGCAAGTTCTCGCTCCGCTGGGAATTAGTTGTGATGGCTGCATTCGTTCAAAATCATTTTCTCTTGGATGACCCTTCGTATAAAAAACTGCAGGAATACTACAATGCAAAAGGCAAGACCCTTAACATGCCTGCTCTTTTCAAGGAGGACCCAGAACGTTTCAGGAGATACAGGTGAGTCTTCAACCATTTCGCTCGTTTGTTTTGATCCGCTTCCTTCTGTGTCCGAACCTTGTGCGCCAAAACGCTCATGTTCGTTTCATTTGCCACTGTGCACCTTGCCTGCAGTTATCGGTGTAATTTGTTTGTCCTTTTGAATTTTTCTTGAATTGAAAGTTCGGCATCTTGCCCTTGTTTGACCTTCACTGTTATGCCAACTGGTATCAATGTTTCTAGAAGCGCAAACAGCAAACCTTTGCCACAGATATTGGATCCAATCAGTCACTAGACAGCTCACTTGCACAGCTTTTCCGAATTAAATCGGAACCGCACCTCACTTTATCTTGCAATCCGGAACAGGATGCCTTGAGCAGGAAAGTTCTGCAGGGACATTAAATATCCGGTAGAAAAAACCCCGCACGGCTGCTGTGATTACTGTATTTTATGTTCCTTTCACCTCTTGTCTTCTGGCCAAGGAAAGCGTGTTCGCTTTCCTAGATCTTGGGATACGAGCGTAAAAGCAACAAAGGTGCTCTGGGAAGCGCGAAAGCAAATTCTTATTGTATGCTCCGAAGACCGTTTGTTTTCCGTAGTGTCTAGAGTACAGTGGTACAGTGCCGTCCGACAGCACTCTTGCAGACCGTTCAAATATAGTTCAAGTGCCGTCACTCCACTCGCGCCTTCAAATGCCGTTAGAAAGTCTCAAAATGAGAATTTTGAAGCTGTAGTGTCCGCTTCATATGCAGTGGACCCAGGTTCGATCGTGTTATTTATTTATTTTTTTTGTCGAACATTTGGCGATATTTACATCTTTTTTACACTTATGACAAAAAAAAAAATGTTGACGAAACTTGCAGAATTAAGTGGTATGGGATTCCCTTTCCGGAGATGCAATGGGGGACAGCGGGGCTCGGGTTGTCGGCTGGACGTCGCGAACCAACGTGTACGACGGGGCCAAGTGGGTTAATAGTTTTGTAATTAGCAGCCGTACACTGTCGCCGCGAAGCGGGGGGACGGGTTAACACTAGGGATGTCGCGAACCACCCTAGGTTCGATTTCGAAAGGTTTCGATATTTGCGAAGCGAACTGAGGTTCGATTTCGAAAAATTTCGATATTTTCGTACCGACCGAGGTTCGATTTCGAAAAATTCGCAACTTTTGTCCACAGCGGAGTTTCGATTTCGAAAAGTTCGAAGCTTTCACGGTTTCTAAAATTTCGAATTCGAATATTTCGAATATTTTTTTACTTCAGGTTCGATAAATTCGAAGATTTCGAAATTCTTTGTAAAAAAAATTCGAAAACTTCGAACGCTTCGAATTTTTATAGACATGAAGTTCGAACAATTCGAAGATTTCGAATTTCTTTTTGCATAAAGTTCGAAAAGTTCGAAGGTTTCGATTCTCTTTTAACGCTAAATTAAACAAAAAAAACTTCGAAGATTTTGAATTTTTTTCTAATCCAAGTTTTCAAAGTTCGAAGTCCGATTTTCAAGTTTTCCCACACTTTCAGTTTCAAATAACGTTTTCACGACTCACTGGTTTTCACAAAATCAAGTTTAGAAAAGTTAGGGTGTGATATCTAGATTCTGCGAAGTTGGTCAGGCAATTAAATGAGACGACGAGTGTCCCGGATGAGCTGGAATATTTGCCAGTGCAGAATTGTGACCGCCAGCCCCGGGGGGGAGGGGAGGGGGTCTTTAACCTGCATCACGCAGTTGTGATTACACGAACACACTGTTTTACGAGACTCTTCCAGTTCGAAACGGCCAGGGGCGAACAGGAGGTTGAGGCTCAGAAAAACCTTGAAGCGACCTGGCAAACTAGCTCGCCACCCCTTGCACGCTGGTAGTAATCCGATCCGGTGAAGTTTCTAATTGTCCTGGAGGTTTATTTTCTGGGACGGAGGAATCGCCTCGCAAAAAGCACAAAAGCCGACACAACTCGAGGTCGAGGAGCGTTCTACCATACAAGTGGAGTCGGAAGAGGAAAAACGGGGGGAAAGAGGGTAGCGGGGGGGGGGGGGGGCTTCAGCCTCCTTCTTTCCCTTGCAGGTATTTCGGACTGTTAAAGAAAACAATACGGGGAAAGAGGGCGTGGTCGAGCTTATTTTAATCTGAAATTATTTATGCATATGTATAGCTAATGTCGCTCTTCACTGCATAAAAGGTTGCGTAGATGGTCATTGTTAGAAACTCGTTGTCAGAAGGCACTGCTCGTCACATGCTTAGTGGTTCGGAAGTTCAAAGCTGTCTTTTCGACCTAAACACCTGTGCCGATAGTAACAAAAGAAAAAAAAAAAAAAAAGAATAAATGCGGGAATAAAAAGCAGGAGAAAAAAAAACTATCAAGAATTCGTCGGAAGTGTTCTATTCTTGCATATTCAGAGGTTCAGAACTTCGAAACAAGTTTCTTTTACCAAAATGTGTACAGGCTAAAAGAAACACGTCCCAGGAACGTGAAGCGAAAAAAAAAAAAAGTTTTCTTTTAATGACGTGCTGAACTTGAACACTACTAGAAATCTTCTCCCATGAGTTAATTTATTCCTTAACGTGAAAAAACAATAAATATATTATTTTGTATTCTGCAGATGGCAATGATATGTACTGTCTGTGGTGTTAATTTAAATGCGATACCTCAAACAACTTAGACGAAAGTAAATATCAAGTTTAGGTCATAATTGCATGCAGATACATGTTTGGACATGTCTTCGAAACTCACGTTGAATAACAATAATCACATCTTAAGATGGCACTTACCTAGGCTATACATAGATCATTCTTAAAAAAGTATAACTTATCTACCATGAATAGCTCCGGCTGCAGCGTGCTTCAAATCTGGCACAAACGATAATCGTCAAAAACCCGTCGTCCTTCCTCGCCCCTTCGGGGATTTATTTCTTTAAACCTAAGCATGCCAGAACATTGAAATAAACGACATTGTCTTTCGTAAGGATCGCAGCACCGCGTGTAAAAGTTCGAGAAAAAAAAAATTACGAATGTACCCCACTACTTGAAATCAAATGAAACCGTTCGCCGGTCTTTCGAAGTTCGACGAACGTCGAACTTTTACCCTAAAAGGTCGAAGTTCGTCGAACTTCTGACTTTTCAGAATTCGAAAGTTCGAAACTTTTCGATTTCTCTTGATAAGTAAGTTCGAAAGTTCGAAATTCATCGAATTTTTTGGTCAGTCAAGTTCGAAAGTTCGACAAGCATCGAACCTTGCAGCGCAATAAATTCGAAAGTTCGAAAAATATCGAATTTTTTAGCGTAATAAGTTCGACGGTTCGAAAAGCGTCGAACTTCTTAGCTTAACAAGTTCGAAAATTCGACCTCCATCGAATTTTACGATATAGACAATTCGAAAAATCGAAAGAAATCTTTCGAACCTTTCGAACCGCTTGATTCGATCATCGAAACTTCGATTCGAAAAAAGTTCGCGGCATCCCTATTTAACACTAGGGAGTCGCGAACCACCCTAGGTTCGATTTCGAAAGGTTTCGATATTTGCTAAGCGAAGTGAGGTTCGATTTCGAAAAACTTTCGATATTTTCGTACCTTCCGAGGGTCGAATTCGTAAAAATTCGCAACTTTCGATCACAGTGGAGTTTCGAATTCAAAAAGTTTGAAGCTTTCACGGTTTCTAAAATTTCGGGTTCGAGTATTTCCAATATGTTTTTGCTTGAGGTTTGATAAATTCGAAGATTTCGAACTTTCCTAACTTGAAATTCGAGATATTCGAAAAATTTGAATTTCTTTGGATCTGAAGTTCGAAAAGTTTGAAGATTTTGAAATTCTTTGGAAATAAAGTTAGAAAACTTCGAGCGCTTCAAATTTTTATAGTCATGAAGTTTGAACAATTCCGAAGATTTCAAATTTCTTTCTGCATAAAATTCGAAGGTTTCGAATTTTCTTTTAACGCTAAATTCGTAAAAAAAAAAAAAAAAAAACTTTGAAGGTTTTGAATTTCTTTAAAGTCCAAGTTTTCAAAGTTCGAGGTCCGGTTTTCAAGTTCCTCCAGAGTTTCTGTTTCAAATAACGTTTTCACGACTCGCTGATTTTCACGAAATCAAGTTTAGAAAAGTTAGGGTCTGTTATCTAGACTCTGCGAAACGAGCGTCCCGGATGTGCTGGAATATTTGCCAGTGCAGAGGACGTGTGACCATAGATCAGTAATTGTGACCGCCAGCCAGGGGGGGGGGGGGGGGGGGGGGGGTCTTTAACGTGCTTCACGCGGTAGGGATCACACAAACACACTGTTTTACGATACTCATTCAGTTCAAAATGGCCAGGAGCGGGCAGGAGGTTGAGGCTCAGAGAAACCTTGAAGCGACCTGGCAAACTACCTCCCCACCCCTTGCACGCTGGTAGTAATCCGATCGAACGCCGCCCAAGTGATGCTGGCATATAGTAAGTTAAGTTTGTAATTGTCCTGGAGGTTTATTTTCTGGGATGGAGGAATCGCCTCGCAAAAAGCACAGAAGCCGACACAACTCGGGGTCGAGGAGCGTTCTACCATACAAGTGGCATCGGAAGAGGAAAAACGGGGGGAAGAGGGGAGGGGGGCTTCAGCCCCCCTTCCCCCCCTTCCAGATATTTTGAACTGTTAAAGTGGTCGAGCTTATTTTAATCAAATTTTAATTATTATTAGAGTGGTCGAGCTTATTTTAATCAAAATATTTATGCATATGTATAGACCATTTCATTTAGCGCTCTCTGGGCGGCACCATTTTGTTTGACTGCAGCGCCCTCTCCACACATCTGGGAAGTTAAGCGGGTTCGGCAGGCTAAAACGAGAGAGAGGGCACGCGCCCGACTCCGCTAGCAGACGACAAATTGGGAGGTTGCCGTTCTCCATCTTTGGGCTGTATCGGCGGGCAGTACGGAACTCGTGCTCGTGGCTGCCGTTGTGAAGTTGTTCGCGTTCTTAGAATAGTTGTGGCTACACCAAAATCAGCCTATAGCTCTCTGTTCTATTTCGCTAAATTATCAACTAGCATATCCTTTTTCTGCTACTGAAATAGCAGTTGAGTCAGCCGGCAGTACTACCCTCAACTACTGCGTGTATTGCGGCAGGAGAGCACGTTTTATTTATTATTTCAGACTTCCACTCATGGTCACTAAAGGCCTACACCAGTACAATCTTTGTATAGTAAAAAAGGTACAGCAACCGGATTTACTTTTCGCCAAAGAGACCGGCCAATCAGACACAGTTTTCCCTATTCTTTTTTTTTTATTTGCACACAGGTAACAGCACAATTGGACCCTGTGAGTCGTTTTATCTAGCACAGTATTACACGATAACTGGCATACCAAAATCTGCGCATCTGCGCTTGAGAGTTCCAAAATAACGCGATTTTAAACAGAGTTTGCACGCCAGCCGGACGCTAGCTGCAGCCCACTCGGCGGAGCAGACGATGTCCGGGGTGAGAGGGGGAGGGCATTTTTTTCTCTTTTACCCTCTCTCGCTCTTCACTGCATAAAAGATTGCGTAGATGGTCATTGTTAGAAACTCGTTGTCAGAAGGCACTACTCGTCACATGCTTTGTGGTTTGGAAGTTCAAAGCTATGTCTTTACGACCTAAATAACTGCCGATGGTAAAAAAAAAGAAGAAAAAAAAACATATTAATAAATGCGGGGATAAGAAGCTGGAGGAAACAAAACTATCAAGAATTCGCCGGAAGTGTTGTACTCTTGCATATTCAGAGGTTCAGAACTTCGAAACAAGTTTCTCCTACCAAAATGTGTACAGGCTAAAAGAAACACGTCCCAGGAACGTGAAGCGAAAAAAAAAAAAAAGTTTTTTTTTTAATGACGTGCTGAACTTGAACAATATTAGAAATCTTCTCCCATGAGTTAATTTATTCCTTAACGTGAAAAAAAACAATAAATACATTATTTTGTATTCTGCAGATGGCAATGATATGTACTGTCTGTGGTGTTAATTTTAATGCGATACCTTAAACAACTTAGAGGAAAATAAATACCAACTTTAGGGCATAATTGCATGTAGATACATGTTTGGACATTTCTTTGAAACTCACCTTGAATAACAATAATCACATCTTAAGACGACACTTACCTAGGCTATACATAGATCCTTCTTAAAAAGTTTAGCATCTCTACCATAAATAGCTTCGGCTACAGTGCGCTTCAAATCTGGCACAAACGATAATCGTCAAAAACCCGTCGTCCCTCCTCGCCCCTTCAGAAATTTATTTCTTTAAAACTAAGCATGCCAGAACATTAAAATAAACGGCATTGTCTTTCGTAAAGAATGCAGCACCGCATGTAAAAGTTATAGAAAAAAAATATGAATGTACCTCACTACTTGAATTCAAATGAAACCGTCCGCCGGTCTTTCGAAGGTCGACGAACTTCAAACTTTTAGGGTAAAAGTTTGAAGTTCGTCGACCTTCTGATTTTTCAGGATTTGAAAGTTCGAAACTTTTAGAATTCTATTGATAAATAAGTTCGAAAATTATCGAATTCCTTAGCATAGGAAATTCGAAAGTTCGAAAAGCTTCGAACTTGTAGTGCAAGAAATTCGAAAGGTCAAAAATCATAGATTTTTTTGGTCAGGCAAGTTCCAAAGTTAGACAAGCATTGAATTTTGCAGCGTGATAAGTTCGAAAAGGATCGAATTTTTCAACGTAACAAGTTTGACGGTTCGAAAAGCATCGAACTTCTTAGCTTAACAAGTTCGAAAATTCGACCTCTGTCAAATTTTACAATATAGAAAATTCGAAATATTGATATCTTTCGAACCGCTTGATTCGATCATCGTAACTTTAGTTCGAAAAAAGTTCACGGCATCCCTAGTTAACATGTTCCCCAGTGATACACGCGTCGGCAGACTTCCTTTCGGACGGCACTTTAACGCTCTGCAAGGGTGCCGTTGGACGGCACTCTAGACACTACGCTTCTTTTACCTTCATCTAGCGAAAGGGAAGTTTTTTGTTTTTTTCTCGTTGAATTTGTTTCTGTACAAAATTGCCCTGTAACGATTTCATAACAAAAGAACAGAACTTTAACTCTTTCTTTATAATCATTCTAACGAAATATTTTGAATGCCACAGGTGACTATGTTTGCTTCTTTTATTTAGTGACACTGTCAGCCTTTACAGGAGTGTTAGTGGGTAAAACGAAAACAGCGAGATCAACCATCTAGATATACAAAAGAAAAATGTTACGAAAGCTGCACTCATTTGGAAACCGCTTGGACTCGTCCCAATTCCACCGCCTTGTGTATTCTAGCGGTAGTCGCAGTTCTAGCAGTAATCGCAGCAGAACAGGTTCACTGTTTGATGGCAAGAGGGCCGGCAAACGAGACTTTTGCCCCACCCTGCAGCCACTGATTGACAACTGAGCGGTGGCGTGTCGATACTGATACCACTGTTGTCAGTGGCAGGTTAAGGGTAGCGTGGAAGCCCCTCCCACCTCTTTCCACTTTAGCAGAGCAAACACTCCTCTCCAGCGTTTGCTCTGCTAAAGTGGAAAGAGGTGGGAGGGGCTTCCACTTTACTCTTAACCTGTCACCGACTATAGCATTGAACCAAGCACTAGCATGCCTAAGGGTAGAGAGCAGTTGGTTGTTGTTGTTTACTGCTAAGAGTTTACATTCACCAAAGTTATGAAAACCATGCTGAGAAGTGTTTTAAACTATCATAGGCTAGCTGTTGTCATAGAAAGTGAGGAAAACTAGACAAGCTCTGCGTGGGAGCTTTTCATTGTAGCCCCTCGGATTGCGAAATGAAAATCTGTTCCTTTAGCAAATCTCTTTGGTTTAGACCCTGCTAATTATTCTAGGTATTAAATTTATATATCTAAATATTTATAGAAGTGATGGATTCACAAATCTTTCCATCTTGGTGATTTTCGAAAAAAAAAAAATTCAAACAATGATTATTTGTCATTAATATTGCCTCCTCTGTTCCTGTGCGGGCCTGGTTATGTTGCTGATTGGTGGGAGCTGGTAGCATCCATTTTTATACGCGTCCACCACCTGTGGGCGTCTCTGTGGTAAATGGCAATATGCTGAGAAACCACTTTGAAAAATATCTGTTGGCCTTACGTGGTAATCTCCCGAAAATTTAGTAATGCCGTCCAAATCGTTTCTGCAAAAAGTATGCATTGCACAGAAAAAATTCATATTGTTCAGTATACTTAGGTTATTAACTACTTTTGAGTAATTAACTTTTTAATGAGTCATTTTAAAGGTTTGGTTTTACCGAATATTTTTGGGTATCATCGAAAGCCAATAAATCGGCCCACTTTACACAACTATGAGGCTGGGAGCACTGTAAAGAAACACTAAATTTGGGCGAAAGATTCAATTTTCGGTTTCTATAAGGATGTATCTCTGCACCAGCAACCTGTTCTTTGTGGCCAAGGTGCTTAACTGTTGCCTCGCCTCCTTCCTAAGAGAGAAGGAAGTGTGGTGCGAGCCGGCAAAATTATATTCTGTGCTGTTCAAATGGCATTGCAAGAATAAGCTTTGATTCTTGGGTTCACTTCGGTGCTGCGAAGAATGCATGGTGGTGTACTCTAGTTGCTGGTGATTTTCCATGATGCCCGACAATTTTCCAACTGAAACCATATCTTTAAGCTTAATAAGTCAAATCCGACTATATCGAACCCGTTTACATATAATTATCCCTTATATCGAACAATTTTTGTGCACAGTAATGTTAATGATAATATATAGCAAAAACTACGGTTACATGGGCCAAAAATAGCAGCCGCTGCGCTCTGCAAGCTGGCTTTCCCCCAACGCAGGCGGCCGCATTGGGGGAAAGCCAGCTTGCAAAGCACGCTAATTTTTTTTTTTTTTTTTTTTTCAGGGCAATTGCGTCAACCGTTTGGAAAAAAAGAAAAAGATCAGCTTGCTTTGCTAGCTGGCTTTCTCCCAGCGCAGCCGCGTGTCTCAGGGGAAAGCCATCTTGCAGAGCAGAACGGCGCTCTGCAGGAGAGAAGGTGCTCCTGCTCGGACGTGCTCCGTGCTCTCGGCATAGTTCGGTGCTAATGCGCGAATATAGAAGACAGCGGCCTCAGCATTTGGGAGTCCGTCGATAGCGTAAAAAAAATCGTTATCGCGGATGCAATGAAGAGAAAGCAGCAGGAGATGCATGACTATTTCATTGTGTAAAATGTCAGCAGAAAGTGGATTTTTGATTCAAATCCATTAAAACTGTTATATCAAATTACACGATATGTCGAACTAATCCCTGTTTTTTTTGCGGGTTCGATATAGGCGGGTCTGACTGTAACTACAAAGTCGATTACTGAAAAATAATTCAATTATTGTGAATGTTAATTTCCCTGAATAAATAGTACCATTCACGATTAATTAATTAGATCAGCAGATATCAATAAAACATCAACCTTTGTTCTGTGTGATGCATAGTTTACAGTGAAACGATTTGGACAATGTTCCATGGAACAGTGTATTGTGGCTCAACACCTTTCGAGCCTCTTCTTTCTTCTAGTTATGCAGATTCTTGACTAAGTCCCCTTTTTCTCAACATACATATACCTGTGGCTGCTGTTCACATCCCGTTTTCTTTCCCAATTTCTTCTAGTGTCCGGTTGAAGACTCCGGTTGATGGGGTGCTCCTGGTGGATTACTCCAAGAATCTGATCAACCACGATGTAATGACAAGATTGTTTGACCTAGCCAGGTCTCGCAAAGTGGAGCCGGCTCGTGATGCCATGTTCCAAGGTGAAAAGATCAACTTCACCGAAGGAAGAGCCGTGCTGCACATTGCGCTGCGCAATCGCAGCAATAACCCGATCATGGTGGAAGGAAAGGATGTGAGTTCATTACCTTGTTGGGGATATAATTGTATCGGCTGCTACTGCTGTGTCGTTTAATAGCTCACTGGCAAATGTTCTTTTAGTTTCGAAGAACATTCCAAACAAAAATTCGGCAAAGACACTTAAGACAGCTTACGTGTAGAAATGTGAAAGCATTCCTACACGCAATGCATATCTACAAGCAGCGCGCTACATATTCCTATCGCATGCGGCGCTGCGGCGGTGACATCATGCTTCCCCACTGTGCAGGCGCGGCAAACCTTGATGGCTTCACGACGTCTTCCGTGACGAAGCATTGTGTTGCTGTGCTTTTCTTTGTGTTTTATTTCTGAAGTGCATCTGCTTTGGCCTTGAGCGCACCCATCGGCTTCAGTGACAAACCATCTGCGTTCTTATGCTTTTCTTTGTGTTTTATTTCTGAGGCACGTTTGCTTTGCACTCAAGCGGCCGCGCTGGCTCCCGTGACAAAGCATCTGATACAACGTGTCGCAGCCAATTTAGGTGCCGTTTTTCGCGGTTACAGATGCCGCCAGCTCCGCTCCATGAGAAAGTTGATGCTTTTGCATTAAAACAGATAGAGGTGCACATAGATGTTGTAACAATGCTCGGTTTATCTGCTTCTAGGTGATGCCCAGCGTCAACGCCGTGCTGAAGCATATGAGAGAGTTTTCAGACTCTGTGAGGAACGGTGTTTGGAAAGGCTATACTGGCAAATCAATCACGGATGTGGTCAACATCGGCATTGGAGGATCTGATCTTGTGAGTATCTTATTCCTCCGAAACCCTACCTATTTACTGATGCCACATTTTTTTTGCCAGGGCCCCTTGATGGTGACGGAGGCTTTGCAGCCCTTCCAGAAGGGTCCAAATGTGCACTTTGTTTCCAACATTGATGGGACACACTTGGCCAAGACCCTGAAGAAGCTTAGTGCTGAGACGACACTCTTCATCATTGCTTCCAAGGCGAGTTCTCATAAGTATAATGACATCGGTGCCATTTTTAGTTAGCTGTAGCTTAGTGACATGCAGATTTAATTTATTTACTGGAAGGATGTTCCCTTTTTAATCCTAGACTTTCACCACCCAAGAGACCATCACCAATGCTCAGTCTGCAAAGGAGTGGCTCATGAATCACACACCCAATGTAGGTTCCTTCATTCTTTTTGTGGTTCAAGCTAAAATGCGTGTTTTGTGGTTTGTCATCAGATTTGTAACCTTTGCTTTCAGCCTTCTGATGTGGCTAAGCACTTTGTTGCCCTTTCCACAAATGCTCCTAAGGTGAAGGACTTCGGCATTGATGAAAACAACATGTTCGAGTTTTGGGATGTAAGTTTAATCCTTTGAGTTGGATGTGGCAAGTTATTCTGACATGTAAATTCTTTTATGAAATTTTTCAGTGGGTTGGAGGAAGGTATTCTCTCTGGTCTGCTATTGGACTTTCCATTGCTCTCTATGTTGGTAAGACTATTAAAATGTGTACTCATTTCTTTGTGTGCAATCCTAACGCTAAGTCCTTTCTGTCTAGCCTTACCATGCATAAACTTGATCAGCAGTTGCCAAATTTTGATCAGTGTTGCGAGAGGGAAGTGTCAAATCAGTCGTGCTGGGGATGGGATGAATGCTTTTTTAACCACGAGTCTGAAACTAGAACTGAAAATTTTCAGACTAGAAAATATTTTAAAACTTAAAATGCAGGGCACTCATTGACTTAGTGTTTCAAACTTGCTTATAGGCTCTCTGAACAGGTTCATAAAACTTCCCAGCACTGTTGGCTCCGTTCCCTCTCAAGCCAGCGGAGTGGATCTTAAGAAACAGTGGTGATAAATAAAAAAAACAAAGCATAGCTGGTGTCTGTGTGGACATTTGAACATGTGGACATTTGAACATGGCATAGTAACTAGATTGGTTTCCAAATTACAGCCTTCACTGTATCCCCTTTGATTTCCAGGAATGGACAATTTTGAGCAACTTTTAAGTGGAGCCCATTTTATGGACCAACACTTCCTAAGTGCTCCATTGGAGTCTAATGTAAGTGTACATGGGAGTAGTTCACACAAATCTGAGTTTAGCCTTGACAAAGTAGCAGCTGTTTTTGCAACCATTTCTTCCTGGCTTCCTTTAGATCCCCGTGATCCTTGCGCTGCTCGGTGTCTGGTACCATAACTTCTACGGTGCAGAGAGCCATGCCCTGCTCCCTTATGATCAGGTAATCTCTCCAGAAAACAATCGCAGGTTTAGTATTGTTTCTGCTGATAGTAGAGCCTCACCGATAAATTCTCAGTTTATATGTTTTCCTGGCTGTTAAGTTTATGGATGCTGGTCCTGTTAAACTTCCATGAGGATAGGTGTATCAATTTCCCATTTGTCTGGTTTGCCTTGTGCATGACTTCAGACTAAACAGGCTTGAAATGGTTAAAAAAAGATTGGGGTCTTTGCAGTCGCCCATTCATCTTTCCATCTCTTTCTCCAGCACACACGCACGCTTCTGTTGTGTGGCGCTCAGTTCTCTTAGTTTGGCTAATGTCATTTCTCTTGGAGTTTGGGGTTTGTCATCATGCATCGCATGTGTGTGCGTCGCTCCTGTGCATGCATAGAGCTTCACCACTTGCTGGTGTGCTAGGACACGGCCAGGTAGTTTCTTTCTGCCACCGCGGCTCGGTGGGGTCGCTGCGACCTCACCCTCCTCCAGTGCTTTAACTCGTTCTAGCAAGAAACCCTAATCTCACCGTGTTGGCCTCTTGGCTCTGGGGTTGAATTGGAAGAATTTCCAGACTAGTTAGAGCTACAGTTCTTGAGGTCGCCTGCCTGTAGGGACCTGCGCAAAACACTTCTTATTCGTTTTCTAAAAAAACTTCTCATAGACAAGAGTCTAGTTATCGTAAGCCAAAAGTGTTTCAATCAGCGCACTACAGTTGTTTTATATGAGTACATTGGCACACAGTTTCAATCACAGTGGTTGGGACAGTTATTCAAGGTGGTTCAAGCAGTACTCGGAGGGGTGGCATTGTCGCGCCCCTACACTGTAGACAAAGTCCCATTTCTTCTAAATCGAAAGCAAAGTCCATAAGGAATGCTGCTTTGGAGCACCTGGTTTGCTCATTGTTTCTCACTCTTGTAAGTCAGTTCTGCAAAAATCATGTCAACTTACATTTAAATAAATATGGTATTTCTCCCCAGCTGTGGAGAAATTGCTGTGATTTTGCTTTTCTAATCTATTTGCGACTCCAACTGTCTATAGGTGGCGCCACTCGTTTTCCAAAATGGCGGATGTAATGAGGGTCTGAGATGCACGCTGGTATGCCATTTGCTGAGCCTGTCTAGTGTGCTGGCTTAACTAAGCGACACAAATTATTCCCGCTTATACGAGGAAGCTAGGATGTGTTGCGCATGGGTCACCTCTTTATCCTGAAAACAAACTGTTTAGTTCAATATTTACACCAGGAGGCATGTTTAATTCGGAACAGACCGAAATGTACATCCGTTTTGGATTTAGGATTAACCTAACCTAACCTAACTCAACATGTATCTCGGCGTAATTATTAAGCTAAAAAAATGTTTGCAGACACTTTATTATGACGTACGTGTCCGACCCAGACACTTCAAATGTTTGGTTCGTGTTAGTTGAAAATGTCAACGCTGATATTTGTGTTTTTGCTGCTTTTCCTCACTCTGATAATTGTCACGTGAAATAATAAACTGCAGGCCCTTTAATGGGTTTTTGGGAATTTAGTTAGCATTATTTCCAGCACAAGAACAACAGAATCTATCCAAATTTTACAACATATTGCTACAAGTGACGAGTTTAGAATATGTCCATAAAAACCCAAAAATGAAATCCGAGCTAGACAACAGATGTGTGCTTTTTTAAACGAGGGACTCGTACGGTTTTATGTTGCATCTAGTGTTTGTCTGTCTTGATAACAATGTCAGTTTTTCATATGCTAAAAAGAAAACAAAATGAGACCTTTCTGTGAAGGCTTCTATAGTTAAATGGCATATTTTTGTGATTGTGTCGTTTATTGGGGGCCTAGATTACCATAATTTGTATTAATAACAGAGTTATAATATTTTAATACATAGTTTTTGTCTAATATCATTTGTTACTTATGATCTAACTTTCAATGTGCAAACAACTATGACAATCCAAACTTGGCAAATTATCATCACTGCTGCCAATCGCAGCATTTTTAATTAACTAGTAATAAAATTTTAAAAAATGGTGTAAAATCAATTAAAGGGATACTTCAATGAAATTTGAAATATTCCCGTCGTGTTCAAAAATAGGTTGAATATGATCCACAATATCCATTAATGACAATCGCACGTTTGTATCTTGAGCCTGTTGGCTGTATTTTTCGTTATAAACGGCCCACTCTGGCAAGCGCTTGGAGAAGGCCCAGCGGAGACCTCGTGACATCCAACGCAATCGTGACGTAGGTCGTCTCAGGACGAGCAAAGCTACGGCGAGGCTGACGTCGAGAGGATGGCCTAGTCGTTCCAGCCACCGAAGCGGCTGCTTTTGTACGAATTTTGAGTGACGGGTTAATCTTCTGTAATCTTTTAGGGGGACAATAGCGACTTCTGCGACACACAAAAGGCATTCTCGGGAAGAGGGGAGTTCCTCCTCTCTTCTCTCGTCGTGGCCGGAGGCGAGACAACCTCCGTCACTAGCTGTCAAGGTTCCTAGACGGGCATTACAAGCGAGGCGTTAGCGACATCCACCAGGTGCTCTTTGCTAATCGTTTAGTTCGTTTTAAAATTCCTTTTCGTGACTTTTCTAACAAGATATTGGTTTGTTCGATGTGATGCTGCTTTTTTGAACACATATAGACCAAAAAATGAGCGCCGAAATTTCGTTGTAGTATCCCTTTAAAACATTCTAGCTAGTCTGAGAAATCTATGCAAAATTACATTAATTGTGGGTAAAGCATATGTTATCAAAGTCACGACTTTTGACAATCAGCAAAATGTTCAAGTTTGTCGTGAATCCTTCTGGACAAAATGCCCCTAAATGGTGTTGGGAAGTACTTTTAAGTCCATTCTACTTACAGTACTACTTTAAGTAGATTAAGAAAACTTGTACTTTACTTGAAATACATTCTTTGAGCGTGTACTTGTACTTTACAAGTATCTTTTATGGTACTTTCCAAGCAAAGTACAGGGTGTCCACTAAAAACTTTACATGGTTCTTTCTTTTCACTTCAGAAATAAACTACCTCCGAACGCTCATTCTCCACTCAAATGTAGCACTAGAAGTCCAAACTAGATGCCAAAATTTTAGCACTAACCGTTATCTTGTTAAAAAGTTGTGGGATTTTTTTAAAAGTTTGAATGGGAAAATGGCAGTTGACATTACATTACTCGATTACATGGAACTCTATGGCACCAGAAATTGAAAACAGGCAAAAATGGGCCCGATTTTCCTATTGCAATTTTCAGAAAATCACTTACAACTTTTAAATAATATATCAGTTTGTGATAAAACTTTGGCACTTAGTTCGAACCTCCAGTGTTACAAATGAGCGGAGAATGAGCATTCAATGATGCATATTTTGTTTTTGCAGTTAAAAAAAAAACACTAAATTTTTTTTTTGGGGGGACACCCATACAATTTCTTACTTCAAAATATATTCTCCAAATTCCGTGCATTTTTTTTGCCATAGTAGCAGGGAATAAGGTGGCTCCCTATAGACGGTGGTTGCCAAAGGGCATGAAAAAGTGCCCTTTGGGAAAGCTGAGATTGCTCTGTTGTTTTCGGCATCCACTGCCCAATCTTTTCTCTGTTAGTGTGTGGATTTGTCTTGTCACCAAATCGGTGAAAAATCTCCGAGCTGCCAGGTGCTCACAGGAACGCGCTTCAAGAGAAGTCATCTATTTTGTTGTCCTCAGAAGGCAGTAACTGCACTCCATATGTTGTGTAAAGCACTGAGAAAGGTACAGGAATGACAGCGTTGATCTGGGCTGTACCTTCTTGGCGCTCAATAAAATTCAGCTCTTTTAAAGGTCCACGCGCTCGCGTCCATGACTTTCTCAGTACTATACTACAGAACTTCTGATGTCTAGCATAAGAGTTCACCAACCTCAAGCAAAAAAGAAAACGGCGTATCGTCGTCATGCGAAAACATGCCATCGTCTTTCGAGATGTCATCCGGTCATTTCTCCGAGTGAAGTAATGGCGGCTATAAGACAGATACAAACAAGTGCCTTATAAGTTGATCATGCTAAATAGTTTGTCAGCAAGAGTAAAACAACTACTCTGTGTCCACTTGACTTTATTGAATATTCGCCACCATTTCCAAAAATAACTGATGCACCCCCAATTACCCCTGGGGCAATGCATACCAGTTTAAAAAAGAAACTTCCTTACCAGCATGCTCCCCATTCTGAGTATTCTTATGAAAGTTTGGTAGCTGTATGAGGTTTGTCTCTTAACAAGACTGGTGGCAAGTGTCAGTTATTATTATGATCTTGCAACTTCACTGTTATCCCCTTCAGCATACAGTATGTGTCGTTGCATATGAATTTTGGAAAACAATGCTACAGGTCATCATATGTCAACCCCTTGAGCAGCGCCACCATTTTCTCTGTTACCTCCTCCACCGCTCTTGCCACGAGATAACAAAGCCACACTTTTACCACCAGTCTCATTATTTTATGGCCACACCTCATATGCTAGCCTTTGACTTGTAACTTGATTTCGACCTGACTTTGAGAGGTCCGCCTGCAGAGCACACTGGAGTCTGACCCAATCTCGTAGCAAAGGGGGCCAAACTTAACTTCCCCCTTGGTTGGCCTTTTCAGTATCTGCACAGGTTTGCTGCCTACTTCCAGCAGGGTGACATGGAGTCTAATGGCAAATATGTTACCCGGAGTGGTCAACGCGTGGCCTATACGACTGGTCCCATTGTCTGGGGTGAGCCCGGCACCAATGGGCAGCATGCCTTCTACCAACTCATCCACCAGGGTAAGGAAACCAGTATTTGGAACACACCAATGCTATGCTTCTATGTTAACTTTTATTGCTAGTTTTTATTAATCACCATGAAGCTACCAGTATGGTATCAACCACACATGCAGAATTGCTGTTGCGAAGAAAACAATTTTGAAATAACCTCGAGAGGACTCCGTATTTTATGTTCTTTCCCGCCTCTGCATTCAGGTACTCGATTGATTCCTTGCGACTTCATTGCCCCTGTGAAGACTCACAACCCAATAAGTCATGGGATCCACCATGAGGCAAGAACACTTAACACTACTGTTTGCTTACTTGCTTGCCTTGAAAAGCTTGTCATTTTTGCAATGGCACATATATGACGGTGTTATGTGTGCTGCGGTTGTAGATTTTGCTGGCCAACTTCTTGGCACAAACTGAAGCACTCATGAAAGGAAAAACCAAAGAGGAGGCAGAGGCTGAACTGAAGAAGGCTGGGATGACTGGGGAGGTTCTTCAAAAGATTCTGCCACACAAGGTATTTATTTTACAATTCCTTACCTGTCTGGTCTTGTTACTGAACAGGTATCAAAGGTTCCTGATATTATAAATAAGCTGGAGGATTGCTGTTACCCTGTAATAAATACTATCTTTTCTTCATACGTGAGAGCATGCGAGATAGAATTCTCGAGTGAAAGAGGTGGTTATAACCTGTGATTTTACTTTCAAGGTGTTTGAAGGTAACAAGCCTACCAATTCTTTGATGGTGGACAAGATGACACCATACAGCCTTGGTATGCTGATTGGTAAGTATTAGTCTGGTTACCATTGAAGGGTACTTTAGTTGAAAAAGACAACCACTTAAAAATTTATCTTTGCAGCAATGTATGAGCACAAGATCTTTACCCAGGGAATCATATGGGACATCAACTCATATGACCAGTGGGGGTGAGTTACATGATGTACTCAAATATTTGGGTCACTCGTCCACCTAAAACGTTGGTTTCTCACCAGTGGGACAGGTGCTGGCTCTCCTATCTTTACTTTCAAGTGCAAAGTGACTCGTTCCACTTTTTTTTTCCTTTTAAGCTTTTGTCAAGTGGCTATAATCAGTAGGACACAGTCTCTTGGGGAGGTGCAGAGTGAAGACAGCTTGTAAGACACTGGCATAGTGCAGTATGGATAACTCACTGAAAGGCCTTAAATGCTTGCCATCTTTCTTTCGCAAGCCATTTATGGTCCAAACGAATAAACAAACTATCCAGGTAGAGGCAAAACCGCTTGTTGCTGTGAGCAGTACTATATGGTTTCATACTATAGCACAAGAGTGCTATAAGCACTGGCCGCTGTGTACCAGCACTAGTTTCGTTCAGTTTACCTGCACGTCCTGCACCGGTGCAGAAAAGTGTAGGGCGGTGTACGTCCCGTCGTATCTCAAGACACATACCGGAAGTACACTGCCCTACACTTTTCTGCACCGGTGCAGGAAGTGCAGGTAAATGGAATGAAGCTATTGTACCATTTCAAACCTGAACGCATTCCGACAGGAGAATGTTGTGGTTTCCGTAATGGCCTTTACTGCTTGCTGTAACCGTTATTGCTTGCTTCAACGTTTATTGCTTGCTGCAGCCTTTCGAGACAAAATACCTAAAGGTTAGTTTAGCATTTGTCGTGTGTTCTTCTCTGTCTTTGTCTTTCTGTGCACCGTATTTACCTTATCTACCTAGAGGAAAGTGGTTGAAGTTGGGGGCTATTCACACTCAACTGGAGTGTAGGTACGCATTTCATATAAACAAACTGAATGCATGACATCCTGCACAACACACTTATGTTTGCTGAGTGAATCTGAAGGCAAAGTCTGGCACAAGTACAAAACCTAAACATGAAATGAAAGAATAGGTTAAAATTAGTACGCCCAGAGCCTCGATTCTAGCGTGTGGTAAGCACTGTGCATGTCTCATTATTTAGCTATGCATCAATATGTTTTTAACTTGCTTTCATTTCTTCTTTGTAGAGTGGAACTGGGAAAGCAGCTGGCAAAGGTGATTCAGCCTGAACTACGAGGCAAAAGTGAAGTTTCCACTCATGACGGCTCGACGAATGGGCTGATCAATTTCATCAAGTCTTACAACTAGCTTTATTCTGCTAAGGACAGTGTAGAAATGGAGTGGAGAATCTGGTAACTTAAAAGTATTTCTTGTTAAGGTGTGTAACATGTCTGTTCTATGTTGTAAATTGAGCTTACAAATAAAAGGTAGAACATCTGAAGAGCAACTGTGTCAGTTTAATGTGCCCTTTTACTGTAGTACACTAATTTTACTTTCATTGACGGCTAAGGCAGGTGCATTTAAAATGCTGCCACTTAACCTGTTAATCCAATCTGACGACTTGAGCACAGCAATGTCTTGTCAATCTGAACACTCATTACCTGCTAGTAATCTGGAATGTGTTACCCGAGTCATTAAGCTAAGTTAAATAAACCATGGAGCAAACTTGTCACTTATTTGATTAATTTTATGGGGAATTTTACTGAGTGCAAGTTCTGACATGCGCATTTCACACAATCGTATTTGTTACCCTCAGAAGGCAATGAACAGACATTAAAAACATTAACCTATGATGTGTAGGCACCTTAGAATAATTCTGTGCAGGTATTTTTCTCCAGTTCTGGGATGCCCCAAAAAGTGTACAAGTATGAGCATCTGGCTATGATTAGTGCTGCATGCATGCAATGGAGGCCTACTAGGGCCCACTGACAGCTTAAAAAGTGCAGGGCACAGCTTCTTGTATTAACACTTCTTGCTTTGTGATTCATTCTTCGACAACCTTATCAGCCAATGCAGCAATCTCATTGGCTGCGGAGCGAGAATAAAATGCTCGGGACTCGCCACGCCCCGAGTTTCTTCAGCTGCCGGTTACTAAAGCAGAATGTGCAGGAGGCGTAGGGGGGCGTACATCTAGACAAGACACTTCCCTGATCTAGGCACTTGAGATTTCTCCAATGCTGAATATGTAGAGAACAACATGGTGCAAACATGGCATTGGCATACCTGCCAAGTCTCCCGTAATACCCGGGAGACTCCCGAATTTTGACCAATTTGTACGGTTGTACAATTAACTAAAAAAAAGTCTGGAAAACGCAAATGACCTCCCCTTGCCGTTGCAACAAACGGCTACAATGATGGTGAGGCACAGGTGCATCTTGCTAGCATGAGCAGTGCAATATAAATGTAAGGAAGTTGTCTTCATATAAATTTGTTATCAATATTTATTTTTAATAACCGCAACCCCCCCACACTTAGAAATTCTCCTGGATTTGGTTTCTCCAAACTTGGCAGGTATGCATTGGGGTTTCTCCACATTTTAGTTTTGCACATTGCTGATGAATAAAAGTTTACTACTCAAGTTGCTTCCCCATATACATATGCTGTGTGACAGCACAAACACAATGTCCACAGCAGGCCGGTGTTGAAATTGTACTGCCTAGGTTGTGTTTTGTGGTAGATGGGTATACTCGGCTATGTATACACATGAGGTGAAGTGATGGATATAGTTTCTCATGAACCAGTCCGAAGCCCACCACAAGAAGGCCCGAGCTCTGCATCTGCTTTGTCGTCTTCTCAGAAGGATACACATCTCCCTTTTTTTTCTCAATGTCTTGAGCGACACGAGAGACTTCACTACTCTTCAATCACGTGAAGTCGTTTCCGGTAAACTGTCCAAAGATATCTCGTCGTCCTGAATGCTCTTGCCTCAAATCAAGAACCAAAGGCTTCGCATTTTGTCTGATGATGTCATTCTTTGTGCACGCCGAGTAGGAACGTGGCATGTCGGCCTTCCTCAGTATCGTTCCCGATTTCTTTAAGTCTGTTATCCAAACTTGTGATGGCTGGAGCTCTGGCAGATTTCTAACTCTGTGATGCCTGATGAAATTTGTCTCCCACTTGGCTTTTGCTTGGCGTTGTCTCCCGTAGAGTAGAGAGGTCAGATGCTCTTGTATGAAGCGGTTGTGGTGGTTGGTTCCCGAACTTCGGTAGTAATGCCTTCGTCCTCCATTTTCTGACGTTCGACTGCTTTTTTGAGTACTACTGGTATATGTCGTGGCTAGGACAAAGCTACTGGATAAGCATCTGATTTTAGCTTCACCCAAGCCTTTAAAAAGTGAGGGATATTCCTTGACTGGATCAAGGGCTTGTGGAGTTGATACTTCATTTACTCGTTGAAGAATGTTAGGAGCATATATGAGGTCCAAGCTAAGAGGTGGCTCGTTGACACGTTTTGTGACATAGAACTCTCCCGTTACATGGACGTTTTTGAAAGTTACTGGTGCCTGCAGCATGCTGAGAACATGAAGGTAATCTTTAGTTGGTCCAAGAAGGATCTTCTTGGGCTGTTGGAAACCAGCCTGATTTTAAAGTTTGGAGAGCAGATGCTCTGGTATGACAGAGACGTCAGCAACAGTGTTATGAAAGTTCAACTCTTCGCTCCCAACACTGAGCAAGACTTGCCAAGGTGCGCATTCACCCGATGATGTCACATTTTTTGTAAAGTAGAAGTCTTTGCCAAGCTGCTTGGAAGCTGTCGTAGGCTCTGAGATATGGCGTAAGACGCAAGACTTCGACTTGAAGATGGTTGCTAAGTGACTAGACTTTCCACATTTGTGACGCTTGCTTTTCGATGCTGGGCAGTTCTTCCGTGGATGGATGACATGGTTCCCGCACCAATAGCACACTTGTAGGTCTTTTGCAGCCACTAGCTGCTTCTCTGCTGATGTTATTTGTTTTCCGAAGACCTTGAGGTGATTGACTTAAGCTTGATCCAGTGGTTTGGCATCCTCTTGTTGGAGGGATCTTATTGCTTTGCGACCATTTCAGTCTGTTTCGCGGGGGGCGCTGCTCTTTCTCGAGTGTCGATTCACTCTCTAGTTTAAGTTTTTGAGGTCCGCTTCTGCCGTCCCGTCTTTTTGTCCCAATAAAAATTCATGTTCCGTTTTTTTCGGGACATGATTCTTTTTTTTTTATATATATATGTGCGCAGACTTTTACAGTCGAGTCTTGCAGGATAAAATCCCGCTTAGGAAACTTCAGTCGTCAGCAAAATACGCCCACAGCAACGAAGGACCCGAAGCGGGACCTTCCAAATGAGAGCATGCAACTGGACCGTGAGTGGGAATGTTCCCTAGGCCCTAGGGATTATTGCAATATGGTAACGTTTTGAAGTGGGAGCTGTTATTTCATTAAAGTTTTTCTCCCAATCTCAATCTTTAAAATGCCCCTCCCTTACCCTCCCCCCCCTCCCCCCCCCCCCCCGCCTCCCCCCCCCCGCGCTGGGATGTCTCGTTTTCTACCTTGAGGAATATGGTCACCCTACTCTGGAGTGAAGGTTTCATGCCCATACCTCGGCAAACCTCACTCATGAGGGCCCTCACTCACCCTCATCTTCACAGGTGAGGTGAGGGTGAGTGAGGGCCGTGAGGGCGGTGAGGGCTGTGAGGGTTGTGAGGGCGGTGAGGGCGGTGAGAGCCGTGAGAGCCGTGAGGTGCCATTAGGGCCATGAGGGCGGTGATGGCGGTAAGGGCCGTGAGGGCGGTGAGTGGCGTGAGGGCGGTGAGTGGCGTGAGGGCCATGAGTGAGTGGGGGCGTGAGGGCCGTGAGGGGCATGAGGGCGGTGAGTGCGTGAGGGCCGTGAGGTTCAGTGAGGGTGAGTGAACTGCTGAAGGTGAGTGTGACTGTGAGGGTGAGTGTAGCTGTGAGGGTGAGTGAGGGGCTTAGGTGAGTGTGGCTGTAAGGGTGAGGGTGAGTGTGGCTGTGAGGGTGATGGTGAGTGAGGGCAACCTAAAATGCCGACCTCTGTTCATACCATGGTATACTAAACTGGTGGCATTGGCTTGGGAATTGGGTAGCAAGATTTAAAACAGCCCTAGGAATAAAGAACTACGAGCTTCTTTTGTTTTGCAGCATTTCTTAATAAAACTTTGAAATAACAAGCAGAAAAAAAGAAAAAAAAAACAGTATGTAAGCCTGTCTCCCGTAAAATCTCAAGATAGCCCACCTAACATCAAGAGCAAATCGGCTGAAAATATGGAGTGGACTAACTTTCGTTATATAATCAAGAAAATTTCTAAAAAATTGCTATGTTTAGGTTGTGGCCCTTCTAAGCTTGTTATGGTGGCAAGGGGCAACGAAGCAAAAATTACTGTACTCCCTAGTCGGCTATGTTCGCTCATATTTCGCCATAGCGAACAAGCCATATTTACGCCGAGGCCACCATTGATCCCAACACTACTACATGGACGCCATTTATTGCTAAATTTTGCTGGGAGTCTATGGGGCAAAGGGTCGTTTTATTTCCTTACTCAGGTGATAAGAGCCCATTAAGGTGCTTGAATAATTTACACAAGGTATAAATGATTACTTTTCCATAGCCACCAGGTTTGTTGCGATAGGTTAAGTATTTTTTTAACGCGAAAAATGGTAAATTCCGCCATCTTGGACGTTGCTGCTTGTCTGGCAACCCTGCTTTCTCCTCTCGACGTTTGCAATTCTCGGAGCGAGAAGGAAGCGAGAGAGGCTGCGCCAAGGCGTTCGTTGCTTGCAATTAGAGGCGAGAGGAGGAAAGGCGCACGGAGCAACAGAGTTGCAACAGAGCGGGCGTCTACTCTCGTGCAGGCAACATTGGCGCATAACCTTTCCTGAATCTATGGTGGCTAGGGGTGTCGCGAACCGGCCGAGGTTCGAGTTCGACCAGGTTCGACTTTTTCGAACTTTTTGTAGAAATTTCGACGAACCTTGTATTGAGGTTCGACTCGAGTGCGCATGCGCGACAAGCTGGCCAGTTGGCTTCAGATTGGATGGTAATGGCTAAGGGATGAATTAAAGGCACCACTGATTGGTTATTTCAGCTAATACAGTACAAAAAAAATTAGGTTATTAACGTCTTCAGTGATTAGAATTGGTTTTTTTTAATTGCAACTGTTTATAAAATAAAATAACCCTTTGCATAAAAATAAATTCTCCAAACCTAGACATGTTTGTATCAAGGTCTGGCCACACTGTCCGCAAAGTCGAATCGGTCGAATTTGGTGAAAAGTTCGAAGGTTCGTCGAATCGGTTCGACTCAGTCGAACCCCGAAAGTTCGACCTAAAAATCTGGTTCGACAAAAGTTCGCGACACCCCTACCCAATACACGGCTCTGTCCCTACGCAACTCCAGCGCGCCGCTCGCCCTCCCGCGGACGAACGGAGAATCAGAGGAGCGGGGACGGCAGCGGCGACGGCGGCGCGGAAACGGTGGCAGAGACCGCCGGCCTTGATGCGTGAAGCCGTTTTAACGAAAAAAGTGAGCGCGTTAAAAAATGAATTATTTTGCTCCGCCTTGCACGAAGTACCGGGAGATCTAATTTCATTAGGGACTTTTCGTGTATCGCATGCATACGCTGCGGATTTCTGGTCTTGTGCATGGCTGCCAGCTCAATCTGTGCTCAACGTGACGGAAAACGCTCCCGCTAATAAAAACTATATAGTACGGTCTACGGAACGTCTATTCTTTGCCATAAGTAGGAGCAAACTCGTAGCGCAACGGTATGTCGAGCAATACAAATCGGGAATGGGTTCGCGTTTTAAGGGCCGTTACGAGGAACATGACCATTTCTTCCAAGCCCTTTAAAAAGACAGAACACCCGTACTTGCTTTCAGGTAATTACAAAGCAAGTAAAGAAATGCTCGAAGCATTTTAAGCGCGTCTGTGTTAGCCAGCCGTTTGTGACGAGAGCTTAGAACGCGCAGTTTTGGCCAGAGGGACCGCAATGTTGCAAACAATACCGTCCAACAAATGTACGGTATATATTAAATTTTTTTTTTTTTACAGAGCAATAAATAAAACCTTTAAACACGCCAATTATGTTAATAGGCAGTTTTTGCATAGCGTACGACACCCCTAAACTTCAGTTGGACGTAAAGCGCACTGACGTTCAACCGGCGCTACCAACTTTCACGAGCGGCTTGATAGCCGAGTGTGCACCTTATTAAAATAGCTTAAGTAAGTGTAAATAACTGCAAAAGAAAACGAAAAAGTAATCGGGGGTTTTCTTGGCCCTACTGCAAAATCTCGGTGTTTTTTGTTTTGTTTTTCGGCACTCTTTGATGCGTACTTTAGCTGTTTAATATCTGATATCGCACCGTCATCAAGCCTCTCGTAAAGGTTGGGGCCGTCAGTTTCACGTCAGTGGGCTGCACGGCGAACTGAAGTTTTGGAGTGTAGTATATGTGACAAGGTGTGTAAGGACTACAACATTTTTAAAAAAAATTTTTTTAGAGTGATGAGCACGGCAACGCTTCTGGCGCGCACTGAAAATTGTGCTTCGAAGTCGCAGCGCGAGCTTGCGGTTGTAATGCTACACTGCATGGTAGCCTGCGGTATTAAACTTTTTATCAATAACCATAGAGCAGTTTGATTACGTGTTGCAACACACTAAAACCGAGACGGTGAGGAGCGAGTTCTGAGGCTGTGACGCGAAGACACCAATACTGTGTATTGCTGCTCTTTCGACGCTTGACAGTCACCGTTCGCGGCTCTCTTTTTAGAGCACTAATGGCCAGGCAAAGCGCAAACATATCTTCATCACCCTCAAAAATATTCTGCCACAAGCAGTAGCGTGGCTGGTGCCTAAAACGCGCTCGCTCACCACAAAGCTTCGCACTTTGAAGTTTGTACCACTTTTAAATATCAGTATGCTCGTTTTCCTAACGTGCATCAGCATCTCCGTTACCTGTTATATGATCCCCCCTAACCGCTTGGCATTTGTAGACAAATAAATCATTTTTATGCGCGCTGAACAGCGTCAGCGAGCAGGCGCACGGGATATCCTGGAGAATCTATCCCCGTCTCTTCCGCCATCTTGGAACTACCGCCCCGCCACCTATAGGGCGTTCGACTTGCGAATAGGGGGCACCTGCATTCATAGCATATTTGCCCCCTGTGGATTTCGTGATCTGATGTGGATTTGTGATGTTTCAAATTAACCACTTTCGTTACAATGGACAGTGTACCACTAGAATACATTCACAGGGATCATTATCATGTGCATTCCTCCAATGCAGTTAAAAGCTTGCAGGGGCTGTAGCTCTTGCTATTTACCAAATTGTGCAGAAACAGAGTATAGCAGAACACAGATAGTTCACTAACATTACTGATCCACTCACAGGCAGTTAGTGACACTCGTACATGTTTGTACGAGTGGCTTGTTAGATGAACTAGTGTGCAAAATCACAGACCAGGTTATTGGGGAAGGTAGTTGTAATTAAATGTTTCATGTGTTGTGGCAGTCTCGTCTTTCACGATAAGCTGGTGGTTTGACAGCATTTCATCAAGGGTATGATTCAAAGTGGTATGAGGCAGCTAAGGGAGGCAATGTGATGCTCACCATCATATAGTGTAGGCTAAAATCTCAGGTCTCATCCATGTTAGATGCAGGACTCCAATGCTGCAGGCGTGGCATGAAGGGCTTGGAAAACGTTCTGGGAAGTCTAAGAATGGTAGTCATTGGACTTGTCAACAGGATTTTTTCAGCTCTGAAGGAATGTCAGTATAATGTTGGCTAAAACTCTGTCTTCCTACACAGCTTATAGATAAGGACAGTGACCGTGCTGTAAGCTTTTTAATGATTTTTCATGCAAGCAATGACTGCCCTCTCTGGCAGGTATTGCACAGCAATACGAGATGAAGCCCACCGTTCTCCGGGATAACTGTAATGGCAGCGCTGAATTCCCTGGTTTCCACTGGTTCTGTGTGGGGTGCACGCTCGGCGGTGACCTACACCATGACATCAAGGTTCTGAATCACTTCGGAGCATTCGTCCATGAGTTCCTTGTAGTCCGCGTGCTCCTTGATCATAAGGATGATCAACGGTCTCTTCATGCCCATGGCAGTGGCCATGTCTCGACGCGAAGGCGTGAAGACGTATGGGAGGCCCTTTTCTTCGCAGATGCCGGGGATGTGGCTGAAAATGTCGATGGGGCTCACGTCTCCGGCCAAGATGACGAGACCAGTCTGTCCCTTGCGAATCTTGCTTTGCACTTCCTTCAAGCCGTTCAGCACGTAGCCCTTGTGCTTCGAAGCTTTTTTCACAAGCTTGAACAGCTTCTTGGTGAACTTTTTCGAAGCCATCGGGTGCGCGATTGCGTTCACAAACTGCAATTTTTCTTCGTAGGTCATTTCCTCGGTATCGCCGTTTTCGTCAGCACGTGTCGAATCATCCAAGTGTTCTTGTTTTACTGTCTCCAGCGAAAATGACTTGTCCTTTTTGCTCTTCTTCGGCGGCGTCACGCCGTCGTCCGCGTAGTCCTCTTCGGTGCGCTCTCGTTTGATTTTGGGCATTGCAAAGCCTGTGTTGCGGCAATCTTGACTCGAATCGAATCAACAACACGTTCTTCGAGGACTACGAAAACAATGTGGCATGTGGCGCTAAGGCGGTTGAGCGAATAGATAACGAATGCAACTGCTCCGCCATGCCTTTTCATTTGGAGGGCCGCTTGCGCCGCCTGGTCAGTGCTACGTTTTGCACAAGTCAACCGATCCAAGTATGATTTATCAATATCGAAGATGCAACATTTCGCCTGTTAAACCAGAGAATTGAGCTTCCAGGTGTCATGAGGAAGTTTAGAACTTTATCAATTATTCTTACAATTTAACGCCTGTAAGATATTTTGGCGCTAGTTACCACCGTTGAGTAGCTACCCTACCACCCCTACCACCCCTACCACGCACGTTAGTATTCAATATATATTTAATCAATTTATGTTAGCAGAGAAAAGTCCGATAACACGTGTGTTCACAAATTTAAATTTGTAGTTTATAACCCAGAATACCAGAAGGTAAAAAGGAATGAATAAAACAATTGCACGAAATCACCAGGAACTCACGATGAGTTTTGGTGTCGATTATATCTAGCGCCACCTTTTGGTTGAAACGAACTAAAAGTAAATGAATCTATTAAGTAATTTTAGATTTATTAGAAAAATCGCAACTACTTTGTTACTTTGTTTGCTGCCTTTTGTTTCTCAAAGTAATCGAGAACGAGGTTAGGAGCTTAGGAGCAGTACGCAGAACCGCGCATGCGCTCTTAAGGGGGGCTTGCCTTACCGAGCGGCGTGCGCTCGCTATCTGTTGTAGCTCGCTGAATTCCTGCAGGGGAGTAACAATTTCTTTTTGTGTCGTTGATCTCCCTCCCCTGCATCTTGGTAGCAGTCGATAGAAGCACGGGTGAGCCTTTCCGTTGGTACTCTGTGCTCGGTCCAGTGGATGGATCCAAGCATCGGCTGGTATCAGCCTGAACATCACGGGCCGGCTCTACGACTCTGGAACTCGGTCTGGGAAACCCAGCAAGGCTTAGAAACGATGGATCTCAACAACTCCAGTTTGCGTGCTCCGGACTACATACCCCTCTGCAGCACAACGGACAGTGTCGCCGACCAGAGGAAGAACGTGAACGGTCGCAGCGACGTGACAGCCGGAACTGACAAGTTTTACAACCCGACCAAGCGAAAAAGGGAGAACCGCGCGAGTACTTATGCTCTCAATAAGAACCTCCATCTGATCAGTCAATATGGCGGCACGCCGTGGAGAACTGGAGGGAAACGCTCCCGTCCTGGCATTCTCGGGTGAGTTGGTCTTTTTCGAAATGCTCTTTGAAAGCTGCTCAGTATTTGGGGCCATCGTGGCGTGCTGCCGCGAGATTCCCATAGTGGCGTACAAAGTGCCGGGTCACGTGACAGCCTGGGCGCGCTGAGGTTGCATAGTCCGGGCCAGCGTCCGTGCTAGCTTGGTCGCTCATGTTTTGCCGCGACAGAACCCAGGCTGAGCCAAATACGCGTACCGCGAAGTGTTTGTGGCGACTTCGGCGCCCTCAGGACGGCTCCCACGGCCGACTGCACAGAAAATGCTGAGCTTCGCTCGTGGCACGGCTCATGCACGCCGTGCCGACATGAGGGTAGTGTTCCTGCAGGCCGCGGCAGCAGGTTTTGCAGTGAAACTGCCGTGGAACATAGTGGAGCCTATGCACGTTCATTGCTACCAAAGTAAAGGTCAAACAATAGCCGCCATCAGTGATACATATGTACACACAGTTCGCCAACAGAAAAATAGGATTTTTTCTTTTAAATTGAATGAATGGAACACCACTCGCATTGTCTGGATATTTCGTTGCTTCACGGACATAGGAAAGCAGGAGTAAGGGGGCTTCAGTAACCTGAAAGAAGGATGTACCATGGGTTTTTCGAATTCGCTGAGCTTAAAGGGAAGCTACGGAGCTTCTTGGAAAAAATGAGTTAGAAGTGAATTCAAGTGTATTTTTACCCCGTGAACCCGAATACCCAAACCATTTGCTGCGTAAGTATTGTTAAACGCGAGAAAAACGCGAAAGACAGTCGCTGTCCGTGACGTCATCGACGGCTCTTTTGGCTGCCCAAGGCTAGGGAGGCGGGGCTTCAGTCCTATTTTGAAATTGCTCGTATGGCTCTCCGGTGCGTCGCATTGAAATACAATTTTGATATCTGTTAATCTAAAGGCCAAATGAACGCAATTTAAGCGTTTTTTCTCAAATGTAGAAGTGCCCCATCTTCCCTTTAAAGGGAAGATGGGGCACTTCTACATTTGGGTTGGTGGGCTCTATAGTTGATTTCAGTGTCATGTACTCCCTGCATTATTGGGAATAGAAAACAAGCTAATGTGTTGTTTTGACAAGAGTACCGAAAAGACTAAAGAGCGCTCCATCAAAAAATGCTCCCGAAATTTTGAGTATGGAACTACTGACCTCTACGTGGAAGCTGATCCTACAGGAGTGAAACATACAATTTGTCTTTTACTGGCTTGCACAGACACGTTCATTCATTGTATTCGAAAAATATGCTTGATGTTTTAAACTCTTTGTCCATGTTGAACATCATTGAGTGAGTGATTAATTCATTTATTTGTTATACCCTTCAATCACTGGTTCAAAAATCACTTCAAATTTTTCCAATCGTTGTGAAGGCTCCCACATTGCTCCATGAATATAATGAAGTGTACAAGATCAATACTGTTTATTTCACGAGCCATGGGGAAAATAAATGGGCAAAGGTCGACGTCACATCCATAAATACATGTTGATTTCACTTGTTCATGTATAATAAGGCAGCCGACTGGACCGAAATCAAGATAGATATGCGAGACTGAGTAAATCAAAAGTACTGACAATCCTTTTAGCTTGTTTCTGTAGTCTCGAGTATCCATCGCCATTATCTGCTGAGCTTTTATCATTGCATGATATAAACCAACACATTGTCCATAAACAAGCCCATGTTTGCCCAAACCAGGTGTGTGCACAGTAACAAGATTTGCATGAAGTGAACCGTCTGTATGTGTGCCATTCTCACAGCAGCACTGCCACAGCAGTGTGATGTCAGAGCTGCACATTGATGTATAAGATGTTGGAGCAGTTACAGTGCAGCACAAGTGGTTCTTCTTTTTCTAAAACAGTTTTACTGCTGAAACATTCTCATACATGCACATTCCATAGAACACATGCACAGCAATAATGTCACTATAATGATACTTCAACAACAAGCGAACTGATGATATTCATACTTACACAAACCTGAAACTGAGGAACAGATAAGAGACAAACCCTTTTATGTGTTCCTCAGCCTTGGGTCTTTGTAGTTGTAAACAATAAGGTGTTGTGTTTTGTCTTTAAGGCTCTGGTCAAAACTCTAACCAAAAGAAATGGATCAATTTACAGAGACAAAATATGAGCACTACCGAAACATTACACTAATGGCAAACCGCTATATACACCTCTGATGTATCGCCGATTTTCCTCTGGTCAAACCTTGTCATCATTACCCCTGCACCTGACCCACTGGCGGACAGGGTTGAGACTTTGGGCTGGAGCCACACGGGAGGGAGTCCCGATTTTCCTCTGTCCGGCCTGTCCCCAGCTGTGCTGGTTAGTTGTGCATCATTCAATTTTCCCTAGATAATTTTCACCAGTCTTCCTATCATCTCTTTTTGACTGTAATCCTCTTCTCCTCCGTCCTTTCATCGTCGCCAGCAAAGCTTATGGCCCCGACCAAATCTGTTACCCCTTCAGGGGGGGCAGGACAAAGCCCGTGCACTTCAAAACCAAGTGCTTAAGTGTCTCGCTCTCATTATGGCAGGCTCACATAATGTGTCTATCTCCTGAAATATAGCCATATACCTCCTCCTCGTCCTCAAAACTCCGTTCTTGCCTCAAAGAATAAAGAGCGTCCCAGTGAATTCAAACACCTTTCCTTTCTTATGTTTTGTTTTTGTGACCTGTACATTGTTAGAGCTGATATTTCCTGCGTTCTTACCTCCTACATTTTTCTTTCTGCCTCTTTCACTCCCTTTTCCACTGAAGTAGTCTGCTCAGCCCCATCACTACTGTGTAGGTATTTAGATGTAAGCTTTCGGGTTCGGTTTGTCCATTTAGTGTTTAAAACTTTTCATGTGTAAGTACTTGAATACTATTCGTGCCCACCGCATATCATCCGTTTCGGTCAACCTTTGTTCAAATTTCAACTTACTAATTGCCTCCCTGCTCTCAAAAGACGATAACCCATGTCATCAGTACACCCTTATTTTTGGTGTCTTTCCATGCGCTCCCCACTGCCAGTCTGCCTACGCTTCTTTGTCAAATTTCCAATCCTGTTTGAACCTGATTTCATGCCCAGTATGCCATTGCCAATAGACAGTCCTGGTACCATCACTCCTTTCCATATACCTCTTACTACTTCATATCTATTATAGTTCCATAGTGTTTTGAGCTTCATAATAGGCGAATTTTTTTTCCTTTTTCTAATTACATTCTCTTCATGTTCTTCTAGATATTTCCTTCCCTCATTGAGCCAGACTCCCAGATATTTGTAGCTTCCTACTTGGTCTATTACAGTGTCTTGTATCCTCAGGGGTTCCCTCTTTTCGTTGTTAAACACCATTTCTCCAGACTTGTCACTACTAAAATTCATGCCCAATGTGTCCCCTTCCTCTCCCCATATTTCAGCTAATTCCTGTAACATATCCTGGTTATCTTCTATAAGCGAACCTTGTGATCAGCATGCAGGGGATCACAAAAGTTGCCATCATGCTCAAGTTGGTAGTTTCGGTTTTGCCGTAGATCCCCAAAACAAAACTTTGAGATATCTACAAAACTACACAAAGCAGAGAGAGAAAAAAAAATTGCACCTCGTAATTTAGGGACATTTCCTCCTCTAAAAACAGTCGTAACCCAAAAATGGAGAATGTTTTATGGCATAAGATTCAAGGTAGCTGGCATAATAACAGTGCACATCTATTCCTGATTATGCGAGTGCAGTGCTGTGCTTGAGGTTCTCACACAATCCCAAGGCGGTGTGGGTTATGGATTGTTTGCATTGCATATATATTTAGACTTTTGTTCACCATACATATAATTGATTGATTCACTGATTCTTTACATGTCTATCTTCGAGATTAGCACAGCTTAGTTCAACTTAGTTATGATGTGCAGTGAATGGACGGGAATGCTACTGAAGTATGTTAGAATTAAAATTTGTAAATGGGCCACCTGTTTGACAGGCTCGATTTCATTTTGGTTATTGAACTTGTCATAAGTAAAAAAATATAATTTGGAAGTTCCAAGATTCCAAATGCTGCTTTAAGCAGACTACCTTTCTCCAGAATGCAGAATGGCAGCCCCTCAAACGCGACAGGGGAGGCACTCACTTGATCGAATGACGTTTTAGCGAAGGCCCACGTTTCACCGAATGACACTTTAGCGAATAGTCGGACGCCGCGAAGCGGCGTTTTCGGGTGGGCCAAATGGGTTCACATTTTTGTAATGAGCCGCCGCAGACTGTCGCTCCCAAGCGCAAATGTGCTAAAACTGGTCGAAAATTGTTTTTTGTTTAATCGCTCAATTTAATGGAGTGCTTTTCTATACTGGCCACGGTGGTTTACCGTGTTGTTTTCAGTGGCTCTGAAGTTTGGAAAGACCCCAACAGGTTGACCAGAGGAAAATTGGCGAATTATCGGCTCAAGCATGATGGCAACCCTTGTGATCAGCTGCATGGCCATCATGTGACACGAAATTTGTACCCCAGTACCGCCAAACTTACGACTGGCCTAGTCGCAAGAGCAGTTAAGATTAGTCGGGTAAAATCAGTGATGGGATTGCTGCGCTAATTGCGCCAAACTGCGCAGCCTGCTACGTCCCGCTACATTTTACCAAAATGTGAGGTATTTGCGCCAACCTTGCGCCAAAACTTAATTTAACTTTGATCATATTGAAAATATAATAAGGAGTTTTAGTAGACCGCGTTTCCCCCTCCGCTACGAAGAAACCGCCACTGCACCTGCGCCCCGATGGCCTTGGCTGTAGAGTTCCGGGTAGCGGAGGGGCTTAGCGGAGGGGGAAACACGGTCTACTAAAACTCGCTAATAGGGAGTTTTAGTAGACCGTGTTTCCCGCTCCGCTAGCCCTCCGCTACGAAGAAACCGCCACTGCTCCTGCGCGCCGATGGCCTTGGCTGTAGAGTTCCGGGTAGCGGAGGGGCTTAGCGGAGCGGGAAACACGGTCTACTAAAACTCGCTAATAGCTAGTTTTAGTAGACCGTGTTTTCCC